ATGCCATTTTTTCCAAGCTCATCAACTTTACATCCGGCTCGTTGTCATCCAATCTCTGACATCAAATTCCCGAAAATCCCACTCAAAATCAGCCCTATCTATTTACAAATTCGCTGATATCCCTCTACCCCCTCAAATCACCATCTACAACCTCCCAGACCTCTCAAGAACGGAACAGGGGTTCAATCTTCCCAGAAGCAGAGGCAGAAGCTGGCAGAAGAATCAGCTGTGTGACCGGTGCCTCCTTTTTCCTTGGCCATTTGAGTGCGGGGGGTGGGCCTTAGAGGTGGGCCCTTTCGGTGTGGCCCACCAACCCCCAGAATATCTGTTTTCTCCCGCGGCACAGTTGTGTCCACCACCACCACTAGGAGAGTTGGTCCGCCCCAACACCGCAGTTCATCCAGGACGGCCCTGCGCAATTTTTCGGGCTGGGCCCCGGCATTTTGGAATTGGTTCTTGGACTCGGCTACATTTTTGAAATAAGGTAGGACTTTTAAGAATTTTTAGACTATTTAAAAAAAAATTTGAACTGGAGCCTGCATTTTTCGATTTCTACGATGGTTACTGTGGATTTTTAGTGTAGAACCCATAAATTCGTTTTTATTATGCTAATTTTTCTATTCATCGACCTATCCAGGGTACAGTCACTACCCCGAAAAGTCACTACCCCGAAAGTCACTACCCCGAAAGTCACTACCCCGAAAAGTTACTACCCCGAAAAGTCATTACCCCGAAAAGTCACTACCCCGAAAAGTCACTACCCCGAAATAATTTGCATGATTTTCATAGTAAAACCGCATGAAAACTGGATTTTTCCGGGAAAAACAATGCTATCATTTTTCGGAGTAGTGACTTTCGGGGTAGTGACTTTTCGGGGTAGTGACTTTTCGGGGTAGTGACTTTTCGGGGTAGTGACTTTCGGGGTAGTGACTTTCGGGGTAGTGACTTTCGGGGTAGTGACTTTCGGGGTAGTGACTTTTCGGGGTAGTGACCGGACGCCGCCTATCCCGATAATTATATTCGTTTTGCGTCCGAATCTCTCCTTTTTTGCAATTTTTAAACAACGAAAAGTACAATGTTGATTTTTTAAAGATTTTTTCTATGTTTTTCTTGCTTTTTATAATTATTATTCCAGATCAACCCATTGATTCCAATAAATATGAAAGTTTTTTCGTGAGAATCCCTGCTTTATAAGATTTTTTAGCTCTAGAGAATCTAAAAATTGGAATTTTGTGCCAAAATGTCCCCAAAATCCTCCACAGATCAGCGATCTCCCCCAAAAACCGTTCCCCCCTCTTTCTTCACCAACACTCAAATGTCCGAGAAGCCAATAGCCCCTCCTAAATCTTCTACCTACCCGCCCAGTTCTGCAGCAATTCTGCGAAATTTGCGAATCTCCAATCCCTGATGGCCCTCGTTTTTTTTACGGGTCGAGGAGAATGAGGCACGGGGGGAGCGCGAGGTTTTGTATGATGCCTCGGCAGTCTGTGTGGGGTCTTGTAATGATCCTGCCGACCTGGTGCTCCCCGTCTCGAACGGCCGGCGCCTGGTCAATTGAAATGAAATGGCGGATGGGTGACAAAATTTTTGCAGGAGCTGGTTTTCGAGGAAGCGGAGGGGATGGTCTTTATCGTTTGACAGTTTTGTATGGGGGGGGGGGGGTTGGGCAGTTAGGGTTGAGGTAATGGCGTTTTCATATTGCTTCTGAACTTCTGGGTAGCTCAGGAGACCTCGGACTCCCAGAATCTAGACTTTTCTCTCAAGCTAGACCTTAAAAGTTGCAAAAAATCAGGCCCTTTCAAACCCTGGTCGTTTATTTTGCAAGCCAAAGGTTACGAGGTCACTATGCTAATTTTTCGCTTCCAAAAACCTCTTGCTCCCTACTTTTCCCGCGGTCCCGATCCTTTGAAGATAATCTTCCTCCAGTAACCTGTCCAAATCCCCCTAGATTCGAGAGGAACGGCAGGGGAGCACCAGCTCTCGTATATGTTTGAGGGAAGAAAGGGGGGGATTCACATGCCTCATCCATTGTCGGGCATCCTTTTGCACCTCTTGCTCGTTTTTCGATCTCCCTCTCCCCCATCCCATCATATCCATCCGCTACTCGAGTAGTTGCCACAACCTAGACACTTTTCTGGATCGGCCGTGGCAGCTGTGGAATTTGCCTCTGTTTTTGGGAGGGGGACCTCATTTTTGGTTTTTATTGTTCTTCTCCTAGGACTGGCTAGACAGTAAATACAGTTTTTTTTAAACTGATAACAGAATTTTAGTGAAGAAAGAACGGATATCACTTCGTAGCGCTTGTTTTTGCCTCTCTTGAAAGCTAGGTATATTTTTCTCGCTTATTTTTAAGCATAGATGCGCTATTTCATTACCTTTTATAAAAAACTACTCCTCACACTGCCCGTCTCAATGCCAAGCATCAAAGTCCCCGGGTACTCCCCGGCTATCCGTTCAGCTAATTCCCTAATTTACGCGAGAATCCCCCCCATACTGCCAATACCCACTCACCACCCGATCATGTTCGAAATTCCACCAGACACTAAATTCCGGGCCCTCCTCTGCCCTCGTATTTCCTACAAGTTGGGACAAAAGATAAAGATCTTCCTCCCTGCCCTCGTCCTTTCGAATCACATAGCAGCCCTCATCCTCCTTCTCTTTTTCGCTACAAATTTCTCCTCCTTCTCAACCTTGCCTTGCAAATCCTGGTATCTTGATCAAAAGGGGTTACATTCCGAACTCGAATTTTCTTGTTAGTAGGTTGTAACTGTACTTTTTATGTTTTTAACAATTTTTAAAGTTTTTAGGCTGAGATTCGACATATTTATGTATTTATATGTTTTTACATCAACTCTTAAAGCTTTCAAACCTATTCAAAAGTCAAATTAGACACCTTTGAACCTGTAGCTTACATAATTTTAAATGAAATTTTAAAGCTTTAAACCCGTCTAAAGGTCAACTCAAACATCTTCTGCCTAAATTTAATTCGATTAGCGATACCTACCCCAACCCCATTCCAAATTTCGAAATGTACAGCCCAAAAAATGCCCGCAACGTTCCCGTTCTTGACCTCAAATTTTCAGTTTGCTAGCCTCTCTTTCCCTCTCCCTGCCGTTGACCCGTGAGAACTTACTTTGGCAATTCCAGTTTTTTTGCCCTAGCCAAGCCACTAATCAATCATCTCGACTACTTATCGCCGGGGTGCCGTAAGTAGTTTTTCGAGCGTTCGCGAGCCGGGGCAGCCGGTATCCACCCCGTCTGATTCCCGCAATTCGTTTGAACTCGACTGTTTTGACCTTTTCCGGTTGATCGGGTTTGTTTTTGGGCCCGGATTTTGTGCGGAAGTGATCTAAGGTTTTCCAAAGTCTGTAGAAAAATGGGGTTGAGTCATAAATCTGGTTTTTTGGGGGGAAAGACAGAGGCTTGAATATCTAAGCCAAGATCTGCTTGTGGCAATGGCAGGGGAATAATAATGGGGCGTGGAAATTAAGGGAAAGAGGATTATGAAAATGAAAGTCTAGAAAGTCTAATATCTGGGAAAAGGCGATTTCTACTATCAACCCAGCTATCCCAGGTACATTTTGGAGCTCGAGAAAACCCTCTCTACCCCCATAAAAACCTAACCCGGAACCTGATAGCCAGAAATTGATTGAGCTCAGTCTCCCCCCAAATACCAGTATAGATCGATGGCTTACGGTGCGCGGCCCCGGCCCGGCCCGAGCGGAAATTTGGCGCTTCTCAGGAAGGGGCTGTGTGAGATCTGCTTGCTGTGGATCCATCCCCCCCCCCCTTTTTTCCGAAAATTCCTTTTCTTTCCTTTTCCGGGGGCCTCCCCCCAATAGGAACGAGAGACTGATGGGACTGACGTGGAGAAATGAGAGGGGTCAGAGGAGATGCTGCCATCCAAACAAGCCTCCATCGCTATGTGTGTACATGGACTGTATTTTAGGGGTGTTCCTTGTTGATTCTAGGAGCTTAAAAATTATCTTAATGGTTTTAATGATACTCATTTTTAATAGTTTTAAGTTTTTACGCTCGATTCATGCTAATATGATCCTGCTGACCGGGCCACAAAATGGCACGCCCCCATTTTTTGGGTCGATTCTATTTGCTGACCTACTCAGTAGCGATTGATCATCCACTTCTAAGGCGTCTCGTTTAACGTGCAATTTGTACGTGTACCTCCTGATCAGCTAGGTGTTTTTTGTGTAAATAATTTAAGAAATACGATTCCTCATTTTTTGATGTCGAGAAATCGTTCAAATGGTTATATTTACGGCCTGACTACCAGTAATTTGCATCTCAACGTCTTTTTCTAAGCTCTTCCGCTACTGTCACCATCCCTTGAAACAATTCCATACCCCTTTTTCTACCAGCTGTATACCCATAGCCATTTTTCGTATGTGTGCCTGAAAACCGGGGGCACTCTGAGAATGGGTGATTGGATCGCAATATCGGCGGATATTTTTCTCGTTGTTAGCCGAGCCGATTGAGCCGAGGCACCGTTTGAGATTCGGCTTATTTCTCGCCCACTGTCTCGCCCCGGCACTTTCTCTCCACCGTTCCATTGAGATAAAAAATGTTGAAACATGATAATCAATGGGATGTGCAAATTGGATATGGAAATACGTAATTAATAAGTGATTTTTCAGGTAATACTCGGCCATACAGGCCATCCACGCCAATTTTCTGCTAGTTCCACAACGGCTACCTAGCTCAAAGGTGAGGAATAATGTTTAAACAAAATATTTTTTAATTTTTTAATTTTTTAATTTTTTAAATAATTTTAAATTTCCACATTTAGCTTAGATTAATTTAAAAATCCTGTTTTTATGCAAATTTAAAGTTTGGAGAACCATCCAAGCCAAAACAGAGAGAGAGAGAGAGAGAGAGAGAGAGAGAGAGAGAGAGAGAGAGAGAGAGAGAGAGAGAGTTAGAGAGGGATCATTTCGAAATCCCAATTTTATTAATTTTTCTTACAGTAAGCGCGTGTCGAGGGGATGTTTGGAGGATGGTTTCCGCACACAAGTGAGCCGTCCGACTTCAGCAACTCCGAACCCCCGTGCAACATCAATGGAATTCTTGTAGGTCCCTTCCGACCTACAGCCACCAACTCATTACACTCGCACAAAAATGCAGATTTTTAAAGTTACAAAAATCAATGAAAATCGAATTTAGTGCTTTATCCAGAGTTCGTTTCTCTTTTCCTAGGATTGCGTGTGCTGTGTTGGGGATTTGGGACATTTTTTTTAAATTTGAATATTGCCGTGCGAGTTATATGCAGTGGCACTGTGGTGTCGTGCCCAAATTTGGGGATAAAAATTTGTAAAATCGAAAATTGAAGTGTGTATTGCGCAAATGGCGATGTGGTTTTAAGGAAAGGGAAATTTGGGATCTAAGAAAGTTTTAAAATCAGAAATACAGAAAGAAATTGTGAAGATATATAGATTCCTGTCGTCCCAGCCCCTCTAAAACCTAGATAGGCAAAATTTGGGATCTTGGCGGAATAAAAAATTATTAATCAACTTTTAAAAACCAAAACCCATTAAAACCTATAGAATTTTGAATTCTCAGTCCCGCGAAAAGCCGGAAAATCGAAATTTGGGTTTTAAACTGCTTTGTAAAGTGCGAAATGCAAATTCGTCAAAAAACCAAGAAAATCCATAGATTCCTGACTTGCCAGTCTCTTTAAAAAAGCTAAGGGTTAGCGTTTTTGTGCAGTTCGTGTTGTTGCTCCCGATTGTGCGGTGTGGGTGCCCTGATTGAATGGTGTGCTTCAGCTGGCTTCCATCTTTGTTGTGCCCTATATCGCTTTCCTCATCGTGCTCCCGGGCGTGCGGGGGAAGCGGACCATCACCCTGCTCACCTACACCGTCAGTATGTTCGTCGGCGGAGCGTTGATAGGTGGGTGTTGCTTTCTCGCCTTTTCAAGCGCCTTAAAATGGTGTAAGAATAGAATATATATTATTTTCTATCTACAAAAATTTCAGCCTCAATCGTGAACCCCGGGTGGGCAGTGGGACAAGCCCGAATCGTCAGCCAATTCCGGGCCCATACCCGCGAAAAGATGGTCTCCCGACTCGGCGTCAACGTCGGCCTATCACATCTCAACATCACGCTCAGACGTAAATTCCATATTCCGTTAGACAACTAATTTCGTCTTTAGACGAGCGACAATACCATGAGAAGGCCGCGTTTTTCAATGGGCTCGTTAATGAGGATATCCACGACACTGTGCCAAACTTTACAAAGTTGTACTTTAACGAAAAGTTTGATATAAGTGGAGGTAAGAAATTAAGGTAGACGGTTAAAGATCATATTTTTCAGTATCCTCAATGGCAGAAGCCCTCCGGAATGCCTACTTCCACGGTCTCCCCTATCCAATGCTGTCGGTTCTCGAGTATTTCTCTTTGAATCAAGACTCATTCGATTGGGGCAGGCATTACCGGGTGGCCGGCCATTACACCTATGCAGCAATGTGGTGAGAAAAACGTAAATTAGCTTTTCTAAAAATATGTTTAGTTTGGCAACGGCCTGCTGGGCCTTGTCGATCGTGTTCTTGCTCTTTTTACCGCATTGCTACGGGTGTGCACAGTTGGCATGCGGCATGTCGTCAATCGGTAAGTTTTTGCCGGTTTTAATCTTGATTACAATGTTCAATATAATCCTACAACCTTGTTTAAGGCGGTATCATCATCTACGTCGTGATATCACCTGCCGAACTGGTGATCGCGTTCGTGGGTGAGGACGGCAATCGGACTGTTATGGATATGAAATTCGGATGGTGTTTCTATTTGATAATTTCACAAGGTAGAGTTTGTTTCGATAACTTAAAAAATTGTTTTTAGCCATTCTATCCATTGCGTTTGGCCTCTCATTAATGCTACTCCAGCACTTCAAGCTGTACTCATTATCAACATCGTTAGACGCACATTTGGATGAGGTATTTTAAGCTTAAAAATTCTATAAAAACATTTTTAGACTGTTGGCCCGTCAAAAAGAAGAAAATCTCCTGATGGTAAGCCGGGAGAGGATTTGGCCAATTCACTAGAGGTAGTTCAAAATATACCACAAAATCTTGTATTTTTAGGTGATGCGACGGGCAAAAATGTCGACTGCCGTTGAAGTTTGCTCAACAAGCCAACACAGCAAGCAGTCGAGCGGGATCCACTCTAGAAGCAGCTATTCTACAGATACCGCCAGCATACAGTAAGAATCCCCCTCAAACCCGACCTTCAAAAATCGATTACAGTAGTAGCGGCTCGTTTGGGTCTGTCAAATCCCTGTCACCGCCTGCCCGAAATCTAACGCTGAGGAGCAGGAAAGCGGATGAGATCCAGATTGAAGTCGAGAAATTATAACCCCAAGAATTAATTCCCCCCATTCTGCGCACCCATGGTCTCTATCTAGTCGCCTTCCAATAGCCATCATCCTCAATAGTCACCAATTGTCTTCAAAGTATTCAAAACAATACAAATGTCGATTTTCGTTGGGTATTTCCTACAGGTCTCTTCAATCCCTTCCCCCATTAAATTCTATATTTATGTATTGAGTAGCCATCTGCTTTCTGAGACCGTAAACATTTTTTGCTCAAAAACACTCCGCATCTCCGGGAATGCCGTTTTTAGGGATACTGTATTTTCTGTTCATTGGCTGTATAGTTTTCCCGGATTTGCATTTTTAAGAAGAATTTTCGCTTCCTTGTCCTCCGTGTCTCCTCAGTGAATCCCGATTGCTTTACCTTCTGATAATGAGTACCATGATTGCGAGTATGGCTTCAGTGGTGTTTGCCGGGCAATTTCGACAAGGAATAACGGTCAGCCGCCACTGTCTCTACGGGTATCGTAGCAATAAATGAGTTCTATCTGAAATCCGGATAATTGTATGCAAATTACGAAAATTACACTCAATTTCGATCAACGCCTTGAGGACGCTACTTGCTTCGAGTAGGCAACAGTGCTTTGAGTGCGCCACAGTACTTTTCGGTACGATACAGTACTGACTGGTACGCCACATAACTCTCATGTATGTACTATCTAGTCCGTTGCCTTGATCCTGGTATTCGTCAGTGCATTACGCCAATGTACCTCGCGTACGCTACAGCACTTACTAACACTCTACAGCACAGCTTAGGACGTTGCAGTACTCTCTAGCACGCTTGTGTATTCTCTAGTACGTTACATTATTCCTAGTACGCTTCAGTGCTCTTTAGAACGTTACCGTACTCTCTAGAACGCTACCGTACGGTCTATAACACCCTCAAAATCCTCTATCGCAACAGTACCCCCACCCCATCTACAGTCATACTCTCGAGGGTTGTTTGTCTCCCCCCTCTTTTTACCTCGTTTTCCTCGAGGTCATAGTGGGTGTAGTGGCCGAGAAGTAATCCTCAACACAATACCCTCGTCCTCCCCCCCCCCTCCTCCGATCCTTCCACGGAGGCAAAAAGAACGCAATTTCCTTCGGCCCACGGCCCTCTCCATCTCGCATCGCCTCATCGGCCTGAAACTCGCCAAAACATTTTTCGTGTCTCGACAACGCGACTTTTGACGTTATGTACGGGCGGTTGGGGCTGATTTTGGTGGTTGTTGGGTGGTAAGGTGTCTTTGATACTCTAAGAAATTTTTAGCGCCTGGTCCGCTTGTGTTACCTTATATTGCACTCCGTTACCTACATTTGAGCAAAATGTCAAATGTGACGAGTGTGCAAAATGTGCATCTGGAAATAATAGGTAATTTTTGAGCCAGAAGAGAAAGAGGGGGTTGTTTTAGGTGAGAATGAAGTCATTCGGTGGAGCGTGAAATTCTGAGCAAGAGCAAGCTATTAAAAACTCCTGAAAGCCAGCGGATTTTGAGAAAACGTTTTTTAAAGTGTGGTTTCACGATAAGCATGGATTAATATCGATAAAAATCAGCTTTTTCAAACTTTCAGCAATTTTGAAAAAATATGGCCTGTTCAGAATCTCAAGCTTTATAAAATTATAAAGTCTTTTATTTAAAATCGATTAAATTGGATATATATTTTTTAACTCCATTAACAAAACGTTTCCTTGGAACCTAATTTGAATTATTTTCAGTTTTTGCGCGGCAACCTCACCCTCAAGCTGCGGTTGTGTCTCTCGCCCTCCAAAAGGCTGCAAATTCGCCCTAGACGCAAACACCAGCGCCCTCCAAAGAACAACATTTTGCCATGTAATAGGTAGGTGTCCAAAAGCGTATTTCTAACCCAGCCCCGCCCCTAGATTCCCCATCATTACCCCAGCCAACCGTCCGTCGCCATGGGAAATCAGTCCTCTCGAGTAATCCCCACAATTCTACAGCTCGCCCTCAAGTCCAATTTTAGTTGTCGTCCCGCGATTTTTCAAGGAGGAGGAATATCAAAAATTCCACCTTCATAAATTGTCGATCTACGCAAGTTTTGTGAAGACCGTAAGTGCTTGAATAGCTTGATTTTTTCAATTTTTATTTCCAGAATGACACCGCTTTATGCAAATCGCGCTACCATATTGAGGCAGAAGACAAGGGGTCGAGATGTGTCTTCAGAGTACCGTTAGCTATGCCAGGATTGGAATTTAAAACTGATTATGTAAATCGCATCCCTAATTCTGCTTATTTTTCATTTTTTAGGCCTATTATTACGATGATGGATCCGAATTAGAAACCGAATTATCGACAGATATGTTTGGCGACGCGTCAGAAGTACAAATTTGGATTGAGGTATGCTTTCCTTAATACGGTAATTTTAATTTTTAAGGTAACCAACACCCAAAAAATCCGCATCGACCGCCGCGGCCTCCGCTTCAACAACATTTTCTTTTCCCCGAAACTGACCGAACAATTAGCCACGGGTACACGAAATTTTCCAAATTCATTTTGAAATCTAGCACCTCCGCCGCCGCCCGCCTAATGGTCTTGAAAAGACTGCCAATTGAGTCACTGCCGAATTTCTGGTTATACAAAAATGCATTTTGAATAAATATGGGCTTATTAAAAAATTTGTATAATTTTTATTAATCGTGATATTCTCTGCATTTTCACTTCTTTCAACCTCTTCATTTATCGATTTTCACCTTTTTATTCGACTTTCAGGTTTTAGGCCCCCATTATTTATTTTTCTTTTCCAGCCAGGACTCGAATATTCACCCAAGATTACGGTAGGCCTAAAGCGCGTGCCATGTAGTCTTATAACATAACATTACCGCAGGAAACGAGGGTTAAAGATTTTTGGGCGCCTAATAACAAAAAACCCAGAATTAAAAAAAAATTTTCCGAATCCCGATGCGAAATTTCCATTCACAGACACCCCATTTTCAGTAATGGGATTTTCCGCAAGATAATTAAGGTGAATTTCAGGAAAAGGAAAGGGTGAAAATTCGGGGGTTTTGCTTTTGGCTTTTGGCAATGGATGGACCTAGGAGGGTGGCTAGGGGCGGGAAATCGATTTCTGGCTGTGGTTGGTCCTTTGCGCAATGGAATGAGAGACGAGGGGAGGAATGGGAAGGGGGGCAATTTTGCTAATCCACGCATCATAATTCATAAGCCCTCAAGGGGGTAGATGGTAGAAGAATGACTGGGGGTACGGTAGGGGTGGGGTGGATTAATTAAGGGTTGAAAATTGGGGTTGAAACTAGAAAATTGGGGTGTAGAAAAACGGGAATTGGGAAAGACAGAAAAAGGATGTTTTTACAGCAACCTAAAATATTTCCGAGCACCAGCACGTGCCCCCTGGGGTGTAACGTGTCGTAGTTTTCGGTCAGCAGTTGGCCACTCCCGAGTGTCCCCCTTTTGAAGGCCATATCGATCGCGTTTGGGGGCCCCCCAGGAGGGCCAGCGAAGGGTGGGCAGGGTTAGTGGAGGAGCAGAAGGAGCAGGAGAGGGAGAGACCCCTCAGGCTCCATCCCCTTCCTTCGGCTCCTCCTCCTCCTCCCCCTTCTTCCCAAATACGGCCTCCTCGTCTCTAAAGGGTCGAGGGGTCACATGACCCCCTTTTTCTCTTTTTCTCTCCCCCCAGTTACGTCTCTCCCTTTCGATGTCTCGTCTGTTCCATTCCAAATATCGATCCGATCTCCATCCCCGCCTAGCCAACCCTTCGATCCCCCTCCCCCTTTCTCCTCTTGCTGTTTCGCGCGCCAAGTGTAATCCCTCGTCTACCATCTGCTCTTATACCAACATTTTTTTGGGTTTTGGAAAAATAGCGTCGGATTGTGGTGGTGGGATTTTGATTTTGAATTTTTTAGCATATAAATATCATTTTCGCCTAAAAATGGATCTTGGATATTTCTATTTAGTCAAAAATTTGTATAAATAAATTTTAAGAGTCGTAAAACTACCGTAATCTCTATATTATATTCTATTCATATTCGGCTTTTCCTTTAGCGATTCTCACTAACTAATCCTAAAGATTTTTCAAAATTTTCAAGGGGTAGGTAGAAAACATAAATATGAAGGGTGCCGTCTAAACAAGCATTTTTTACTCAATTTTCAGAGAGAATATCGATTCCCAATTTTTAGATTAAAATTTATTCAAACATATTCGAACATGGCTATTTATTCAAACCCCCGGAAAGAACCAGTGGTTCGCGTTGCCCCAGATTTGGCGCGATTTCCAGCCCGAAGCCTTGGGAATGGGGCGAGAAAGATTGTTTTCCAGCGTCGGCCCAAATATCGATCGATGTCCCTTCCCTTCCCCCCTTCCATCCGATCTCCCATCGTTGACACCCTTTTTCGTGCCCCATCATTTCTCGCTCTCTTTTTTCCCTCCGGTAGACGGACGTCAGCGTTTTTCAAGGGGCTTTTAAACGTTTAAAAAAGCGTATATTTTACTAACGTAACGCTTCAAAAGCTATTAGTTTACACCAAAAATTGGCTGTCTGTCCTAGAAATGATGCAAAAATTACGAAATCCTAGTTATAACAATTTGTAAGAATTTCCTGACGTTCTCTAGACGCCTATGGCTTCCCATAACCCCTCAAAAACTACGATACCTATTTCCCGCCACCCCACGAAACCCCATCCCAACCCCCCAAAATCTCCCACAAATTACCGGATATTTGGCGAGTTTCCGGGGGGATTCGCTCGGCTGCGATAAGCCCCGGAACGTTTTCATTTTTTCGCTTGGCTCTTTTGTTGGTTGTGTGGGATGTGCCGGGGGGAATCTCGAAGAAAAAGCCTTATCAATTCGAGCGCTCGGCGTTTCCATTTTCTCCCAGCGCTTCCCCGCCAATTTTTCCGCTCGCTGCAACCCACACACACCGGCCGGGGCGGTACCCATAATCTGTTTGGGGTTTGAATCGAACCCAACGGTTCCCCAGGGGTTTGGTTTGAGGTATTGATTATTTGTTTTCAGTGCTAGAATACTCTATAGATTTGGGTTGTTAGGTCCTTTAAAACGCTTCCCGGTGTGTTTTTCGTATTGATTTTTTGTCTTTGAGGTCATTTTTGTGGTTAAAAACGCTTCGCCAAGCAGTTTCGGTCTTGATTTTTTTTTGCCTTAGGAAAGGTTAGCAAACATTCTATATATTTTAAGCTTTAAAATGTTATTTCCACCACCTTCAGATATTCCCACGTAATTCAAAGATGCGCACGCGCTGACCTGGCCTCCCCCGCGCGCACGGTCTATCAATTTCTAAGCAGCCACTCCGGATCCGTTAGAGCGAGATAGTTAGAGATCGAGCCAAACCCAGAGATACAGAGACATCCCCCTAAAAACTTGTTACGAAGTTGCCCCCCTCAGTGAAGAAACCGCGCCGACAATGGACCGGGCTGAACGAAACCGAAATCGCCCAAGCCTAGGGGGACCCCCGATCGATGGCTGTGGTGGATATATAGGATAGAAGGAGGCGGAGAGAACGTGTTTTAGACTGCCTGAAGGGTTTGAGAGAGAGGGAGAGAGAGAGAGAGAGAGAGAGAGATCAGACAGAACGGTTTTGTTTGCAATCGGAATGTCGTGCCCCGACCCTGAGGGGAGGGAATTCTGTGTGTCTCTCTCTCTCTCTCCTGGTCTGTATGTTTGTATATGTTGTCATAAGACATGCACCCCACCACTCGACATCCTCGATAGAGGATGGGAAGGTCCTTCTCTCGTTTAAGGGGTTAAAATTGGTTTAAAATGGGCAAATTGGGGTTTGGAGGTTGTTTTTGATGTTGATATCTCTTTTAAAAAATTAAAAATGTCTAGAGAAAATAATGAGAGAAAATAATCGCTAAATTTTAATTATTAAAAGATAAATTTTTGATGCTTTAAAGGTGTAGGCATTCATTAATTTTGCTGAAAATGAAATTTTTTTTAATCCTCGAAAAATGAGCTAATAATAGCTATAGACGATTTTCATATGAAAAATTAAAGCCGTAGCCCTTCTATTCGTAATTATTCATGCACAATTTTTTTAAATTATAATAATTTTCTTGCAGGCCTTCTTCAGCCTCATTTTATCTCTAAACTGCGCAAATTTCGTTTAAAATTTTTTTATTTTTAAATTTTCTATGCCCTAATTTCCGATTTTCCGACGGAATCCCCGAATTGAGTTCTGGGTTCCGGGTTACCGTCCCAATCCCACCAATTCGATGTTTGTGTACGTTTGGGGCCCGACCGGACCCCCTGGCCCGAAGAAATGCACTCCACCCGGCTGGTGGCCCGAATAGATTCTGTCAAATAGGGGGTCCCCCCCTTTCCATTCCCTTCCATTCCTCCATCCACCTCTTCCCAATCCTCCTTCTTCTTCTTTTTCCGCTTCTCCCCCTCTTTTCTATCCATTCCATCCATCTCCACACCCTCATTTATTATTCCCCTCAGGCGCGCCCGCCTAGTGCCTGATTTTCACGCCGTCTCCATTTTCTAACTATCTTTTTTCTATTTTCTAGTCTTTATTTTTTTACATAGTGCACTTCATTCTTCATGAATTTTTCTCTTTAGTGAATCTAGCCTTTAAACCAACACTTTCCCAAGCCTATAAATCTCGCTTTAATAAACTGTACAACAGCAGCAGGCGTGGGCCTACAGACCTGGGGGGACGTGGCTTCCCACCGTAGTATCCATCCCGCTGCTTCTATAATGCAGATTTTATGGGGTCTGAAATGGCGGTGGTCGAGGCCCGTGCTTTTCGTTCAACCACCGGAAATACGGGGCCAGCTAGCCATTTTTGGGGTAGTTTTGAATTCACGGGAAAGTAAAAATTCTGGAAGCTGAAAATCAGTCCAAACTGGTTTAGAAAAATTCCCAAAAAAAGTTAGAAACTCACCACTCCCCCTAAAATCGATAGATCTGAAGGGATGATTGTTAGGGGTGTGGGATAGAGAAGGGATAGATGATATGATGTGTGCTGCGGGAGAAACGAGAGAGAAGAGAGAGAAAAAGAGAGCGAAAGATAGAGTGGACGTGATGTCGATGGGGATGTTTTGACAGCGGGCGCGATCGATCATGTCTGTCTGTCTATGTGTGTGTGTGTGTTTGTGTGTCTGTCTGTCCGTCTGTATGTCCGCCGGGGCGACCTCGAGCCGGCCGGGGGGTGATAAGGCGGCGGTCGCGCAGGGGCTGCTCGGGGTGGTGGCTCCGATAACGCTTCGCCCCCCTTCACCACCATCGCCCAGCAGCCGCTGCGGTGGTAGATTAACAAATACTGCCTGGGAGATACCCTTAAAAAGATATACCTATATTCAAGAAGTTTTCTGCTCTTTTTTTGCGCTACAAGCTCTCAGGATGTCAGAATTCCTTCGTTTTCTTTCTCTACAACGTGTTCTTGCACCCAGCTGACGTCCAAATCCCTATTCCACTGACTTCACTCTTCCTTTAAAAGCTGCACCCCATGAAAACAACCGCCCCATCACTTCCTGAGAGCCGCCCCAAATTCCCTTGCATTAGTTCCCTAGGCTATATCGATTTTTTTTTCTTACTTTTTCTAGCTTTTCTATCTTTCTTCTTGGTCCCTAAACCTACCTATAAAGGTCTAGAAAATCCCAGTCACGAGATTTCCTCATAATTGTAGCGACAGCCCGGAAAACCCGGCTCTAACTACATTGCCAATCATTTTTTCATACCTTAAAAACCCCCCAATTGGCCCCTGCACTCATGCTGGTTGTATAGTAACTCGACAAAACTCTCCGGCCAATCCACTCCCAGCCTTACGCATAGTCTCCAGGCCGCCCCCCCCGCGGCTACGGCGGCCCGTTTTTCCCCGCCGGCGCCCGGTGCCCGTAAAAAAGGAGGGCTCGTAGCTTGCGCACCGAAGCGCTCCCCCCTCCAGCTGGACGGCCCACATTCTCTTTCTCATTCTCTTCCTCGTCCTCATCCTCCATCCCCCTTCCTGCTCCTTCACTTCTTCGGTCGACTGAGTCCGGCTTTTCCCCCTCTCAGCTGGTCGACATGACTCAATATCTTCAAAACATCTCTTTGGATGTTTTTTTTGCCGCCAATTGCCCGGCGCTGGTGTAAAATAAACAAATCGGAGGGTTGGGTTGGGCTGATTTTGACTCCGCCCAATTTGCATAGACCGTTTGGATTAGTCATTCGTTGTCTTTGTTTTTCAAGACCTCTTAAAAACCTTCTTTTCCTCTTTATTTTCTTGTTAAAATCCGCTAAATTAAGTTTAGTATTCTATTACGCTAACTTTATATACTACTGCCTTGTTTACAACTATTCTAAAAATGCCACTTTCTACCATATCGTAAAACGTTTTTCCAACTTCCCCCGCCTCCTCTTAAAATTCACATAATCTTATAAATATTTCATGACGTTTTTATAAAACTTTCCATACCTTCGACAATTTTTATAACATCCGTCATCTCCTCGTCTTTACCGTATCCCACGTAAAATACCGTACATAGTGATGTTCGGTTCGTGGCTATTCCCGCCAATTTGTAGTTGTCTCCTCAACCCTGTTCAATCGATCTTTTCCCCTTCCAATTTCCCCCTTCACTCCCCCCTTATCGTCGGCGGCTTCACTCAGGCCGGCCAGCCTCGGCGAAATTGCCGAATTTCGATGTTTATCACCCGTTTCCCCGGGGCGTTCTCAGTCTCTTTCCAAGCCCATTGCTCCGATCAACGATTGCAAAAAAACACAATTGCCATTTTTCAGCCATCTCTGCACTGTTCCACAATACCCCCAACGTCGCGGCAGAGGGTGCGGGCATCGGAAATGGCAGTGGTATTTTGCAGACATATAGAAAGAAAGGTGAGCAAGAGATTGAGCAAGACTACAAAATAAAAATATAATATGTAAACATAATAGTAACCGGCAGATGTTCAACCGGAAAAAATTAATATTCGGATAAAATCTTTACCATCGCTTTATCCAATATCATAATTTATGCAAGTTACAAACTCGATATTTTAGATTAAGACAATGTAGCAAGCAGCTTGCGCATCCTAGTAAATTTGAAATATGTTTTATGTACGTGTAAACAAAAATAATGTATATTAGTTATTGCGGTCGTTTTGGAAAAAGCGAGGCTACACATTTACGCTCCCTTCTCGAGTCAAATGGATGAAAATAATTTTAGAAGTATTTTATTTGGCACTACTGCTCCTTCCGAAGCGTCACTAAATATAAAAATTTAGTTTATATTATAATATCATTCCAATAGTTCATTGCTTCTCATTAGTGCAATCATTTGACCCGGGTCATTCTTTCCCGGGAAAACATTGTTAGCAGATGTTTATAACTGCCTCACCCAGGGCAGCCTAACTGCACGATTGGCGTTGTCGACTGGATCATTCTAGTCTCCAACAATTTTAATATATCTCCTTTTCAGCCGCAGTTACAATGAAGGAGATGCTTGGAGGATGTTGCGTGTGCGGGGACGAGAACGGCTGGAGCGGCAACCCACTCGTTTATTGCGACGGGCCCGGATGTGAAGTAGCTGTCCATCAAGGTAAAACCTTTATCCACGCCAGATTACCAGTTCCTAGGCTGCTACGGCATAATCGAGGTGCCAGAGGGCGAATGGATGTGCGCGCGGTGTACAGCTGGCGTCTCCAATCCGGTGCGTGCGCACTTTTCGTCTTTTTACGAACTTTTTTAGGCCAATGGCACCAATGGCGATGAGAACGGGATCCGACGCAACGGCCAACTGCCCACCCGGTGCGAGTTGTGCCCGGTTGGGTATGGGGCGCTGAAAAGAACGCATTCCGGAGGCTGGGCTCATGTCATCTGCGCCCTCTACATTCCTGAAGTCCGCTTTGGCGATGTGCATAGCATGGATCCGATAATGCTGAACGATGTGCCGCATGAAAGGTAGTAAAAACATCAATATATGCCATAATTTTGGCGTTTAGATTCGAAAAAAGCTGCTACCTTTGCGAAGAAGATGGGCATTATAACCTTGCGGGTATCGGCGCATGTATGCAGTGTAATCGGATCGGCTGTAAAAAATGTAAAGCCATGATTCACAAATCAGTCGAGATTTTTATAGGTTTTCACGTCACATGTGCACAACAACGGGGCCTCCTCTGCGAAGAAGACGCGCAAAGCAAAAACGTGAAGTATTGCGGCTTTTGCGACACGCACCTCAAAAAAGCGGTACGTTTCGATGCACCTGCTCTCCTCTGTCTATCTGCCGGTTACTAATTGTATAGCAGACGCTCACCGTTCCGCCCCTCTTTTTGCCATTGGCATGCCGCCAACCCATTTGTCCTCTTTCCCTCCCTCCCCACCTTTTTCTGGGTGCATTCCCCTCTCTGTTTTGGGGGTGCCGGTTGAATACACGGGCAGAGCAAGCTTATCGTTGTGTGGCGGCACACGTGACTCGTCCATCCCCTCCTCACTCCTCTTCGCCATTCGAGGGTCCGACAAAATGTTTGCCATTCTTTTTTTGGGGGGAACGACGGCGGCGGCTCTGGCGTCGAGCCCATATATCGAATTTCTCTTCCGGAACCCATTCAGCCCCCCTCTTCATCCGGACATTGATTGCGCAGCGCAAAACCGAGTGCGCATATCATTTTTGAGAGGGGTAAAGCTAGAAAATATCAAATTTTGGAGCACTTTTCAACAATTTCAAGATCTTCGTCATATCCAGAAAACTAAATTCTTTCTCGTATTTTCCTATTTTTAAAGAGATCTTGGAAGCTACAGCGCCTATCGCCTAGATTATTTTTGAAGGAACTCTTGTGAATTCGAAATCTGAGGATAAAAATTGAGATTTAATGAGATTAAAAAAATATTCATAGGACATCGCTTCTAGACGATTCGAAACGAATTTGCAATTCAATGTTTTGACATAATAAAAAGGGGCGTTCCTTTTACGCAACCCAGAAATCCTTCAACATAGCCCTAGGTTGTACTCTTATCGATCCAAGTGTAGAGGCGGGTATGAATACGAAGCCGAGGGGGGCTCTCGTAGGCGCGTATATGTGTGTGATTCGGACTGGTCAGCCGAGTGAAAGAGCGAGCCGGGGCTGCGGGCCCGGGGGTCCTTATTGACCGGTGGCGTGTGTGCCTCTTTCGCCTCTTTTCTTTCTCTTTCTCTCTGTCTGTCATTCAGTATACCCTCGTATGTGTGTGTGTCTCTCGGAGCGTAAAGAGGGGCTGCTGCGTGCTGTGAGCCATCGATTGGCTCGTTGCCCTCCCTTCCATCCCTTTCTTCTTCTTCTTCTTCTTCTACCACCATCTCCCCACCCCGTCCACAACCTTACTCTCCCCCCGTCCCTTCTTTTATATCTTTTGTCGTCTTTCCTCCCATCGGTCAATCCTTCCCCCCTTCCAACCATCGGCCGACGCCCCTTTTCACAAAAGCCCCCCCACCCAGGATTCGATCGCCCCGAAAAACCCAACATTTTTCTCGCCTTTTTCTTGCTTGTCCGGCGCATAGTTTCCAACTAGATAGATTGACCTCGTGACGGACCCCCCCGATCCCAATTTCCCGAATTTCTCTCACCCTCTTGCTCTTTTTCTCACTCCAATCTTCAGGCCAAAGCACTGCTATCGCGTTCACCAATCTACCAGCCATCCCCCTCGGTCTTTTGGGCTGGGTGGCGCTGTTGCGGTGCCAATATTTTCGCAAAGTAGTGGTGGTCTCCTTAGGGGGCGTTATATTTTTGTTTATATAGAAATGTTGTTTTAGGGGTTGCTGGGGAGCGAGTCTAAAATCAACATAATGTTTGCGCGGCGTAGTGCTTGGTGTAAACAAATTTAGGCTTTGATGTCTCAATGAATGCCGCTTTGGCACATGTCCGATCTCAAAAACTTGTGGTTAGACGATAGTTTATGTTTTTGGGTAATTGGAAACGTGTTTATAGCCATTTTTCAAATGGCTTTTAATAAGTTTTAGAGGATCTAACGGATTGTTAAAAGATCTGTGTGTTTTTCTAGTGATAGCCGCGGTTTTTTTCTTGAAACCCTCGCGTGAAAATACTTCCCGTCTCCTCTCCCCATTTTTCATACCTTTCCAATCGAAAATCAATGCCCTGCCCCGACCGAAGGAAATACGTTTGGGGCGTTATCGCTGTATTGGTTACGGGGCTGGGCTGGGGCGACGCGATGGGAGGGCTGGCTCGCACCTAGCGATCAATACGGCGCATTCCTATTGGCGCTGATCGGGCACTCGCTGTTGGGATGGGGGGGGGGGGGCTCGGTCGCGCCGTCAAGGCCACCAACCAACCCGCAGGTCCCCCCTCGCCCGGTAGCGCTGCTTTCCTTCTTTTCTTTCTTGCCCACACCCGCTCGTCTTTTTATCAGTCCTTCTCTCTTCTTCTTTTCTTATTTTCTCTCTTCTACCCCTTCCACATACACACCACCACCCCAAGCCCCGCAAACCCACACCCCACACCACCAACCCCAGAGACTTCCGATAACGATTTTCATCAATTTTGGCAGGTTATCACAACCCTTCCCGCCCCTGCCCCGGGAATTGATCCCAAGAATCTTTTAGTTCAAGGCGACCCTGCCGCCTTTCTTTTCCACGCCTCTGCGTTTTTGATCTGTCCATTTAGTGGATGCCGGCGCTTGATATCCGTTTTTCTAGGGCTCTATGGCTAGGTTTTTGATCCTTACTAGCTTTCCATTGGATCGTCATGCTAGCTTTCTGTATTGTCCTTTTGAATTACGTTTTCTTTCTGCTCTTACAGCTCTGGGGACGAAAGTGGGTTACAGTATACTACTAGCGCTACCGTAGTGCCTCGGGGGACAATTGGCAGGTGCGGTGTGGGAGTCGATAGACTGGGTTGGCTCTTTGCCAGAGGCAGTAAAGATATTGAGATTTGTTTTGTATAACCCTTTAAAATTGGATTAAGCTTTTTAGCAGCTTTTGTTCATCAAGGACTTATGAATTTTAAAATTGCGGATTGAAGCTTACTATTTACTTGCACTTTCTAGATAAGGGGAGCGAAATACAGCATTTCGATCAACATTACGAAGCGGTAGTATAAGTATTGGATTTTAAGCGGAATTCTCGGCTCGTTGTCTCCCACATTCCCCTATCGTATGTGTGTGTATGTCCCCCTCTTTCCCCCTCTCTTAGTCTCCACCACTCCTCGAATCAATAGGCCTTGGCTCTGGCCGTTGGCACCTGTCCAGTTGGAGAGCCGGCCATCTACCCACTCCGGGTCTCCACCATATTGATTACTCTCCCCATATACCCCCTTCACTACACCACCTCTTTCACCATTTCCCCCTTTTCTTTTCAACTCTGGTCAGCCGCGGGCCTTCTCTAATTATTACACCCCTCGCATCGCGCCAGCCGTGTATATCCATCTCGCCCTGGAGGGCAGAAATGCCCAATCCGCGCACCCCCCACGGCCAATTTGTGGATTAGCCGGCTCTGACTCTGTAATCACTCCCCGTATCTACTAGCCTAGCCTGCACTCGCGATTTCTAGAAATTGGCCTCACCGATAATTAGTCCCCGGGGGTGTGTCTCGACCGGCGCCATGCCTTTACGTAATTTTGGAAGGTAATTGAAATTGTGTGCCCATTTTGGCCCCTGTTGTAGGTCTTACGGTAGCTTTTTTAGGCTAGTATCTTTTTTTTTTTGCAAGATTTGAATACTTTTGGATAACTAATCTCTGCTTTATCAAAATTTTTCAATATAAATGTTTATTTTGGGACCTTTTCCCACTTCGTAAACTTTAAAAAAACAAACCCTCCTCCCTACTGAGTGTGTGTGTATGTGCCTCGTCAGCCTGCCAAATACGACGATCGATGAGCGTGCTGCGGGTGTGTTTTTGAGGACTGCACATCGCCCTCTCTCCCCCCACCCATCGGTTGCGCCTTTCCGCCACCACCACCCCTCTTTTTCCGCCTCTTTTTGTTGTCCCCCTTTTTTGTCGTCGTCGTTGCCGGCGATTCTCCCCGGGGCCCTTTTTCCGACCAAGCAAGGGGTAGAGGACCCCCGCAACACACACTCGGCTCACCACGCACACAACAAACAGGGCGAGGGCCGTCGTCCCCCGGTCGGCCCGCATCGGGACACCACCACCTGGTCTTCTTCTTTCTTCATCTACCATCATCTCCTCTCGATATACCCGTCCTGTTGTCTGTTTCTCGCCAAAATAGGATAATCTGGGATTTTTTTAGTATTTTTAGGTCCTAGGATTCTCAATTTTCTATAGCAAATTCCCCCAGTTTCCGATTCTCTCCCAATTTCCAAAAAACAATCAATCGATTCCCCGCCCCGCCGACTCGGCAAAGTTTTTTGTTTACACGCCAAAATACGGGCGCTCTCAGCCCCCCAGGTGGTCCGCTATACAAATCGCAGACTCACCGCCGTTCCCGGCGTTCCCTTTCCGCCCTCCTCCTCCTCCTAATACCAATCTTTTTAAAGCTCTCCTAAATCTCCTTTCGGATAGGATCTTTTGTAGACCATCGATTACCCACATTTTTCCAGGCTTCCGATCCGACGATCAAGATCGTGCCCGCGGTCCGTTTGCGCCCTTTGGCCCATCCGGTGCCCGCGCATCCCACCCCGCCAATCTCCGACCCTGGCGTGCCATCCGTCTCCACCAACAGTGCTTCTATCCCAGGTATCGAATTATTTGAAAACCAGCCGGAAATTCGCCCTAACGGCCGAGAAACTGGCTGCACAGAAAACACACATACTTTTCTCGCTTATAGGATAGGATTCCTTAATTTCGCTATTTTCCAGGAACCTCTCCGCCACAGGTGGTGGCCGGTACGGTGGGTGCAATGATGGTTGATCCCTTTCCGCGACCATCCAACACCCTACACCCGCCCGTTCCCACCCTCACCAACGGCAACTCCGAGGAGGCCCACTTGATCACCAACTTTTCGCCACCCCTTACGGTAATAGCAACGAACTAATTTCGATTTTTGATTTTCTAGGCGAGCAGCCAATCCTCCATCGCGCACGACACAACACCCCCGTTGACGACGTTGCTGAAAATTGACGGCCTCGCCGGCCAAACGCCCAACCTCGCCAACATGAACCACATCACGGCGCTGATCAAGGCGGCCAACGAGTTGACCAACCACAACCGATTACCCGGCATGCCGAATGGGACCAATGGCCAGCAACTCGACCCTCGGCTCGAACCGCCGGCGGCCCCAGTTGTCGCTCCGGCCAAGGGAAAACGGGCTCGCGATATCAAACCTGAGATCGAGAAGCCGAAACGGGCGCGGAATTCGAGCAAAAGCCACAAGAGGGGCATCGACTTGCCGGGACCCACGCCAATGGTCAGTAATAGTGATTTGTGCGATTTTAGTAATGTGATTGTTATTTTTAAAAGCAACAACATATTTCCTTTTTAGGAATACTCCCCTGACAAGCCGGACGAAAAGCCAGGCCCGTCAAACGCTCAATTCCCGAACAATGTGTTTGTTGCCCCGATGAATCCGCCATCAACGAGCACGGCTGCCCAGAATGGAGCGATCGTTCCCATCTCCCAAGCCAACATCCCTACGCCCGTAGCGGTAATTTCAATCGTTAAATCCGTTACCTGCTGTTTAGGGTCCCTCTGGCATCGGAAGAAGCGGTACCACCCTCCCGTCATCTATGGAGCAACTTCTGGAACGGCAATGGGAACAAGGAACCCAATTCTTGCTCTCACAATCCCAGCCCTTTGACGGTTAGTCATTTTTCGTTTAGCTTTAATGGTTTTTTTTAGTTTCTCAACTGCTGACTTGTCTGCACCAGTTGAAAAGCGAAAACCTGCGGCTGGAAGAGCAGATGAGCGGGCTGAGTCGTCGAAAGGAGCATCTCGTTGCCCTGATCGCGCGGCTGAACATGCCCCTAGTCCCCATCCCATCCGCCTCCTCATCTTCGGCAAGTAGCAACGGACCTAAGGTGGAGCCCAGATCCCCGGCCGGCACATCGTCCCATCAACCCCCTTTGGCGCGAACCCCCCAGCTACAGCCATCACAACATCCCCCTGGTCCTATCGTCCATCATCACCATCAACAGCAACACCAACAACAGCATCATCAACCCCAACAACATCATCTCCAAATGCCTTCCGGCCCTCAACATCCCGAGATCCGACAGCCGCAGTTGCCTCCCGAGCTGAAGCAGCTCGCGCCGCCCCCTCAGCCACTCCCGCCCCACCCCACTCAACAACAGCAACAACATCATCCTATACAACATCACAATCATCCGACCCCTCCGGCCACCACCCATCCAAAGCCCCAGCTTCATTCAATCCCTCAGGTCCACCCCTCCCAGCAGCCACCACCGCCATCCCAGTCGTTGTCACAACCGGTGAGCCTTATCCCTCTGTTCCTCCCCCTAATGGGTACTTTGGAAAGCTTTGGGCTAGAGCTGTTTTTACTCAATTCAAATCCATGATCAAAAAGGGCCAACATTTTGCGTGGATAACCCCAAAGTGTGCATTTTCCTATGCATTCGCGCTGAATAACCGTTCTTACGTCATTTTCATGCAGAAATTTCAATATTTTATTTTTCTGGATTCGATTTGAGTAAAAACGGCTCTATTTCTGACACACCTTTGTTTTTGTCCTAAATATTTCGGGGGTTCCTCGCCTTTTCAAACCTACGCTTGCCGAGTGTATACAGCGACAAATTTCCTAATATCCCTACGATCACAACTACAGACGTATATGCCCTTTTATATACCATTTTCTAGATGCAGGCTGTCGCCCCGCTCTCAGCAACAATGGCGTCCCCACACCATTCGCCCCACATTCCATCCGGGTCCCACAATCTGCCCACCGGCGATGAAAGCATTGCGCAGCTCAGGAATTTGGCGAACTCTACGGTATTTTGAAGGCTATTTTATTTATTATAATGTGATTTTTTAGATGAACATCTTGCCGCAGACCCCGTTGAGTGCCCTGAATCGACCGACATCGCTCGTGAGGCCGCAACAGGAGATGCCCTCGTCCTCGGCGATGGCATTTGTTACGCCAAGCTCCAGCGCTGCTGCCCATTCCTTCCTGCAACAACATCAAGGAAACCCGGCTCAACAAGCTGCGGCAATGGCGGCAAATCTGCAAGCGTTGCAAAAGTGGGTTTGAAAGCGCATGTTGTAGGGTTAGGATGCATTTCGCCACAATTTTTCTTCTATTAACTGATTTTCAGCTTCCGGCCGAACGTCTCGATGCCGTCGTTTATGGCGTCTGCGTCCCCGCAAATTGCTTCATCACCAGCTCCGGGATTGCAAAGCGAACAGACGGCCCAGTTGATCAACCAAGCGAATGCCGTAGCCCAAGCCGCGGCCAATCAACAAATCAGCTCTGATCGACTAATGGGACTGTTGCAGCCACAACAGCAACAGGGTCAATTCATCGGGGTATGTTTATCTCTACACTCAGTCTCTTTGAAGCTTGAATTTTGTTTTGAGGATTCAACTCTAATCTTTTCCATTTCAGCAACCGTTCTTGACGCAGATACTCCTTCAAAACGCCGCTCAAAGCCAGCACCAACAACATCAGCAGCAAGCCCAGCAGCAACAAAGTCAACGACAACAACAACAACAACAGCTGTTCAACCACAACTCGGCCACCGCCTCCATCATCGCCCAGCTGATGCTGAGCCAACAAGGCGGCCAGGCCCCCACCCTCCATCCACCACATTCAAAATAGCCATGCGGGAACCGTCATTTCTCTTCACACCTCCTTACCTTACGTTAAGTATATATTCTATTATATTCTTAGAGTAAGCCATGGAATTGATTTGTTGGTTGTAAGTTTGTAAGATTAAAATACAAATTCCATGGATTCCTTCCCCTAAGCCGCCCCAATATTATACCTCCATTGCCTTCTGCACCCAGCCCCCGCATCCAACCTGTTTTTGTAAGATTTTGCGCTAAATCCGGTGTATTTGTGTCAAAAAAGATATATGATTGTCATTAGCCAACATTTATGAACAGCGCTGGGATTTTGTTTTGTTCTGCATTGCCAGTATAAAAAAGCGTTCGCCCCTCATCACCCCCCACCTTCTCTTTATCTACCCCTCAAGCCCATACAAAAATTCCAGTCCTAGATTGTTAGTTGCCGTTTCTCTCCCTCGTTAAAATCTATTTATATATCTGCCCTCCTTGTAAACCTCGCCCCCCACCGATCCACAAAAATCCACGCCCCCCTCCCCGATTGCATTTATATTGTTCCTATCTTTATGCCCATTTCTTCTTCTCCTTTTTTAATCTTTGGTGGGGTCTCGCACACCGATTGAAGTGGATATGTCCCTTATTTCCATTCAGGATCGCAGAACCGTGCGCTCCGCACAATAAAACGTTGTAAAATCAAGTTTTCTACTAAAAATGCGGAAAACACACTGTACTGCGAAACAGCCACCCTAGAGACTACCACTAATATATACTCGACAAATTCACTTATAGACAGCCCAAAGCGGATGCAAACCTCAGTTCGAATTGATTTTTTTGGCGTATTTTTGGCATTTAGAATTGGAATTCGTGATATTATAATATATACTCATTGATGTGGAATAATGGAGTAGTTCTATTATTACTCACCGAACTGTTGTTGATTTTAATAAAACATATTAATATCGATTTTACGTGGGAAACCGGCAACGATTGGCAATTAAAACATGCTATTTATATTTCGGAAATGGATTTTGTCTAATTATAAAATCGACGGCTGCTGTTATGGCCTTGAGAAAAGCGTAGCTAACGGCTAGCCGAGTCACACGGACCCCCCCGTCCATTTTTCTCCCCACACACACGCTGCGATAAACACATTTTCCGATACTTGGCTTCCGCAGAAAACAAGCCCTAGTTTTTCTATATTTCCTAAAATTTCTAGAAATGCAAACGATTTTCCTAACTGGAGGAATCGCTTCCGGAAAATCGATGGTCACACAGGTATTTTGAAATATTGTTTTGATTTCATCATGATTTTTAGACCTTCCGTGAAAGAGGCATTCCTGTGATAGATGCTGATCAAATTGCGAGAGATGGTTTGTTTTTCGCTACGTTTTATAGGTTGTTTTAGTGGTTGAACCCGGAACGGCCACATATCAGAAATTACGTGCCGAATTTGGCTCCCAGTACTTTGATGACGAAAACAATGGAAAGTTGAAGCGAAAGGAGCTGGGCGACTTGATTTTTAACAATACGGACGTGAGATGAATTTAATTGTCATTAGATTTGTTTAGAAAAGACGACGCCTGAACGCGATCACGCATGGAGCCATACGATGGGAGATTTTTAAACTCGTAAGTAGGTTTAATTGTATTGAAAAATAGTTTAGTTCTTCTCTGCATTGTTCCGCGGCGAAAATACAGTACTACTCGATATTCCGCTGTTATTTGAAGCTGGGATCTACAAATATTGGCCTTTGTCGACTGTGATGGTTGTCTATTGGTAAGAAAATTGATTTTTAGGGTGATTTTCGGTTTCTGTTCAGCACACGAGAACAGCAAATCACACGTCTAATGGCCAGGGATGGATATACGGAAGAAGAAGCAGTAGCTAGGGTCAATTCACAGGTACATCAAGGCTTGAATTTCCCTAAAAATTGTTTTCAGATGTCAATCGAAGAAAAGAAGGCAAAAGCGGATATCGTTGTGGAGAATCGATTCAGCAAGGAGGAGCTGATACATACAGCAAGTCTGGTAGGGTTTTGCTATCTAACAATATTCTTTTTTTAGCGAGTCGATGACTTCGAGGCGAGCTGGGCTCCATTCAAAGCGCGACTTGGCCTCTTGGTAGGAGCCGTTTTCCTGTTTGGGTTCTTCTTCTTCAGACGCTAGTATGTTTTTAATTTGGGGTGTAAAGAATTGATGTGATAAATTCTTTGAAGTATGATTGAAAACTAACACGCTAATATACAAGTTAGATACTTTATAAATTACATATAGTCCTTCATAATTGGCGGTATCTGTAGCGGCGGCAAATTCTCATAAATCGGTCCCGGCGGGGGCAATGGCTTGGGTCTCGCGACAAATAGATCTCGGCTCGGCGGCTCGCAGTACATGTCCGCCTTAATTACGTTCAAAAAACGTTAAAAGTGATACCAGAAAATTATTGGGGAGCCCAGTGGCTAACGTTTTTGCTACGTAGCAATTTAGACGGCTATTTGGGTGCTAAATTTCAAATAAAACTGGAAAAATTAAATATTATCACCTGAAATTGTCGATTCCTTGTATTTTCAGAACTACTTTTTTGGGAGTGATAGGGGGCTATATATTCGGAAAGTGGCACCTACAAATTTAATGATTTTGGATTAATTTGGACCTACCACAGTATCTAACAACGCAGGTAAAAATATTAAACCATGCGCCACGCCGATAACCACCACGAATACGGTAGTGTACACGAATGTGCGAACAATATAAGATGGAACTGCTGCCAGCATGATCACCCCAGCTACGGTAGAGAGAGCCGCTTGCCAAATTGGGGCGAACGTCACGCTCAGGCAATGCTGTGATAAATTTCTAATATTTGTATTTTAGTTTAAACTTACCTTTAGCCGATCCTCTTTTTGTATCACAAAATGGAACGTAGAATGGGCAACGTAATCTACTGAAAACCCGATAGACATCACGATCGTGATCATCGAAATGATATCCAATCGAGTCCCAGCTAGCGCCAAACATCCAATAACGCCAATGTTAATTGAGATTATTGTAATAGCTAAAAATTTGATGCCTTGAGCTTATTAACTTTTCCCTTACTTATACAGGCAGCTGACACCGGTCTTGGCACTAATAATATGCAAATTAAAAGCATTGCAACAACAGCTTGAACGGCATTCTCGATTATAGCATACACAGACGCTTGTTGCTGCTCAACGAGTAGAAAACTGGATTTTAAGATTTTGATAGCTATTCAATTCCAATACCTAGTATCGTACACAAATCCCCGATACATTGACTTTTCCATCGTCTCCATCATAAAGCTCCTTCTTGGGACTTCTGTAGCTGGACTTAGATGCCGTAATCGGAAAAGCATCTTGACATTTGAGACGATCCCGGAACCGGTGAATCTAAGCAAATTAAGTTATTGCTAAAAATCTTGGGTTTACTGTATATCGTGCTTAAACCGTTCGTTCTCCTTTTGCCGTAAAAATCTCATCAAATTTTGCATGAAGTGAGCTTCATCCAGATTCCGTCCACCAATGAATTTGTCGTACCTCTCAACCCAGAATTCATAGGGGGACGCGAATTTTGAGCTTAAAATTTATTAAAATTGTTTTTTGAAGACGTACCTGCCAAGGGTACGATAGAAATGTATCAATTTCTTTCTTTGCGCGGTTTTACCCAAATTTATCTCACTCGTGTTGACGACGGCGAAGCAAAATTGGCCATAATTATTGAAGAGGCTCAAATCCGTTAATTTTAGAATATAAATTGCCCTACCGCTCTTGTGATTCCAATTCTTTTGCGACATACGATCCATCTGGGGTTAGTTGCTTCAGATCGAGTCCGATAGGTAATTTTAGGCAGTAATAAATAGAAGCCACTAGATCTGGCGTTAATTATCTGCTTAAAAAATTACCTAGATATAAAATGTATATAATTAGAATGCCACATTTAGTTAATGGAGATTTTATATAAGCTGCCATTTTCTCTCCAAAATCTGAAGCTTCTGAAGGGGTTTCAGGCAGCATTTGACGCTGAGAACCAAGTGACGAACGATCGCTCACTAAATCTAATTTTTTGTAGATAAAAATAGTTTACTATTACCCGTTTTCCGCTTTATCTTTTGCCACATAAAGAAGCAATGCCTCCCTGCAGCTTCTCGTCTACATAGCACTAACATTGCCGCCGAAAAGAAGGTGACTTGATAGACAAAAAGAAAAAGCACTGCCATCGCACAATAAGTGCAGAATACCCCTAAATCCGTATTGCTCCAATTTAAGGAGGTGAAACTCACGGACTGCATGAAAATTCGATATGCTTCCTATGGAAAATGATAGGCCATCGGTGAGAGATGTGAGCAGTAGTGAAGCGGAAGTTTCGGTCATTGCAGATACAAATCTAGACTTTGGAAAGATTTTCCGTTAAAACCTACCTTTCCTCGGCTGAGAAATGGCCTTCCTGTAGCCGCCAACATTTCAAAAGCAAAAACGCATTATCAACCCCGATCGCTGAATTTACGTATAGGAATTATACAGATTAGTAGAAACATACATATGATTAAAAATGGCATAATAAAGACTAGGGGTAAAAAGGGGAATCTTGTAGCGATTAGTAGACATAATGAAGATACTACAGCCAACATAGCACACACTAGAGCAGCTAGACCAACGAATGGCTGTGAGCGGATCATGTCCTGAATTTAAAATTTGTTAATTGAATTTAATGATACGGTTTTTACCCCATCGCAACAAATCCCCATGCAAAGTACGACCAGTACTATCACCATCACTGGCGTCCAAGGGAGCAGCAGCTAAATAATCGATTTTTAAGTTTATAAATGGTGCTCACATCCCCATTCCTCTCTATCTCTTTCGGCAAAGATCTCGACGAAGAATAATACAAATTTGTGTTTGGAATCTCGGCCTTACCCATTTTTTCGAGGAACGAGTCGATCCACCTAAATGATAATTTAAGTTCTGTTTTTTCCTTACAAATCCGCTTTTGGACTAAAGTCCAATAAATAATAAAGTCGAAGTGCTTTGGCAGAAACTACGACTGAATTTCCGTTCGCATCCTTTGTACCCTCGGTTCTAACGCCTCCGAGTAGTAATGCGTAGTCTAAATTTGATAGTGTTTAACGTTTATATTAGCGTACCTATACTAGCATTAGCTATCACAAATTGTGGATATTTGAGTATGAAATTGACGCTGAGTTGGGGATCGGTGTCTTCCAAGGCAAAAGCCAATGGATGCTGGGCACAACCGTCGGTTGGCGATAAACGGAGGCATATCGAGGGATATGTGATGCCAGACGAAGTCTGAATTCAAATAAGTTTACAAAATGAATTTTAACCCGAACGGACGTGACACTCTTGTGAAGCTGCGTCAGTTTTTCTAGATTCCCGGCTGTTAGGATATTCCGGTCTTCAGAGAGATCCTAAACTAATGATTTTTAGGTTTAAGGTAAAATGCCTGACCTCCAAAGTGGTATATGCAAATTTTGAGCCCAGCACCGAATAAGAATCCCTCTGTGGATCGGAGGGTGGAAAGATTTCGATCAGCTTTTCGAGGTTTTTAAGAGATTCGATATCATCGGGGAGGAAGACCTAGGTATATTTTTACGTTTAGTTTTTCACTTACCTTTAAAGTATCGGTACTGACGTTCAGCCGGAAATCATAGGCAGCTAGCGCTAGTAGAAAAACAGTTAATAAAGGCGGTATAATAAGGAATGGTAGCGGTCTTCGGACTACCCATAGTGACAGCCACTAAAGTTTAATTTTCGTGCGAAAAACGACTTGGTAAACCTCGAAAAACTGCGATACAACGGCCTGAAAGTTCATCGTCAACCCGGGCTTTGTCTTAGCATTTTAGAGCTCGTCGAATTATGGAAATACCTGAAATTTCGAAGTTTCAAATGCCGGTTAAAGTTGCCAAAGCCAGACACAAAAGCCAAAGATTCCCGCTTAAGAAAAGCCCGCCCAGAAGAAAACCAGCGGCCACTGGGAGCGCATGGAATAAGTGGGAGGACCTGTGGAAACCCAGTTTCAGACGGCTGCCGGCCATAATTATCCTCTACCGAAGCGGAGGGTCAGTCCCGAGACCTCAAGAAGACGCGCGACTTCACACAATAGACACACCACACATCCCCGCCCTTCCCTCAATACTTGCCTCATCCCACCTACCAAGCTGCCAGTTGAAGCTTGAAAAAAGTGGAAACTGGATGGGCTATGGCTTCTAACGGCTTTTGTATGCCAGCGGAAAATTTTTAAGCGTAAGCTCATTTATTAAGCAAAAGTGAGTCGATAGGGATCATCACAGCACTTATAGAAAAATTCTAGCAACCAGTAACAGTTCAAAAATCACATCAGGGTACGGGAATACACGTTGAATATTGGGGGATTTTGGAGGTATTGAAGGCTATTATGCAAATCGAAAAAGTAGGGTACGGTAGAGGGTACGTAAAAATAATAAGTACAAACTACAAATGTACACTAATTAACATAGGAGCTTGATATTTCCGTTATTAGCTCCGATCAGGAAGGTATTATTTAACGGTAGATAGGCAAGGGCGGTGACTTGCCCGGAGACGATATCGCTCTAAACATCTACCATTAAAATTTTTAAACTTTTCGATACCTTGATCTTCGAATTAAGGATCATTTCCTGATTTGAATACAGCCGGAAATTGTTGCCGGTTTGGATTGTAGCCAAAGAATCTCCCTCGGCAGACATACACTGAAAGGGCAGGGTTTAGAAAATGACGTTTACTAATTTTTACCAAAACGGGATCAGGAGTACTCCAACGACGCTCAATTCGAGGCGCTGCCTCAAAAACAACAGCTTCCTCGTCACTATCAGCAACGATAAAGCAAGTGGGAGATATCCAATTGATCTAATAATTTTTTGTATTTTGTACTCTAATATTTTTCTTACCGATGAAGCATGGGTATAATTTCCATACGACAAAGATCCCACTCTCCCAGTCCTCGGATCAACCACAGCTACAGTACCATTTGACAAAGAAATTGCCATTCTGTTGCCATGAACGGATAGAGAACGAACGACTCCTAGAAACGTTACTGTAGCTACTATGGTTTTTACGTACCTGGCGCTGGATTTATTCGGAACTCTGCTACCCAATCGGCCATTCGTGTATCATGGATTCTAAAGCACAAAATAATAAAATAGTCTTTGTTATTCGTACTTTATGCTCGAATGCAGGGAGCTGGAGGCCACTAAGGTATGTCGATCCAAAGTATCGATGCAGTGTATCATCCCGTCACCACCCCATTCGAGTTGTGAATGTAGGGCGCCTCGGAATGGGTCCCAGACCTAAATATTAACCTTATTAAAATTTTTGAGAATTTTTACATGCAAATAACCATCGGTCGAAGCAATCAGACCACTTGCCAAGAGTCGTACATCACGGACGGTTCCGGAATGTCCCTAAAAGTGTGATTATAGGTGAAACTAAAAATTTTTAACTTACCTTGTAAGTCCACTGGCATTGGGATGTCTCTTGGTCATGTCTGATCGACCATAGCTTGACCGTCTTGTCACTTGACGTTGTCACAAAGCTATTTTCGTTCGACAGCGACTCGATGCGTCGGATTGCTCCGGAATGTCCGGAGAATGTGCACAGGGTGATTTGGTCGAAGCGGGGGACGTGTCTGAGGCAATCTTACAGTTTTTAAGTTGGAATGACCTACTTTGTGCCGCTTCCACAAACGGCAGCTGATACTCTGGCACACCAGAGGTTGCTGAGGGAACCACCGGAGTCGAAGGCTCTATAAAAAATAGAATATATTATTTTGGGTATTGGGAAAGGAAATAACACTAAAACCCAAAAACCCGGACAGGGAAAGAAGAGAGGTTCAATAACTAAAAAATCACAGCAAAATTTGGTTTCTAGATGTCGTTATAATATCCTAAATTTTTTAAGGTATCTAGAACGCTTTTAATGACATTTCTTGAAGGATAAGCACTATTAAGCTTCATAAACATACCCCGCTCCTCCCAGCGCCAAATAAGACGTCGGGGTGCCGGCCGACGACAACGAGTACAACCTGTTGCCCGACGACACCCCGGTCATATTGCAATGGTCTGGCGTGCCTGAGATCGTACGAGTACGTTTCGTCGCAGGGAGGGCCACACTTTGCGCAGACACAAATGGGACCAAGAAGGAGGGATCCGAGCAGAAGGAAGATAGCATTGGCACTCCCCATTCTTCGCAGAACGTCACCACAACGGATTCGACGTACCACAGGGGGGAATGCGTCGAGAAGCTAAAAAGTAAAGAAACCTACGTTTTAGGTACTATCACTCTCCATTTCTCTCTTTCTCTCTCTCTCTATATCTCTCTTACCGTCTTGTTTGCATTTGGCTTTGCATGTAGAGCCAATTCCTCGTTAGCCTCGTATAACGTCACGAAAGCGTTGAAAAATGTCTAAGCTATAGTTTTTAAAACGCAAGTTCTCGATCCACCTCAAATGGCTGCTTCCCATACATCCGCACATTCTCAGCCCCGATCCGCCTCGAGATTTCGAGCAAAAATGCGAGTATCTATACCCCTATTATTTTTTTGAGTAAACTCTCATACCTTCGAAGCCAAAGCCCGCCTTGCCGATACGGTAGTAAAGTTAAAATCACTGGAGCAAACCATGATTGTCAGCTTCTCGATGATCTTTCCCATGAAGATGTCCTGCAATTCGTTCACTATAAAGGTTTACTAACTTTTCCAAACCTCCAAATAGCTCATCAATTGGTTGTCACCAAATGATCTCATGGCTAGTCTTGTAATACGAAGCACAGAGATGAGACTAGCTTCGAATTGGCTGGCTCCTCGTCGCAATACTTGTTCAATAATTTCACAACAGAATGGGACGTATTGGACCTAAATCCGAGTATTACTATAAAAGATTTGGCTATCAACTTACGCTGATGAAAGTAGAGCTGTATGAAGCGGCGATTTCAGCCAAGCATAGCTCAACTCGGACTCCAATTGCGTCGCCGTACAGTGGTTGATTAAAAGCATCCTAAACAATTATTGGCTTTTAAGGTGACAATTAAAAGCATACCTTATGAACTTGATGTTCCTTAATGATCTCAAGATTTGAGTAGCAAGTGGCATGAACACGCAGTAGATTTGAGGAGATGAAGCGGGCGCAGACCACTGGGCCGTAGCGTTTGGCAAGCCTGGAAATCGAAATTTTTTGATTTTGATTTTTGGAGCCATACCATAGTATACTTTCTTTTGCAACAATTGATCTATCTTCAATTTTGCTGGCAACAGCTTCAACAAGTGTAGGAACGATCTGGAGGCGTAGTTCACTTTTGTTTTTCTGATACTTACCTCGTTCAGGAATACTTTAGCCCCATAAGCGATAGAAACTTGAAGTAAGAAGCGCCGATCGAGAAGCTAGATTTTTTAGGTTGAAAGTCATAGAGTCACTTACCTTAACAGTATTGTCATCATGCAACAAATTCTTTAGCGGCTGTAGCAGCAAATCGACAGAACTTTTTGAAAACACTCGGCAAACCGCTGGAAAAAGCCGAGATACCTAGAATCTCCATTTATAGCCTACTTCCGATACCTTACCGCTGCTATCGAAGCCTTTTGATTGTTCAAAAGCCTTGCCACAAGCCTTGTCAACCTTTCTTCCCGGTTCTGAGAACCACTGGCCAGTAATAAACATCCTCGGAGCCGTTCAACCTCCCCGTGCAACGCATTGGCTTGGGTTTTTTCTAAGCATATTTTCTCCATTTTTTTCTCAACCTAACTATCCCTACCTGTCTGTTCTATACAAGCATAACAGCGCACCAAGTGGCATGCGTAAAAAGTGCAGAGTAAGCTGTGGAATTTTTGCACGTCCGCGGGTACTGTAAAATTTTGTTTTTCGTGCCTATCTGCGGTTTAACTAACTATTCAGCAAAACTGGAAAATCCTTGAAGAACTCGTTGGCTGTTGGCATTGTGTTCTCGTCAAGGGCAAGTTTTAGAATTTTCGGAAATACGTCACGAAGGTGTCTATAAGCAAAAAATTATGTAAATTATTCGATTTTACCTTGGTAGCTTAGATTGATATTTCAGGGCGTGGTTGTAATTCAAACCCGTATACCAATCCGATTCTCCACGTCGGCTGAATTCGGTGGGGAGGGCAATCTTGAAGAAAAGTTTTTATTTTGACGTAGACATTACCTCGATCATGGTGTTTAACAGGCTTCGAATAGTTGGAACGAGCTCATTGGTGCAGAATTTCTAAAAATCGGTTAGCTTTTTTTTTTCGGACTTACAGAAACGCGTTTAATTTGATTATACAGTTTCATCAAATTGTTGTCATCGCCGTCTTCTTTTCTCTCATCATTTTCATCGTTCAAATTCTCCCCCTCGAGCTTAGCTTCATCATCCCTCGTCATGCCGTAGAAATTTGTTTTTGGCTCAGATTCAAGATCAAATCTGGAAAAGTTAATTGGCATAATCATTTTCTTTGCATACTTCGATGGATGTGGCGTTTGAAATAGTTGTACAACTCCGTGATCCACGATTTCTGTCGATTTATCGGCGTATCCAAGATGGACATTTAACGAATCGATGGCAGCTTGTCCGCTTAGCTAAAAAAACCCTTAAATATTCCTGCTCAAATAATTTACCTTGTATCCAAAAACCAAATCAATCCATTCATGAAGCTGTGCAGAGACCTCATCACTCTCCAGCCGCGATCGATGCCATTTAATGAATTCAGAGGGTGACTCAGAAAACAACGGGAGTTCGAGGTCCGGCATATCGTTGTGGGTTGATTCTAAAAGAAGCTATTTTTTCCAAAATATGCTTACTTAAGATATTTGGGTCTTCATAAAGCTCCGGAATGCATTCATCTGGTGCCAAATCATACATCCGCTTGACGCTGGCGGGGTATTCACGTGGTTCCCACTAAGTTATAAAAATATAAAAGTTAAATTTTCTATACATACCGTGGCTCGAACATATTTACATAAATTCTCCTTTGTTTCGACCCTAGCTCGATAGACCATATAACTGTGGTCAGACAGCAGCTCCGGAATATGATGGGCCTGCTCACTTTTAAACATTTGCCTAAAATAAACTGATTTTTTTTCTTCTGGGCGTGGGTTACTGTAATTGCGGATCGCCCTTTTGAAGCCGATATTTGCTTTTGTGCAGTGGTCTCCAACCAGAAGTGCTAGAAGTAAAATCAACGACCCAAGGCACGATCGGGTGATTGTGGATCTGAAGCGATTATTGATATTTGGTGAGTTTTCGGATTTACGTACCGCTCCTCTTTTCCGCCCTGCCAAATCATTCAGTTGCAAAATATAATCCAGATTTGATGTTTTTCCCATTCGCCATTGATTGGTACAGTAGGACAAATCGATTCCACTTGCTGGCGACTTCAATGACCGGTCAGTTTTGAAATATTGTAGCACATCGTACTCCAGCCACAGCACGTTGTCGCATTTGAATTTGTAAGGTCTGAAAGCTCGTTGTCATTTGTATACGCTTTGGTCCCTTACGTAAAAACTGGATAAATTTGCATTTTTACCAGCTGCTGGCCGCATTCGAATAATTGGGCGTAGAGTAGGTGCAAAGCCTAAACATTTTGTTAATTTTTATGTTAATTACCTCCGAATTCACGTCCAGATTGCGATGTGGGAATCGCAGAATTTGAGCGAGAGAATAAGATGCGTCCGTGATGGGCGAGATTACAGTAGTCTTGTCCTAAAAGGCCAAATTTTGGATTTGAATTAGAATTTTTGCCTGTTCGACGATAATCAGCCATATGGGTCGAATATGAGGGATGATTTTTGGTTTTCTCAATATCATTTCCGTCGCTGAAAAATTGTGATAAATTTGCATATTTGGTAATTACCATCTCCTGCGTTCAGCATTAAAAATGAAGCGCCAATCTCCTCGGCCAAATATTTCCAAATCGATGTCCAATTTCTTCGTACAGGATCGTTTTCATAAAGACTGCATGCATCGAGCCTCTTGGTTACACGGCATATTTCGTGCCGGAGCAGCTGCGGATTTTCGTTACATCCGGTTTTTCTAATCAAAGTTTTGTTTTTCTATAGCAGGTTAATACCCAAATTGGCTGAATTTTACAGGGTCTACATCCTCAGCCGTCAATCGTTCTGCTGTACACTTTACATCGCCGAAAATCACGGTTTCGATCTGGAAAATACTTTTTTATCGGTTTTCCGCTTCAGTGAAAGGATGCTTTTGTAAATATTGACCTTTGAATCGTTCGAGAATGCATCTAGGATTTTTTTGGCTTCAGAGAAAAGGTCTTCCTTCGTGATAGAGCCCATATTAAGGGCAGAAAGGCATTCTTCAATGGCCTCTTTGAAGGAAATTGGGGATGGCGGCATAGGTTGAGGGCGGCGCATAATTGGGAAGGGGGTAGAGTATCGGGACGGAACCATTGTCGTTATGGTATCCATAGAAACTGAATGGGATTGTGGTTTGGGGGAAGAATATAAACAATGCGAGAATGGAAGGATCGAGTTACTTTTTGTTAAATGACGTTGTTAGTTGGGGCTCTTTAACAATGTTTGTAATGTTTCTAAAGTTTTGGAACCTGAGATATGCAAATTAGAGCTTGAAAAACAGCTACCGTAATCTTCAGAGCTCTATCGATTTATTAAAATTATAAAAAACCTGCTAATTCCTGAGGCTTGCTCTAAATCTGGAAATTTTAGTCGTTCCCCATTACCTCCATGCTCGCCTAGCGTTTTAATTAGCTAAAATCCAAATTTTTTAATTACCACAACTTTCCCCATCCTCAGAAACACCTGTTGACTCACTTTCAACTCCAAACGTTGCCTAGGAGATCGAGCTCCCCCTCAAAACGTAGCCGCGATGGCCGTTGGAATAGTAGATGAGCCCGAAGAACCCCCGCCGGCGATGGCTCATGAAATCGTCGAGTGGAGCCCCTCGCAAGGCTGGCTAGCCCTGGCTTCCTACGGTGGAGGCGCGGCTCAAATCAACTTTTTCACGAGTGGCGTATGCTAATTTGAAGGTGTACTGTATTTCCCATATAGGGTCAAAAAACGGAGGGAGTTCCATTAGCTCGAACTTGTCGAGCTACAGTTATTGAATGGCATCCCACAGAGCCGATTTTGGCTGTAGGATGGGAAGATGGAGCGCTGACGGCGACGACACCAAGCAGGGCACCTGGTAATTTCCATATTACGTAAATATATGTAAGGTTCTATGCTTAGAAGAGACGCTTATTGATCTAAATCTATCCGAAATTGTGTGTCTACGATTCAGCTGTGATGGAGCGCATCTTTGTGTTGTTGATTCGGTAATAAGAGACAAAATCTGCAAACAATTTTTAGGCAAATCTCGTCGTGGTTTTGGGAGTCAGAAATCTGCAGTCCGAATTCAAAATCAAACGTGTTTTTGATTCAAAACTTGGCCCAAAAATTAACGCGATTTGTCAAAGACCAGGACCTGGGTGAGTGTCAATCGCGCGAAGACTAAGTTTTTTCAGAAATGCTGCAATTACTGCGGCGCAAGAACCGGAAACAGATGAAATCGAGGAGGATGGTATTGAAGAAGCTGGTCCGCCTATCCGAAAGGCAATACTATTTTTACTTCTAAAGCTAGATTTTTAGAATGGACTTTCTCGAAAAGGAGATGCAAATTCCTGGAAGGGTGTATTCTTTCTGGGAGCAGCAAGTGGTGATATTTACGCCTTAGCTGCTGCCGAGCCGATGAAGACTACTATCAACGTAATTTACCAAAGTTAGTCACTAAATTTATGCAAATTTTTAGATAATTTCCTCTGTAGCACAGCTGTATTCTGTGGAGACCAAATCGATGCTAATTGCGCTTGGCGATGATATGATGTTATGGCATATTTTGATCGCTTCTGATAACACTGGTGCTGAAAAGATTAAGGCAAAAATACTACAAAAATTTAAACGTCTCAATTTTAGGTAAAAGTCGGGGGTCGGCTCGATACTTTTTCAATGGTTGTTGCTGATCCCGGGCTTTTGATCATGAGCTCTGGGGAGCGGGAGTTACGGTAGTTGTCAAACTCAAAAAGCTACTCTATTTTAGTGTCTGGGACCTATTCTCTGAAGAAAACTTCACGCTAGCTCTTGCTCAACAGCAAGGATTTGATTCTAACGACAACACGAGCTGCGTTACGTATTCTAGAAGAAAAGGTTGTAGACGAAATTTCCAGAATTTGACAACTTTATTAGGCATGATCTCGGCCGGAACTTGCACCGGAAAAGTAGCAACTTGGCGAAAGAGGAGTGGAGGCCAAACTGGTGTTGATGGGTGGAAGCTACAAGGAGCTGTGATTTTGGGACCTCAAGTAAAGATTTCTTATTTTTATATAATTAGCATCTTTAATTAATCCAATTAATTATTAACACCCATATCATCGACATTACCCTATTTTTCAGATTGTTGATCTAAAATGGTGTCCAACTTCTGCGGCTCTAGCTGTCAATACCGGAGCGGATATTACGATTTTGCAGGAAGACCATAATATTGTGCATTTTCACAATAAGGTTCTGCAGATTTGCGAAAAGTACGTTAAAATGCAAATTTTAGGTCGCCGGGATGCAATTAGGGCAAAATCATTTTACTTTAATTCACGTACTAACTGGAACCGCTCAAGAGTTGAAGCTACCATTCCTTGGAAAAGGGATCCACATTGCTGAGAAGCAATTAGTCGTCTGGAGTGATGACACTGTAAGTTTCCGCACCTATTTTTTCAAATTAAAATTCAGGTAAATACATATGATGTTCAAACATCCCTCGCAACTTTTCAAGCATCTTCTTTTCAATGTAGTGCACAGGTACAATTATAAAAAATGATAATTCAATATTTTTAGGTCATTGGAATGGCCAATCAAGCTCTCTATTGTTTAGAAAGAGATAAGATAAATGTGAGAACACTGCAGGTTTAAAAATTAGCTTATAGAGATTTAATGACTATTTAGGGAACCTTAAAACAAGTTATGTCACTCCCAGAAATGGAGGGTGATCCTGTCAGTATCGATGTGAATGGGATTTGGATGGCTGTCGGATCGACAAATGGTTTTGTGAGGATTTACGACTTGAGGGGACGGTAAGAAGACCTCGAAAATATGCTAAAATTTCATTAAGAGAAGCAAAACAAGAATACCATGCAAAATACGTCGTCGAAAATGTGGCCGATTTCTTTCGATTTACACAAGTGAAAGTGAATGCAACGGGTACAAAAGTGGCATGTACTTTTTTGGAGGTAAATAAAAACTTTAGAAAAATCAATATTTTGTAGACAATGAACGAGCTTTCCGATAAAGTATTGATCTGGGATGCAGAAGCGGATACTGTTGGCTATTTTTCGCTTTATAAGGTAGCCTAGTCTGGGGCTAAAATTTAATTTTTATAGGGAATGACCGACCAACAAGAATACGAGGCAGAAGCGGAAGCCAGCTTGGGTGGAGCTCGCCCACAAACAGCAGCTGCTAGAAAAATGGAAAAAGAAAAGATGCGGTTCAGCATGCCATGCCATAAGCCTGGTCAGATCCATTGGGACGCCAGTGACTCCAGATTCTTAGTCACTGAAGCTATTTACCAGAATCCGGAATTGGTATGCAAATTCTGTTGTCTCATCTAGTGTATCTAGGGAGATAATTTCGTGATCTCCATGTTTGCCACAGCCGAGCATGGCATACAAATGCATGATGTTCAACAGAAAAGTCTTCAGTGTGATGCGCTAATGGGAGTCCAAGTCCCGTTTATGTTTTTTATTAAGAAAGTAAGGGATTATTACACTCAACGTATGTAAATTTGTAGAGTGAATATGAGGAAGAAGAAGTTAGACACGAGAAAACTGTTGGAAGGATGCTAATTGCAAGGACGATGAAAGAATTTGCCGGTATGCTGTTGCTTCGCGATTTTTATATATTTTTCGAAGGTCTCGAGCATTCCGATGAACCCACCAAGAAAGCACTACTAGATTTTTGTTTTTATCTAACGATCGGCCAAATGGATGACGCTTTTAAATCGATAAAATTTATTAAAAGGTATAAAACCTGAAAACTACTGTATCTCTTTCCCTAGTGAATCCGTTTGGGAGCACATGGCGGCGATGAGTGTGAAAACAAGAAGATTAGACGTTGCTTCACTCTGTCTTGGCCATATGGGACTTGCTAGGGCTGCTAGAGGTTAGTATTAATTCGCGAGAATAGTTATATTTTGATAGCTCTGCGACGATCCCAGCGCCAAGGCGACCCTCCAGAAGTACAGTGCGCTACGCTAGCGATTCAGATTGGAATGATTGTAAGAAAAATAACACAAAATCGCAAGAAATTAAAAATTCAGGATGAAGCTCAAGCTCTCTACGCATCTGCTGGTAGATACGATCTTCTGAATAAAATGCTGCAGGCACAAAATGCTTGGGCTCCGGTAGAGAAACTAATTATAAAGAAATCCGACCGTTTTAGGCCTTTGAAATTGCTGACAAAAAGGATCGAATCCATTTGAGGCATACTCACTATAACTACGCGACTTATCTAGAATCTGTTGGAGCGATCGAAGCTGCTGTGGAACAGTATGAAACCCGTTGATTATAAATTTGCATGGTTTTAGCTATGAAAAATCCGGAACCAACCACTTTGAAGTCCCTCGAATGTATGGGGATAATCCAAAAGTACTAGAAAATTATGTACGTCGGAAACGGGATGTGTAAGTTTTGTCTAACCAAGTGTAATTGATGATTTTTCAGGGAGCTCCAACGCTGGTGGGCCCGTTATTTGGAAAGTATCGGAGAGCTTGATGGGGCCATGAATTTCTATGCGGTGGCCGGGGATCATTTATCGGTTGTTAGGATCAAGTCGTTACAAGGGAAGAACACTGAGGTGTCGGAAAAGCCTTATTTTTATGCTTAAAAATTCAGGCAGCCAAAATCGCCTCAGATTCCAACGACAGAGCTGCTTGTTATCATATGGGAAGGACTTATGAAGCTGGTAAACCTAAAATTAAGGATGATACCTTAAAGAATTTCAGACGGCCAATTCGAACAGTCTGTGGATTTCTACACCAACGCCCACGCGTTTAGCAGTGCTATTCGTTTAGCAAGGGTAATTTTCAGACTTGAATTTTAACGAAATATTTTTTTAAGGAGCACGACATGCGAGACAAACTGGCAAATCTGTCCCTAATGGCTGGTGGCACGGATTTGATCGAAACTGCAAAGTAAGCTAATCTTCAACTTTTCGATATTTGTTTTTCAGATATTATGAAGATCTTCCCGGTCATGCTCATCGAGCTGTAATGTTGTATCACAAGGTAAGCTGCAATTTTTCGTGATGCACCGTGTTTTACCTGATTTTCATAATTTAGGCTGGTATGGTTGGGCGAGCATTGGATTTAGCATTCAGGACCGAGCAATTTTCGGCTTTGGACCTTATCACTAAGGTATTTTCGTATCTGTCGTAGTCAAAGAGCTTCTAGGACCTGAATACCGACACCGATTCGAGCACCCTCAAGCGCGCTGCTGAATTTTTCGCTAGCAATCAAAACTTTGAGAAAGCGGTGGAATTACTGTGCTTTGCAAAAGAGGTAAAATTATATATTTTTGATGCATATTTCCCATTAGTTCCAAGATGCGATCAATATGTGCTCGAGAAGAAATGTGAGGATGAGCGAGAGGCTAGCTGAACTCATGACACCCACAAAAGAAAACACCCCGGATTTGAATGCGAGGAAGAGGGTCAGTTACTGTAGTCATCGTACCTTCAATTTTATATATTTTTAGATGCTCGAAAGCGTCGCAGAACTTTGCTTAAATCAAGGACAGTACGCGTTCGCTGCCAAAAAATATACTCAGGTATTCAAATTAGTTGATTTAGATTTTATTGACATTTTTAGGCTGGCGATAAAGAAAGTGCAATGCGAGCCTTAATAAAATCCGGCGATGCGGCGAAAGTTCGATTTTTCGCAACGACCGCAAGATCAAAGGGGATCTATATTCTTGCAGCAAATTTTCTACAGGTTTTGTCATATTTAAAATTTTTGCAGGCTATATCTAGACAACCGATTGGCGCGGTGATGCAGATATTATGCGTGATATTGAGAATTTCTACGGTAAAGCCCAATCACAAGAACACTTGGCAAATTTTTACATAGCTTGTGCGCAGGTAAATTTCATAGCTCAATTTTTAGTGGCTTTTAGATGGAAATCGAGGACTATCGAGATTTTGGGAAAGCTGGCGATGCATTGGGAGAAGCGGAAAAGAGCATAAACGTCGGGCTTCAAAAAGCTCCAAACGCCGCGCTACAAGAGTTGCAAAATACGACCCGGAAATTCAGGGGCCAACTGGAAAAGTTCCAGACTATTAAGGGGTTTGTTTTGCCAGGAAAAACCTCTTAAATAACTATTTAGAGTCTACGAAACCGATACAACAGACGCTGTGCGACAACTGACAACTTTGGCAGAAGATGCGACAGAAGATGACTTGATCCGGCCTTCTCACATATTTTCATTGTTAATCGGACATCACGCTGGCAAGCAGAGCTGGACAGCTGTAGATTTCTGGCTTAAAACATTATTTGTTCGCTATTTTAGGCCCATCGGTGTATATTACAACTTAAAAAGCAGCAACCTAACCTTGATCTCACTACCGTAGTCCCGGAAGATGTTTTGGATAAGGTAGTTTTATATTTTTTCTGTATATACCTTTCAATATACATAATTCATTTTTTTAGGTTTGTGATGAAGTAGGCGCAGAACGGGTAACAGCTAAAGCCGGTCCAACTGGCGCGGAATCTGATGACGATGGCGAGCAAATCGAATTTTCTCATGCTATGCAAAGGCGGAATCGTTAAAAGTTATGTATAAATTGTTTATGAACAAAAAATTAACACTAAATTCGAATTCATTGCAAAATTTATGGCATCCCAACATTCCCAGACTCAAATCACTGTCCAACAAGTGTCACTCCTAGTAACCAAAAAATGTTGACGTTTTTCACTCCCTCTCCCCTTTTGACGAAAATTTGAAGTGCAAGCCAAGTGCTTATCTAACCATCCATCGTGTTTTCCCAATGTGTTGTCTTCAAACGGCAAGCTTGCACTACGCAACACTCCCCTACACACCTCCCCAACGCGCCCCCTTGACCATCAATATTGTGATAAAGCGCCTAATTGGAAACAACCTCCTTTCAACGTGTGCCCTTTCTCTGTCAATCCCTAATATTCCCCTAACTACCTAATAATCCCCCCAAATATTTAATACAACATGGGAAACGTATTCCGTAAGCGTGTTGCCCCAGCTGAAGAGCTCGAAACAATATCCGCACAAGTCAAATATTTCCGAGAAGATATTCAAGCCACCGCTGACCGCAGAAAATGCGTATTGTGGCGATTAACAATTCTTGTATTCTTTCTAACAACTTCTGCCATTGCATATGGAGTCCTGAAATTCCAGGATAAAAGCTGGGTGCTGATTTCCGGTTCGTTGGCCACGGTCGGGCTACTTTTATTATATTTGGTGCGAAGAGTCATCAATGCTTATTATGCATACTCGGTTGCTAGAAAGCAGAGACACCTTGATACGGCGATTGAGAAGAAAAAACAGGTTCTGGAGAATGTAAAGGAGACGGAGACGTTTAAAGTAGCGCAACAGTTGCTGGAGAAGTATGATGAAGGGGAGAGAGTGGAGAAGAAGCCGGAAGCGAAGGTGGATGCTGATGGATTTAAGGTTCCGGAAGGGAAACCGAATGAGGTTGTGCCCCAAACTCCTCAGAATAAGAATAATGGAAATGGGAGAATGCCGATGGCTACACCAACTCCAGGAGGGCCAGGGCCGAAGATAAATCCGAGGACTGGAGCTCCAACTCCGATGAAGCCTATGCCAAGGACGATGCCGGTGCGGCCTTTTGTTCCGGAGGGGAAGACACTTACGGACAAAGTTAGTTTAAAAAAAATCATAATTTAATTTAAAAAATTCCCATGATTAAGAGTTAGTTATTAAAATACTTAACTATTAGAGAAAGTTTTTTAAGTAGCCCGGCAAATTAAAGAAAGCACTCAAAATGCTAAAAGCTTTTTTCCATTTCTCGCTCAAGCATGAGTCACCCGACAGCTAATGTCTTGCGGCAGAAGCTGTCCTTTTCGTTCCCAAATATCGATTTTGGTATTCCAAGGCTATTTTTATAGGGTTCTGAGTGTTTAATACGATTTTTCGTAGCAATCCCTTATCAAAAAAGCTAGAACGTAACCCTCTCATTAATGCTCTTCCCATGACCCGAGGCGCGAGCAAGCCGTCCATTGATTAAAATGTCCCTCGCTACATAATACCAATTCTTATCATTCCAATTCCAGCTTGTCGACTACTTCCTCGGCGATGGCCCCGGCAGCCGCTATGCCCTTTTATGCCAAAATTGTCATGCTCACAACGGAATGGCCCTCCCCGCCGAATACGAGTACCTCCCATTCTGCTGCTTCCGCTGCGGCCACCTAAACCCGGCCAAAAAACTTCGTTCTCATTTGGCCCCATCTGCAGCACCAACCCCTGCTCATGGATCTCCTCTAGAAAAGCCGGTCCCTCTAAGAAATCGGGCACCACCTCAGAAAAATGAGGTCGAGGAGAAGGAGAAGCTCCTGGAAGCGCCGGAGGAGAAAACATCAGACTGAATGAATCTTACCATCTTGTGATATCTTTTTACTCTCTCGACATGTATAATATTTATTGCAGACAGTTCTACTTCTTTCAGTTCCATTTTCCGGGTAGCGCTCACGTGTCTCAGTATCCATAAATGCTTGTTCTCTTACATTTTCTGCCTTGCTACTCTTTGTATTTTATAGTTTAATAAAAGCAATTTAGATGAACCTGAATCATGGGAATATGATGAATGGTATAACGGCAAAGGATCAGTATGATAATTTGGCAAATGTAAGTCATATTAAAAACTATAAACAAACTAAATAAAAAATTTTAGATGATATCAAACTCGAAGGATAATCTTGGATCGAATTATGAGAAATTGATGGGATTGGCGGATCATTGTGAGCAGGAATATTTGGCGCATCCGGTAAGAAAGGTTTAGGTTTTGCTAAATTAACGTAATTAGGATAAACCGATGGTGATGGGCGAAAACAAACGGCGATTAGTTCAAGCGCTAAATAGCGTGACCGCACAAATCAATAACATGGCGATGAGCTGCCTGGATATGCTGGATATGCAAACGGCAAGAGTGGAAGGGCTGACAAATCATATGAATAGCCTGGATTTGGTATCTAAATTAGATTTATTATTTGCTTAACAACATTATTCTAGAAAGTCGCAATACATAAAGAAAAAATGGCGCGCCGAGATATTGGAGTGTTAACGGAAAGTCGACATATTATGAGACAACATCGGATTATCCCGCCGGCAGTGAAGGTAAGAATTTTTGTGATGCTATGTAATTAATTTCTAGTTTCCTCATTTTTAAGTTTTTTACATAACCGATTTTTTTTAGGAACCTGCTACCCGCTACAAACGAACCCCAATCGACTACAGTGTACTTGACCAAGTCGGCCATGGCGTGAAAACGCGAGAAGAACCCCTCCGAGCTTTCCATACCATCTCCAGAGCAGCGTCCTCGGCTGCACCCTCAAATTATGGAAATTTTTATGGCCAAGTTGGTGGCGGACAGAATAATCATAATGCGGCGGCGAGTACGGTAGGGTTAAAGCACATTTTTGGATTTTTGTTTTAGTGGAGTCGAGCGTCTGTTTTCCGGAACATCGAGCCGATCCCGATGGATCCGGAGGATCAGCCATTTGTAAGTTTTTATGTTGATTGTTGTGATTTTAAAGGGATGGCGACAACACGAAACATCACGAAGAAAAAAGCAACTTTTTAGCCCCCACCTCCCGCATCTACCTACGCCCAGTCTATCTCTGATAGCATAGGAATGCCGCGGTATATGTCGACGCCATTTGGTCAAGGTATAAAATTGTTTAAATCGAAATTATCGAGTTTTGCAGGATATTCCGACAATAGCACCCTGTATGAACAAGACGACATGAAATCCACCCACTTCGGTGCCCAATCTACCGTATCCTCAGCCGACACTAGCCTCCCCTCCACCCTCCCTGTCAATTGGATTCCGACGGACTTTATTGAAAAGGGTAAGTTAATAGAAATTTATGCTAATTTAATAAGATGTAATCGACGTAATAATACTTAAGACTATTTGAGACCGCCGAGAAGTGGATTTTGGAAGCGCAAATTTAATTTTTTCTCTTTAGCCATCGTTCTCTACGACTACAACGCTGAACGGCCAGACGAACTCTCACTCCGCGAACAATCCATCGTCTACATACTCCGCAAAAATGATGACGGATGGTAATTTACATACTAAAACATTATTTATCTATATCTTTTTCAGGTACGAAGGCGTCCATGATGGCAATACCGGTCTATTCCCCGGAAACTACGTTGAGAAAATGGCCAATTAGTCAGCCAATTCCAATTTTGTACGAATTTTTATAACAACCTATTTTTCCATCAATTTTTGCCGTTTTGTTTTGCGTGCCTTAGATTTAATTCCACCGCAATCGCCTATTTCCATATATCCCTTGCTCATCCCGTGCGTTTATTTTTTACCGGCGTTTATTCATTTATTCGAAAGAAACAAATACTAGTGGCTTCGATCTCACGGTCGCTTTATAGCAACAAAAAAGCTTTTTATTCACAATACGGGACTTCGTGTTGTTCAGTGGCTATCGATACGTTTTTGTGTTTTTATATGTATTCGCTTATATGGACTGATGAAATAATGGATAATAAATATTCAGATATAAAACATTTGAGATCGTACATAGAAAAATGAGATCAGATTCATATGAAAAACTTTCTAGAGATTTTGGAAAGAGAAAGAAATTCACTATTATTAGGGATTTTTGAGGGTGATATTAGTCTTCTGCAAGGGCAGGCATAACGGCAGGGGCTTCGGCGTTTTCAACAGGTTCAGCGGGTGCAGATTTCTCAGCAGCTTCGGCTTTTTCGACAATTTCGTCTGTGTCGGTTTTATCGGCATTTTCACCAGCTTCCGCAGGTTCAGTCGCGTCAGCTTTTTCAGCGCTTGCATTAGCAGCCTCAGTTTTCGCCTCATTTTTGGCCTTTTCCGCTAAAAAATGGATGATGCAGTATTATTTATGTAAGTTAAAATACCTTTGTCCTCCTGCTCCACAGTAGTATCCGTCATCTCCGCAACAAGAGCTGGAATCGCTGGAAATAAAGTTAATGATTAATTTCTATAGTTTTAAACCCACCTTCATCCTGTTTCTTCTGCCCCTGGGTCTCCTTAACCTCCTGCATCACTAAATCGGATCGGGATACGATAGGCAGAGGCAGAAGCCTTGGCATAAGCTCAGCCGTAGCAAAGGTGGGACGTGGTGGTGCTAAATTAAATTAAAATTTTTATAAAATTTAATTTTACCATCATCCGCCAGATGCACGGGCACCAATTCCCCAGCCGCATTGAACTTTGTGGGGTAGATGCCAACAGCTGCCGCTTCTTGCGTGACACGACCTAAAAATTCTCCATATTTTCAATATTCTAAAAAAACGCACTTATAATCGCCTGCAGCGCGCCAGCGGCCGTTTGGCTAGTCATTGGACAATTCGGGGTCCGAATGATGTGTGGGCTATTGCTCACCATTATGACCGGAAGACGCTGGCCCAAAATTTGAATCATCACCCGGATTTCACGTTTTAAAAACCTTTCTTAAGTCCCTTGGGCCCCCATTCGGCGTACCATTTCACAAACAAGTCATGCTCCCAATCTTGGGACTGGAAGGCTGAAACCGAGACATTGAAAGGGTAAGGTATGACCTGAAAGATCGATGTTTCGATTAGCTTGAGCGGTGCTTGGGCCTGGAGCATCGGAGTTTGTAGTTGAACTGGTATTGGTAGATGAGGTCGTAGTTGTCGTAGGTGGAGTACCACCATTGAACCATTCATCAAGAGCCTTTTTCATGTAAGCCGCATCCCGCTTGGCTCTCTCGACTTTCACAGTTTTCACTTCCTCCACTTTTCGAGCATCCTCTACCTTCTTCTCTTCTAAAAAAGATTACTTACGGTATACCACACCCCACCTGGAGCATCAGCTTTTTTCTCCACCTCCTGCTCCTTTCTCTGCTCCACCTGCTCCTCCTCCGCTTCCACCGGACTGATGTTGATGTCTATAAGTTCTCGATTTTCGAAAAACAACTTTTTACACTGACCTGGTATTTTTTCGGTCTCCGGAACACCTGCATCGCGGTACGCGTCGTTTGCGGTGGCTGAAATAGTTCTTAAGCTAAGCACGAAATATGGAAAAGCCCAAACCTCCATCTGCCAGATTTACGGCTTCTTGTTGAGCGGTTGGTGGGTCGATTTCAGTTGGGATTTCTATGGGCTCGACTTTATCATCCGGAACTTGAGTTTCACCGTTTTCTAAACCCAATTTGACTATTTGCTTTTGACCTTACCTTTTTCAACATCAAGCTTTTCCTCAGGCTCCGCCTCGTTAGCACCATTCTCCGATTTTTCGACTCAAAAATTCTATCGTATTCTTAAGCAAAAATACAGACCTTTGATATCCTTGACATCATCACTTCCGGTCTTCTCCTCTTCCAAGTTTGGCTTCTTCACTGGAACGACCTCATCCTCGATCTCCTCAGCAGCCCGCTTCGTCAAATCCATATCTCCCCAATTCCGAGGCGAAACTCCTTGCGAACTACTCCTGAACACCAAAATTAGCGCCCCTCGATCCATATTCCCTAACAAGCGATGGGAAAAGCTTAATGACCCTTGTCAATTCCTGTGAAAGCCCAATAATTTCGGGTTTGCCCTTAATTCCAGTCTACCAAAGGTCCATTCCCAAATCGTAAAGTGCCCAAAAATAAATTCGGGAGGGTGCGCAACAGGCAGGGGAGGGCCCAGGGATCGATTGAAGGGCCGCAAAAACATTACGGTGGGGGGTCCTGTGGGGCTGTATCTAGCTGCTTGTAATGGAAAAGAGGGGAGGGAAGGAGGGGGCAAGATGGAAAAGGAAGGGGGAGGTGGAGGAGGAGGTGTGGCCCTCCGGGGACCCTCTAATCCGGCTAATCCATACAAATCCACAGGGTTTTGGATCAAATCTGTCAGAGTGCCGCATGAGGGCAAAATCGAGACAAACAGGTTGGAGGGGGTAATTTTTCAGGTAAGGAAGGTTGGTTAGGAGAGGACCGTACAGAGTGTAATTTGGTGGGATTCGTAGTGGTGGTTGGGTTTGGCCTAGCGCAAGCCTAGATTAGGCTTAAGTTCAGCTCAGGCTTAGGTCTAAATCAGACTTAGGTTTAGGCTTAGGCATTGGCTTAGGCTTGGGCTTAGGCTTGGGCTTAGGCTTGGGCTTAGGTTTGGGCTCAAGCTTAGGCTTGACAAGAAAATCATATCGAAAAGCAAATATTAGCATTCAGGTAGACATACCGTAACCCAAAAGTGCTAATATAAAATTTAAAAACAAAATTTTGCAGAATACGCCAAAAAACACAAACTTAGCCCTCCGTAAAATTGCTATTTTTAGCTCCTCCATCTCCACCACAAATTTCCCAAGCTCATAACCGTGACGTCAACCTCCCCTTCATCCTCTCAGTCTCCTCGCCCTGCAATTTCAGGCCACCTATTTGAAGCCCAAACATCGTATATTCCCCCTTCATCCCCCTTCTAATCCCACCCTGCTCCCTCCATCCAACATCACATCTCCAGCCCGCTAGGGAGGGCTTCAAATTATTTCTGGAGTAACGTCGAGTCAATTCTGTTTCCCATGGGGTTGTTCCCTGCTCTATCTCTCTCTCTCTCTCTCTATCTCTCTCTCTCTCTCTTCTCTCTCTCACACTCTCCCTCTCCTCCCTATAAAAACAAAGGCATGAGAATGTGTGTGTCAGGGCCAGAGTGGCAGAGACAGGGGGCCTGGCAGCCTCTGCATCTCTGCCCCCCTGATGGCCCCTCCCTCGGCTTTTCCGTTTTTGGCCAATCCCCGGCCCGGTCGCTCGTTTCTTTTTTTTGGTACGCAGCTGTTTCTGGGAAATTGTTGTTGGCAAATTCTTGAGGGCTGAAATATGCTTTAAAATTATTTTTTTTTTTACATGAAAATTGGTAGATTAGCTTGTATTTTATCCTTTTTACTTCGCCTAATTAATTAGAATAATTGTTATAACTTCTGGATATTTTCAGTTATCGTCTTTCGTGGAATAATTAAATTAAAAATTAGATTATTGTGTTTGACCTGAATTTACTTTTTGTCAACTAATTTGCATAATTTTTGCAGCTTCCGTTTTCAGGGCCCCCGTTCCCTCGGTTGGGGTAATGAACCACAACCCGGGTATCTACTCGAGTGCCCATTCGCACTCGAGTGACAGTTCTTCGGAGGTCAATTCCCCTCAGGTATTTTTAAAATTATATAAAACTATGTTGAATTATTTAGCTGCTCCGCTCCACCTTTCTCGGCGTGCTACGTCCAAACGATTTGATCTCGGTGAAAAATCTACCTTAAAAAATTACAAAACTAACTACAGAAAACTGCTATCTCCAGCCCCGGACGTGCTGCCCCTGTTGAAGAGCAAGCAGCTGAACACCTAGCGAATAAGACTTTGGTATTGTAGATTTAAAGTAATTATTCTATAGCTGTTTTAAGCTCTCAACCCCTCCCTCCTTCCGTCATTCTTTTGGTGCCGTACTCCGCCCAAGGGACATCTACGCTGCGGTAGGTCTACTTTTTAGCAAGCATTAAAGCCAGGTTTCTTCAAATACCCTGGGCTACAAAAATCGGCGCCCACCAGCCCTGGGAAAACGCCCACCGGCTCTATTGATTAGTGGCCGGTAGCTGGCGCGCGATTATTTTTGGCATCTGCCGAGCTAGATTTTATGTTTCATTTTTTAATCAGAAAATCGACTTTCTATAGATTAAAAAATGATTGAGTAAATGTGCATATCTTTGATGACTATCCGCTATATTGCTTTTTTCAGCAAGCCAACCCCGACATCCACCGCAGCATGCCCTGCGTACAAGACCTCGAACAAGTCGCTACTGCTCCGGAACTGTCCGGAAGCAGCGCCGAAGAGCTGTGCCCCTCCGTCGAGCTCCTCTCCCTTGAGGCCGAGATTCGCGAATCTGACATCGAATCCATCGAATCCCTCGTCTCGGATGAAGAAACCGGCAGTTTCGAGCAGGCCTACGTTGAACGGCTTCGCGCTGCGGGGTACAGCTTTGAGGTTCAGGGTACCGGAGTTCTCAAGCCGTATCGGGAGGAGCGGGACGTTGGTTGTCAGACGGATCCGGTGCCGGAGGAGGAGAGAGTAAGGAATTTGGTTTAATAAAGGAAATTTTGAATTTTCTAGAACCCAGCGAATGACAAGGAGGTGATTCTACGGCTTTTCCAGGCGTTGCTTTCGATCGAGAGAAACTCGGTAGGGTTCTAAATAAATTTTCATGCATTTATATAGCTTTTCAATATATAAAAAGCGTTGTATATTATTTAATAGATAACATTTATTTTCAGGTAAATATCGGTGCTGCTGTCATCGAAAGTCTCGGCTTCCAAGCCCAACAATTCGGCTACAACTCCTGGGAGCACATGATTCACCACGAAGGCCCGGATTACGGTATCTACGTCGACTACGAGACTGGGCCCGCGGTAATTTTTCATTAAATTTTTATTAAGCCTAAAAACAAACCCAAAATTGCCCAATTTACATCTATTTCCAGCCCCGCATCGGCTCCCTCTACGCCCTCCAACAGCAAGCCCGTCCGAATTGAATATAAATTCCTCATCTCGAATTGAATATAAATACCCCCGACCAAATGCAGCTAGTCGCATAAATTGCCCTCTTTATCTAGCCATTCCAGCACTCAAAATTTTCCCTTGAATTTAATTTAATTTATTTGTTCATGTAAATTTGCTCGAAATGGGATCCCGTGACAATTCCACGATCAAAAAAAAGACGTTGTGTACCTTTATTACATATCCCATTATCCACCCCGCCAAGAACCTATGCCATAATTTAAATGCTAATTTATTAAGGAGATCGAAGTCGGAGTAGTTAAAAATCTTTATCACATATTTATGTCTTTGAAGGTCCGGAAGAATAAATTATTGTCCCCAGAAAAAGAGCAGGAAATAGAAAAATGACAACTAGTTAGCACAGTAAGTAGAGGATTGCACACTAATGGACAATTATATCGACAATATTAGATTTGGGGTGGGTACAGAAGTGTGAGGCAAATAAGGCACGGGGTATAGCGTCACAATGGTCACAACCAAGTTGAAAAACATAAAAATCGATATATTATTTAATTGGCGAGCTGCTGAACTGGGATATATAAATTAAAAAAGCACTATAATTTTTCTAAAAGCGAAAACAATAAAAAAATGTTGAAAATGGCAATTAATGTTTTGCACCAGTGACACCGGCGAGGGCTTGCCCCCAAGAGGCGATGCGGCCCTCTTCTTTTGCCACAACGTCATCAAGTTGTGTCTTGGAAAAGCGGGCGACGGTGCCGATGACTCGGGCAAGGGTCTGAAAACAATTAGGAATTTTATATCGAAGAAATAAAAATTTCTACAGTATTTTCACAGGCAAAAAGACAAATCAATAAATTTGCTATCTAGTTTTTATATAGTTTTTTGCTCTATTTAATTATTAAATGAATTAACTTACAACGACCTCCTTTCCAAGTGTCTCCCGTTCGTTCATATATCGATAAAGTACATTTCGTAGGTACTAAAAACGTAATTTACAACTTTGTTTAAGAACCCTTACCTCAGCTTCTGTCGGCTGCGCAAAACCCTCTTCCATACTCTCGTGATGGTGGATTATTTTCTAAAAAAATTTTTATAGCTCTAACTTGAAATTCTAACCTTGCTCCGATTCTCCCGCAACCCATCAATTTCTCGATGAGCCTCATTCAACCGAGATCGAAGCTGAATCAGCTCTTCCTCAGCCTGAAACAGAAAAATAGCTTATGCTTGCCTGAATTTGCATACGTAATTATCTCCGTTTGTGGCTGGCTTCTGCGAAGTGCTGGCAGAAGCTTCGAGGTCTTTCAACTTGTCCTCAAGCTCCTTCACTTTTGCCTTGGCTTCATCAAGTGCAGAGCTCTTTTTGGTGACGTCTTCGTAGAGTTGCTTCACTTCGCGTTGGAGCTCACGGACGACCTGGAGCCCATTTTCAAGAATTTCGAGCTGAAACCGACCTTTTTCGACTCCAGGTCTTGCTTGGCAGCTACTTTCTTGTTGACTTCAGCTTTTTCGTCCTCTAGCGCAGACACCTAAATACACAAAAATATAATTTTTCTTTAGTAATATACCTTTGCTGCCAGCTCCTCCTTTTCTAAGGCCAAGCTCTCTTTCTCCGACTTCAAGCTCTGCACCTCGTTCTCATATCTCCCGGCTTCTTCCAGCTTTGAGGACAGCGATTTGATTTGAGAATTCAGCTAAATAAAAATATCTAATTTTAATTGATCCTTAATACCTTTTCAGCTTTCTCCCGCTCCTCTGCCAACTCTTGTCGAAGCTCACCCTCGCCACTGAGTTGTTGCTCAAGCTTAATTTCGTTTTTATTGATTAGCTCTCGGCTCCATACCTTCGCTTTCTCGATCCTAAACTCGACGAGCTTCTTCTCCTTCTCGGTCAACTCATTGTTGAGCTCATCCACCTTGAGCAAGAGCTGTGATTTATTGGCCGCTGCCTCTTCACTGAAGGTGTTTTTCAGCCTAGCCAGTTCCGCTTCAGCCTTCTTTTTCTGGTCGGAAACCAGTTCGGCTTGTTCCTGGAAAGCTGGTGATTAATGAGGAGATGGGAAGTAGGTTATGAGTGGCTGAGCTAGGTTTTTCCAGTCAGATCCATTCACGAAAATGCTTTTCCTGATCTGGATCGTTTTCTTACTCTTAGAAGTCGATTCCAGACCTACTCTCGTCCCTCCATTATTCCAAAATCGTGATTTCACAGCTCCCTACTTGAATTTTTACGTTATCGCAAATGCAAAACATGCAAAAGTCCAGAACCTTACGGCGTATGTAAATGTGAGCATTTTAGTAAATCTTGAGCAAATTTTAGGCCCATCCAATTGACTATCGCGAAGCACAACCACCATTTTCTATAAAACAACGCGGAGAGGTACGGTACTCCAGACGATAAAATGATTTTTTTAGGTTTTACTACTGCCAAGTTCTACCCAAAGTCCGCTTGATTTTCATAGAGGGTATCCAAGTCTTATTCAAATGATAGCAGCGAGTGGGCATCGGGTGGTAGTACCGGATTTGCCAAAAGGTATGTAAATTATGACTAGAAAGTACGTATTTATATTCTTTCAGATCTTCATGATGATGTAACAGCCCTTGTCAGCTATGCAGAAGTACACAACCCAATTATCGTGGCTTTCGGAGACGCGGATGCTCAAGCCATTCGCTATGCGAAGAAAGAAAGACGTCTACGCGGTATCGCTCTAATCAATCCACAATCCTGCAACACGGAAACGAAATGCTACACCCGAAAATTTAACGAAAATTCCATCCCGGTAACCCATTTTTACTATTTATTATTTTATGAGAACAGACGCCCGAAATCGTCATTACGGAAAGTCCCGTACTCCTAGGGGACCTATTTGATGAGCGTCAAAATCTAATTGTACATCAAGAGGAGACCCAAGAAAGCCGAGAGGAATTGATGAAAGTATTGAGTAATTATTTCGAATTTTTGAACCCACGATGAATAAATTGATTTTTACCTGTTCTTGTTTACTGCGGTAGTCGCTGTATTCTGTGGTAAGTGAGGAGAGTTGGGTCTTAAGCTGTTGGAGCTCAGATTCGGCATGTCGCGCTCGTTCTTCGGTTCGTCCTTCATTTTCACGTAGGGTCTCGAGGGCGGTGGAGTATTGCTGTCTAAAAGAAATTACAAAATTTTGGTTTTTTTTGTAGCTACATACCGTATCTTTTCTTCCTCATTTTTCTCTGATTGATGAGAATCCTCTTTGGCTTTCAGGGTTTCTTCCGCTTCTTGTAATTTTCGAGCTTTTTCTTCAAGTTTAGCTTTCAATTCGTTCGATTCGTGCTCAAATTCGTGCAGTTTTTCCTAAATTTAGATACTGCATGAAATTTTACCTAACATACCTTCAATTTTTCCACTTGAATTTGTGCTTGTTCTCCAGCTGGAACTTGACCGCGCAGCTGCTCAATTTCCGCTCTCAAAGAGGTCAGCATCGTTTCCTAAAAATCACACATCATCAGAAAAGTTAGCAATAAAGAAGTGTAAGCCGGGACAGACGATAGGACCACCCCGGAAACCAAGCGTATTTTTGGGCATTTCACTCAAAACCGAAAGGGTATTTGCATATTCTTGATATTTGCATCCAAAAACGTGGCCTACAGTACCTTGTGCAGAAACTCTGCGCGCATTCTGTCGCCTAGTTCCTCGAGTTCGCGAACCCTCGTTGCTTGCCCCTACACTTACTGTGTTATTAAAAACATAAAGGTGGCGTGAGTAATGTAAAATTCAATAAAAATATTATAACCTGCCTGATTCTCGCTTTTTTGTAGTTGAGCCGTCTCTTGGCTTTGCAGTTTTTCGCCTAGAGTTTGTAGTTCAGCTTCAAGTTCTTGATTCTTTTGAGCAAGAGCTTCCGCTTTTTCTTGGCTTGATTTTAGTCCCTAAGACAGTTTTAGAAATTCTATCAAGAGTTGCCAACCTCTAGTTCGATCTTATTAGCTTCCAACTCTTTTGCTAGATCCGTTTTTTCAACTTCTAACTCGTCGACTTTCCAGGCAGACGCCTAAAAATTACCATAAAAATTAAAGAGGCTAGACTCACTTCGAGTTCGCCTTCGAGTTTTTCAATTTTTTGAGCCAGGGCTTCTCCTTCACCTTGGTTAGATTTCAGTTTCTAAAAAAGGTCTTACAAGGTGAATTCAAGTTTGCTAACCTCTATTTCGATTTTATGCGCTTCTAGTTCTTTCGCTAGGTCCGTCTTTTCAGCTTCTAACTCATCAATTTTCCTCGCGGATGCCTAGAAATTATTTGAACTTCGCTGAAGACTCAATTTACCTGTTGTTGAGCCCCAAAATCATGCAGCTGGCGAACTAGCAGCCCCTTATCTTCCGAATCTTCGTCCATCTGCCGCTCATGATCCTAAAAAGGGGAGTTTTGCGGGGGAATAGTATTCTTACCAATTTAGCATTTTCTAATTCACTTCTCAGCTCTTCTTTGCTCCTTCTCAACTTTTCTAGTTCTTGATCTTTTTCCATCGATTCCGTTCGCAAGCTATCGATTTCAGCTTTAAGCGTGGAGCTCATTTCTTTCCGCTTTTCTTCAGCTTCTTCCAGTTTCTTCTGAAGGGCTTGCTTCTGTCCCGCAAAGTCGGATTCAAAAGCTTCTCGCTCCCCTTGAGCTGCTTGTAATTCTGCTATTTTAGCGTCACGATTAACGATTTCCGCTTCCAGCTTCCGGATCTGCTCGCCAGATTGGTCGAGGGCCTAAAATTGGTTTAGCAAATATTATTGTTTTTGTCTACTTGTAGCTTATCCTCCAATTGTTGATCTCTCTCCGATGCGTATTCATCTTTCTCCTCAAACTTCCGCTTTTCTTCTGCTAGTCTGGCTTTTTCTTCTAAAATTATAAGCTTAAAAGTGGCTGGTTTAAAATTACCATCCAATTCTCGCTGCGCATTTTCCAGGCTCGCTCCCAAGTCGTGAATTTTCTCGTCAACGATTTCCTTTTGTTTCTTGGCGTCCTGAATTCGAATTTTTTGCATATTTTGGATTTCTACCTCAAGCTCCTGCGTCAGCGCAGCGTGCATTTTTCTCAGCTTTTCCCGGTCATCTTCTAGCTCGTTGATCTAGAAAAAATCAAACTTTTTCGATAAAAAACCCAAACCTTAGTTTGCTTTTCTTGGAGCATTCTCCTCAGGTTTTCGACCTCGTCTTTTTCTTCGTGGAGGGCATCGCTGGAATGTATTATTATATTTTTGTGGTTTTAAGGTGGAGGAGAAAACTTATTATAACGTGGCGAGGAGAAAGAGAGGGGCGTTGGGAAAAATCGGAGGCAATTGGCGGGTTGGAGGAAAAAAAATGGTATTGAAAAATCAAATAAAATTTAAAAAAAGAGAGCGAGAAAGCGATAGTCAGAGAAAGAGAGAGTGAGAGTGAGAGAGAGTGATAGAGAGAGAGAGTGGGAGGGAAAGCGAGAGAGGGAGAGCGAATGAAAAGAGAGAGAGAGAGAGAGCGAGAGAGAGTGAGCGAGAAAGAGAGCAAGTGCGAGAGAGTGAGAGAGAGAAAAAACAGAGAGAGAGAGAGAGAGAGAGAGAGAGCGAGAGAGAAAGAGAGAGTGACAAAACAACTTTTAAAGCCAAGAAAGCTCAAGAATTGCACCAATATGAACATCCAGAAGTCCAAACACCCCAAATTTCCCCCGCGAAACTCCAATAACTAATTAAAGGCACTATGGCGTGTGTGTGTGGAGGGTTGCATCGTGAATACCCCCACCCCAGAAGGGCCCAAAATGGAATTTGGAGCCTGGCGGAAGGGGGGAGGGCGAAGGCAGATGAAAGAGGAGACGTGTGTCCAGATGGACCACCTAACGATTAGAGGGGAGGGCAGAAGAGAAGGGCCCCAAAAGGAAGGAGAAGAGATTGGGACACTAGGGGAGGGAGGGACACAACGGCTGGCCCCTAACTAGCGAGGGGGAGTGTTGTTGCAAAAATAGAAGAAGGAGGGAGTAGGATGATGGACAGGAGGTGGGAAGGCAGGGGAGAAGCCTAAGGCTTATGCTTGTTTAGAAAAGGAGCCGGAGCATCGTTATTGAAAAATCGGGACTTGCCATGGAAAGAAGGCAAATTTTTGCTTATATTTTTTAGTAAACAGCTACAGTACGATACCCACCTCTTCACCATCAGCAACTCTATCGAATTCTTTGCCTCCCGGAACTCCTTCTCCAACTTTGACCTCAACTCCGCAGCCTGCTGTTGCTCCTCCCTTTGCTGTTTTTCTACAGTTTCTTTCTAAAATTTCGAATAGGAACATTATTCGGTTCTTAAACCTCTTCCGTAAGCTGCGCAATCTTCTGCTTCAAAGCCTCTTCTCGAGCTTCAATGGCTTGGAGTCGCTCTGCGTTTTTTCCCCTACAATTTTTTAGGAATTGCCAGCTAAATCTTACCTGTTTGTCTCTTGTTCCTCTTTCAAATCTTCGATAAGTTTCTCCTGCTCAGCTTTGAATTTGAGCTCGGATTCTTCACGCTCAGCTAGTAATTTCTTAAGCTCGTCAATTGCCAACTGATGCTTCTCCTCCAAGGATTGAATCTTTTCCTCAAATTCGTGCTCAACCTAAATATTTAAAAATTTTCAATGACGAATTTCAGTTACCTTTTCTCGAATATTGTCCTCGGATGGCGCAAGGGCTGCCTCAGCTGCTGATTGACGCTAAAACAATAAATTTTTTTCGCTTTTGAAATCAAGCTTACCAGCTTCTCGAGCTCCGCCTCCAAGTTGGCAGCATTACTCTCATGCGTCTCCCGAACTTTCTCTAGCTTCTGTAGCTGGATCTTCAAAGCTTCTTCCTCCAATTTTGCTCCCTGAGCATGACGTTCCCTTTCTTCTTTCCATTGCTGTTCCGAAGCTTGGAATTCAGCAGATTTTTCGGCGAAATTCTTCTTCTCCGCGTCCAGTTGCTGCTGGAGTTGAGAGATCAAATCTTTGTGTTCATTTTCAAGTGATTCGTGGCGTTGTTGGAGCTCTTGGTTTTGTGCTTCTAGTTCACCGATCTAAAGAAGCATTACTTTTGTGGGTTTCCGGTTACCTGCTGTTTGAACTTCTCTTCCAGTTGTTCCCGTGTAGCGTCGAATTCCTGTGTAAGCTAAAAAAGTATCAAACCGGTATTAAAAATTTACCTTTTCTCGAATAGCATCTTCATTTGGAGCGATATCAATTAGTGAAGCGGATTCTTTCTAAAATAACGATAGTTACTACAGTATTAAGAATTTACATACCAAATTTGCAAGTTCTGCCTTGAGATCAGCTGCCTCCTTCTCACTTGATGTCTTCAGTTCTTCCAGCTTCTCCTCCAGCTCTTTTCTCAAAGCTTCTTCCTCGTCCCGCACAGCTTTCACTCCCTGGACCTTTGCTTCACTCAACTTCTCCACCATTTCTGATTTTTCTATTTCAAGGGAAGAAATTACGCCCTTCAGCTCGTCAACCTAAGTAGCTAATTAGCATATTTCCATCGCCTGATACCTTCTTTTGCCATCTCTCATTCGCCTGCCCATCTTGGATTTCAAGGGTTTTGCACTTTGACCTCAGCAATTCCACTTCGCGGTCCTTATTTTCGAGCGCTACATGCATATCAGCTTTTGATTGAGCAAGCGTGATAGCTGCGTCGGCTTCCATCTAAAAATATATTTATTTTTGGATTCAGTATTCCTATAATAAACTAATATGTATATATTAATTAAAATAAGAAAAGAAATCCCCGAGGGGAAAGAACTCGCCGAAGCGAGCGAATGCCTCCGAAGAGGCCAAATTCGCCGAAGCGAACGGTTCCCCGAAGGGATAGCTCCGAGAAGGGTGTTCAGAGGACAAACCCCCCAAGGTGAGGCGGGTACTCGGAAACGAGTACCCGCCTCACCTTCATGGTGGGGTTTGTGTCCTTCTGGACAACCCGCTTGCTCTCGTAGCAACGTACCTTATTGACCCTCTCTGTCCAGCTCTCCTCAATTTCATTTATCCGACTCTTCCATTCGTTTGCGGACTTGTTTTCGCCCTATAAAAAATGATAGTCGATAAAAAATAACATACAGTTTCTCCATCGACTGTAATCAGCTTCTCCCCTCCTTCACTGAGCTCCGCAATCTTCGCTCGATTCCTCTTGATCTCTTCTGTGCATTTCTTCAGCATATCCTCATATTTCACGAGCCGTTTTTGGGTCTATAAATAGCTTGGGTCGAATTAAAACGGTAATAATACCTCGCCAGCTTGATCGACCTCTCCTTTCAGCTTCTCTGCCAACGTCTTCTTGTCGGTTCGGAGCTTTTTGATGGTATCCAGCGCCTTGTCTTGCGTCTGCGCCAATACCGTCTAATTTTTTCATTTATAAGGCTTGTAGTTTGTAGCACAAACCCGGCAATTGTTATTTTCAGTGACAACTTCGTTGTACTGCTTGACAAGATCGCGATATCGAGCCTTATAATTTCCCGCTCTTCCCTGCAGTTTTTTCAGGATCGAGGAAATCTAAATATTATTTGTCTTATGTGACAAGTGACAAAGACCTGTTCTTTCGATGCACTGCTAACCACAGAGGAGCTCTGCCCATCCATAGTAGATTCTTGATCGGAATCTATCACTTCTAGGGCAGAAGCTGCCATTCCTGGTACACTCGAGAACAGGGTAGAGAAAGAGCTAAATTTTTGCTTGATTTAGGTTTTTAAATTCAGCTAAATTTTAAGTTTTTAACTCACCTCTCATTAGAATGGTTAGATCCTCCAGACAGTGTCCTTTCTCTTCTTGGTAGATCGAGCCCGAGCAGGTCTCCTTCCGACACCTCTTCCATCAATGCCCCACCAACCTACTTGGGATTCCGACTGTAATATTGATTAGCATACCGAGTGGTTGGGTGTCGCATGGTCGTCATCGGCTCTGGAGGTACCTCCGAAGAATCGGCGGCTGATACTGGCTGAGGCTTCACTTCCGGCGTCACTCTTAAAGGGAATTTTAGGCTTTTTGGTTTACACATAACGTAGGTTTTATCCACCTCATTATCTTTCAGTATTTCTATCGCTATTAACTTACGCCTGGCGCTCGAATATTAGCGACTTGTTGTGAGAGCGAGTCTCCATATTGTGCTACAGTAGACTGTACGGTCGCTTGAAGCTTCTTGGCCTCATCCTCAAGTTTTGACTTTAGCCCCTTGAACATTGCATCGGCTGCAAGGGGATTTTTCTAAAATTTGGATAAATTTTTGATAAAGATACTGTACTTAAACGACATTATAAGCTTAATAAAAACATCCATATTAAGACAAGAAGACATATAGCTTAAAATCGATTAGAAAAATCGTTAGAGTATTTTTAAGGGTTAAAAATCTTTTGACATCAAATATAGAGTAGTTCCTAGGTCATCACTATCTATTAATGCATAATTGATACTTGTTGACATTAAGGACAGGTGTATGTACATTCCTCACCGCTGATCAATGCACGAGTTGGCAGCTACGGGATGAAACTCTGCATGCCGGGATTATGTGAGCAAACAGCCGCTCTGTGCACAGCCCCTCTCTTCACATTACATGGCCAATGTGCTAAATAAGCTGTCGTTTTCATTGTGTTTTTTACAACCTAAAAATTGGGATATATTTATTGCGATAAAATCGTGGAGGTCGAGGGGTGCAATGTAGAAATTGTACTGAATTGTTGTAGAAGGATTGGATTATTTTGAAAACCGTGCGAGTGACAATTGAAAAATGAATGGATCCAATTAAAAAAAATCTGCATTCAACAGATTTAAATAATTAACAAAATAAAATTATAAAAAATATTGGTAACTGGTTATTTATCCAAAAACAACAGCGCTGACCAAAATTGTAGGTAGCACGCCTTGATTTTTCCGGAAAAATAATCAGCCTATTGGCCATAAAATTTCCGATATTTGCACTTGACGCTCATCTCACACCAAGAACTACAAAACCTCTGAGGACATGCTGACTGACTAGGACATTTAAGTAATATAAGACGATATAGACATTCAGCATTCAAGAAATTGTGTAATTCCAAGAGAGCAGGTTAATCCGGGCCTTATTCTTGATCGGACCCGATCTCCTCTTCCTCCTCTTCCTCTTCTTCTTCTTCTTCTTCTTCTTCAGCTTCAGGGTCGACAGCAACGACTACGACCTCATCAGCCGGCTTTAAAAAGATAGGGTGACAAAACGGGGGTGAAAATACCATTCCAAGGCAAAGCCGGAGCTCAGCCTGCAGCTCAAGTGGGAAGCGGTTGGCGAGGGCGGGCATGGCTTCGGTGGAGCGGCCGATGTAGGATTGGTAGGCTTTGGAGAGGAGTTGGATGATCGACTCATTGGTGACGGGGAAACGGTTGATCTCGAACATCTGGAAAAGTTGATAAACGTCTTTTTTAGCGCTCAAGAGCTAGCAGTTCAACACATTTTGCAAGAAGGGGTATTTTTACAAGCCCAAAAAAAACGTACGTTAACGCATCGATGCCAGATCTCAGTAAACATCCGTGCCATCGGATCGTACATCACATCCATATTTATGTTGCGGTTGATCAGACGCTGCTCACGCAGTCGCCCGAACCCCACGACGATGGCCTCGAGCTGGGTTGTGAGGATCTGGAGCTTCCGCACGCGCTCGAGCTTTTCGGGCTGGTCGTGGAGCACCTCCTATAAAACCCAGAAAATGTGAATCAAATTAGAATTTCAATTTGGACAATTGATTAAATTGGATTCAATTAAACTCACCAAAAGCTCAGCCAACGCTTCCGCTTGATCGTTGAGGGAAACGATCACCTCGGCCAGAATTTGGCCAAAATCCGGGGCGTCGAGAGCCGGTTCAAGGAACGCGTAGAGGTTCTAGAAATGTAAGTTATTATCGAAATTCATATTGAAAATTCAAATAGTAATTCTTAAGTTACAAAACTTACCTTGAGACTCAAATGAAAGACGCTCGAATAGACCTCGAGGTGCAGCTCATACTCCCCGAGCCGAGCCCATAGCTCCTCGTTTCGAAGTGTGGTCATTATATTCTGAATTTTTAACAAAAATTATAATTACATTTTAATCCCTTACCCGCCCATGACGTAACAAATCCACATCAAAACCTATCAAAAACAGCCGCATCGTCTCGAGGACCATCCTCAGATTTTGATACATCGCCAACTGCGAGGTCACGAAATTTTTCCTGAGTTTCCTTTAAAATGAAACAAGATCGGACCCTTTCAAAAATTATATTTTTTTGGAGGGCAAGTGATTGCGTAGGTACGGAAAGTTTAATCCGGCAAAAACAAGGGCTTCCTAACAAAAAAGTAAGTCCAAGCTTGGGTACGCCCCCAGAACAAGGCTGGTATTTTCTCTATGTTGCAAAGCAAAAAAAAACTAATTGGAAATTGTAGCGGGGATTTGCAAAAGCGAGGAGGAGCTCACCCTCCTGGGCAAGTGTGGAAATCCAACTGATTGCCTGGGGGGTGCCGGATTCGGAATTCGGGACCTAGAGGGCGGGGCAAAAAATGGTCTTTTTCTGAAAAGCTTCTTGCGCAGGGAGGGGCCATAAGAATATTGTTTATGTAGCGGACGGTTTCGAGAGAGGGGGATAAGCTCGGATTTGATTGTCAGCAGGGTAGGGGCGGCATTTTTTTAGATCCCTGACATTAGAACGACTCTGCAAAGCTGTCGATCTTTGGCGTTGTGAGGTCAAGACAATCGTTCCGGGATTGTATTTATAATCATGATACTTTAAGGCTTAAGTTTTCATGCTTTCCAACTTTCCATAAAATTTATTCACGAATCTACGGATACAAAGATATGTCTCAATCAAAAAAATTAGCCGTAAATAAATACTAGTTTGAAAGGAAGCTAACACGTTGAATAAAATGCAAAAATAACAACAAAAAGCGTAAGGAAGGATTCATAACAGGCAAATCGAATCATGAATGTAGAAGTCAAATGAAAGCCGATGTGGGAAATTTTGTATATGGTAGCGTCGTAGCATTACACGTTGTTGATTCTTGGGCGTACACGGAGATGACCCTAGAAAGTACGAAGTTTTTGATACGAGGCAGACAGAGAAAGAGAGCGAGAGAGAGAGAGAGAGAGAGAGAGAGAGAGAGCAACATTCACCTGAAAATTCTGTCCAGGACCGTTATTGTCATCATCTTCGTCCTCTTCATCTTCAGCATCCGTTTCATCGTCATCAGTCTCCAGGGTATCATCACTCTCACTCTCATATTCTTCTTCCTCATCTTCTTGATCAGTCTCGTCATCTACTGTCTCATCCACTTGACCTCTACCGAGAATGCCACGTGTGTTATTCACACGATTCCGCTAGAAACTCAAAATAAAATGTTATTTTCTCAATATCTGTACCCTAAAAAGATTCCGAATCGGCAATGGATCCGGTGGATAGTCAGGAGGTGCAAGCATTTCCGGATCAATCGGAAGACCCTCATTTCTTGCCACATTTATCATACGCTTTCGCAGCCGTATCATCGAGACTCGCATCCCCTCATATTCCAATCCCCACTGGAATTCCGTCATGAACCAATAGGCCAGTCGGAATTTCCAGTCCTGGTTGTAGTGGTCCATCATCTATATTCTTTTTGAAATGCAAAAAAAAACTCAAAGAACCTGTCGGTATGGTGTTTTGGAAACGATAAATCGAATTCCTTTTTCATAACAATTGACAGCTCCAGTTCTCCGGATTTGATCCCAAATTCGGAGATAGAAATTGATGACGTTGATTGTACGCGAAATTGCGAGTGACATTCCGCCAAGGGTTTTAAGGAGGTCGGGAGGAGCCGCAGGACGATCGTTCTAAAAAGAAATGTTGTAATTTTACGTTTTCAAATCACAATATGAACAATGCAGGCAGCTACAGCAGTCCCAAGAAATGACTGCGCATCCAGGATAGCTTTGTTCAATTCCTCATCGTGTGCTGGAATCGGTCTGGCCAATTCCTCTAGAAATTGGCGTGGATCTTCAAAAATCAATAGGAATTGATCGTGATATCCAATAATTCTTTGTAGGAAATCTGCAGCGAGTTCTTGCATACTGTCATCATCTTGGTGAATGTTGGGGAGGAAGTTTCCCTGAGAATTGAGGGTTTAAGATCATAGAAATTATGAATTACTGCTGGTAGTGGTCCTATCAGAAGCTCAAGGCCGCAGAATTCTTGTTTAAGTCGTACTAGGGTATCGTAAAGAGGCCTCGGCTGTAGTGGCGGAATGTTGATGGCGATAGGAGCTTGTGGTGGTGGTCGTTGGCCGAGGGCGATGATTAGTTGCTAAATAAGATCTATCTAATTGATACAAACAATTTTTTAAGTTCAGTAATTCGGTAAAATCGTTCTTTACTCACCTGTAGTTGATCGACGCGCTGTAGCTCTGGCCCGGCCGGAACTGGATTCCGTGTAATTCTGTCCGCAGCAAGTGGAGCCATTTCTAACTATAAAATAACATAAATAAAATATTTTATAAATTCCAGAAATACAGTAGAGTATTAACAATTATTTTCAAAACGTTTATATACCTTTTGTTAACAAATTTATTCATTGTTGTACATAATTAGAGCGTATAAAAAAGAAAAATCAATAATCTCGAACCGGGAGGAGTGGGAAGATGCTGAATTGGGTGGGGCTTGCTAATTTGCACAAACTAATTGCGGTCTCCTGCTATTCTAATTAATAAAAAATTAAACAGGATTTGCATCACATAAACCAAATAAAAGCAAAAATCGGGAAATGTACAAAATAACAATCCGTCTTGATATGTAATTCTTGGATGGTAAAAGCACACAAAAACTTTAGAAATTCAAATAATGCATGCAAAACACGCAAGGGGAGAGTAGCGACCATTCTAAGCTAAAATTAATGTATACTTTTGAGATCCAGAATCGGGGGAATGACTAAGAATAAAGGTTAATTTGAATCCAAAGATTCTGCGCCAAGGGAATATGGAAATCGAATCATAATTTGGATGGGAATTTGGGAATTTGGGGGATGAAAAAGGGGATTTGACTACAGCAATTTGTGAGTCAGTGTTGGGTTTATTAGTTGGTCCATGGGTTGTGGCCAAAGTGTTTGGGCATGAATTGGGGGAGGAGGGCCTGCCAGAAGGCTCGAACGTCTTCAGCGCGGAGGGGGACTGGCTGTGTTGGTGGTGGGGTCTCGAGGGGAACTTGTTCGACGGTAATGATCGCGTGAGCTGAAATTAGACGATTTTTGGGGTTCATTAAAGGTATTGGCAAGTCGTTACTGTAGATTTTGATATTTAGAGCTTCTCTACTAGCTCTTTTCCGGGAGTCTACCAAAATTTTTTTCAAAAACCCACTAATTCCAGCAAGGCATACGGTAACTCCAGGTTCTGTAGGCGATCCTTGAATCGTTACGCGAAGTTCCGTAGCGCCGGGAGCTTGGCCGGGAGGTACAGTAACTGGCTGAAAATCTTTCAACTGGTGATTCCATAGTGATGGGAGAACCTCATAAACCAAGCGCTAATGCTAATTTTTTGGATGTAAATGAGGATTTTCCGGAAGTGCTGTCACTCTGTGCAGAGGCCCATTAAGGGAATTCTGACCAGACCGTTGGTATCGCAATAGTTGAAAACCTCGGAGTAGCCGCGAGCGCTTTTCGAAAATCCACCGTGCCAACTTGAGGTTTCCTTGTAAGATTACCGTATTCTTAAACCCCGCTTCTGTAATCCCAAAGACCGTTCCCCAACCTTTTCCATTTTCATGATTAAACTCCACCTGGTCACCTCGTCCTCGGATCACCCATCTCGGCTTACCGTAACCCCCCGAGGGGCCATCCACAGCTACATTTTTCTGGGGGGTGGACCACACCTACCGGGCAGTTTTTCATCCGCTCGGCGGCCGCGCTGCGGCACCTTGGCCCACCCGAGTTGGGTCGCCCGGGTAACCGACAGGTTTTGAGGAAGATTTTGAGCTGACCGGTGGGAGTTTTCGCGCTTTGGATTTGAGGGGTCGTTGGGGAAAATGGGGGGCCAAATTTCCTGGGGGGTGTGAAAGTGACCAAATTGATTTTTCCAGGTGTTTTAAGGCGCGGAAAAATTTTGTGGAGAGATTAAAGGCACCGGCACGACCTGATTATGGGATTTGTTGGACATGGTTTCCTAGGGATCTCTCTGCAGCTGTAACCCCACGCTAAATACATGGAAACAGCTTGTATGCCCGTCTGGTTAGAGGAGTAGGATTTTAATAAATTCCAAAGTTACATAGATCCATAACCCCTCTTGATTTCCTGCCGTTTAAAAGTTAATAAATACCTGATAAAGCAGTGGCAGCGCTTGAGGAGCCTGTTGAGCCCCATGGTAATTTGGAGCAACGCTGATGTGGCTACCGATACCCTAAAAAATTGGACTTCGAATTACAGTCTCAACCAAACCGGATCGGAATAGTAAAATGGAGGATCAGCCGAGGGAAGTGGGTCTGGGATCGGGGTATCAGGACGCTGCTAAAAATAAATATGTTTTGTATTAAAAGGTAGAGCTGGCTTACGATTGGCACCTCGATGGGAGCCGGTTGAGCGGGTTCTTCCGGAGCTGGGCTCGCTTCTCTTGAAGCAGCTTCCCGCTTGGGCTTTTTCTCAGCCGACTGTAAGGACCCGACTTCACCTCGACGTTTGCGTGGCTAAAAAATAGCTACACTCTTAACTTAATTTTTCTATACCTCGGCAACAGGCGTAGCCTGTGGATTCATCCGGATAAAGTCGACCAACATATGTTCATTCCTCGGGGGCGGAATTTGCGGATTCGCTGCCCGCGCTTCAAGGTATTCCAACGCAAATCGAATCCTAGAAAAATTAAACGAATGGGAATCATTTGACTTACTGAGCTTCCGGGCTGAGGCGTCTATAGATGGCGGCCGGGTCCTAAAAAGAGACATCTGAATGGTGCAGCTGGGCTGGATGGGGGAACTAGCTGTTTTTGCTTGATTTCATAGCTTTCATCGGCTTGCTAGTGTGGGAGGAAATGTGAGACAAACTTAAATAAGTTCCGTAGCGTAAGGGTTGTCAAGTAATTTCACTTCTAAAAACCGATTCGCGGCTTTTTTTCTGAACCGATGGAATTACGATGTTATATAATTTACATGGTTTTTCCAAAATCGCTAAAAAAACGCATTTACTTTGCGCTAGCTACTTCACTTCCACTTTCAGCTCATGCTAATTTTTCCGAACGCAAAAGGAGATGTTTACAAAAGTCAAGTTTTTTGTAAAAATCTACATAGGTGCAGAACAACGTCGGAGACGTGTAAGTGCAAATTCGTACATCGTTGCTATTTTTTTTGATAAATTAAGGTTTACGCGAGGGGGTCGCGAGGTAGAAGGCCGAGATCGACGAGTTGGGGCTGGTTCTAGATTTTGAGGTTAAAAGTTTCAAGGTATTTTATACCAGCTTGAGTACCGCTATCGACTTTTCCTATTTCAGCTGTAGTATTCTTTGGAGGCGGAACGGGGGAAGGAACCATTGGTTGACTGTATTACCTGGAATTTAACGTTTCTATCGTTAATTTAACTTTTAATAAAAATAAGAGAAAAAGTTGTGCATATAACAATGGAACGTTTATAAGTTGAGTTGAGTGGTTAGGCACAGGGTTATAGTGGCCCTCTTTGGCCGGGGCCGTCCGGTACAGTGTCATGACAACCGTGATCCCTGCCACGAGCTCCCTTTCCCTTCTAATGCTCCAGAAGGGATTAGGGGGGAGGCTGACGGCAGCCGCCGTTCAATTAGTTCCAACACATCCCGGCGGCTTTGCCCTGGGCCGCGCATTTTTCGGGAATGAGGTAAGAGGCCCAGGAACGCTTTTAGGAAGAGAATACGGTATGACGGAGAGGATAAATGGTGTGTAATGGAATTTAAAAGCTGCATAAAATCATATCTAAATTCTGGAAATTAGGAAGCCGGTCTTAAGATAAGGACGCCGACGATGGGCTAGAAATTATAAATTCACATAAAAACGGAATGCGTAAATTCATGGAAGGGAGAGGGTTGATTGGATTAAAGGGACAGTGAAGGCAGAGATGGCGCTCTAAAGCAATGCTGATGGTATCAATATATAAAATAATATAAAAAACAGTGTCTGTGTGTGTGTGCATTTGCATGCAACTTCCGTGAGGTTGTCTCCAACCTACAGCCTCAGGGAAAAGTTTATAGGGCGCGTATGATACGTCATTAGGTGCGTAATGGTGCCGAGATGAGTGCACACACATAAAAGTTTTGAAAATTATTGTTTTCGCTATTAAAATTGAGTTTTTTGTAAAGATACCGAAAAATCTCTTTGTTAGGAGGCAAATCGTCGCTCGGGACGAAATAAGCACATTTTTGAATATGATCTGCGTTAGACGGAGGCCAGGATTGAGAAGTCGCAGAGCGCTTTTTCAACCCTGGTATAAAATAATTAAACAAAATCTACCTCCAAATTCCCGATAGCCGGTATTCTTTTGGAATTTTGGCTGTCGGCATTTTAACTGCCCTAATTAGGATATGTGCCTTAACAGTGAAAAATGCGTTCTTGATTTTAATCACGTAATCGTAATGCGTAATCATAAGTTTTTATCATAATCCTACTATATATAAAAAAATAGTGTCTGTGTGTGTATATTTGCATGCAACTTCCGTAAGTATGTACCGCACCTACAGCCTCAAGGGAAGGTTTTTAAGGTACGCATGATACGTCATTAGGTGCGTAAGGATCCCGAGATGAGTGCACACATATAAGATTTAGGAAAACCGGCTGTTTTCGCTATTAAAAATAGGTTTTTGTAAAGATTTCCAAAAACCTCTTTGTTAGAAGGCAATTTGCATGCGCCGGAAGTAGGGAGGGCCTATATAAAGGGACAGAGGAGCTGTTTTTCACTTTTTTCTTGCTAGAATTTAGGGAGAAGCATGCAAATTGAGGACTTTCGCAGGTCCTGGACGGGGCCAGGGTTGAAAAGCCGCGAAGCGGTTTTTCAACCCTGGTAAAATAATAAAAGATGTTTAAAAAAGGTTTGAGAATTTTTTAAGGTTATTTACTGTATTTTCGCGGTCGAAAAGTGGCCGACCTACCGGACAAAATTCTACCTACCGCTCGATTCAACATGGTGGTCCGCGGACCAACGCACCGCAGCCCAGTTTACAGCTCGGGGAAGGCGAAAGCCCTACAATCTTTACCCCCGCTTACGACGTATAGACCACTAAATTAAACAAATTAAAGTGAAAAACAACAACTAAAAGTAATTTTTATTCGGATAGACGAGCACTCTTTAAATAAATTGCTCTGAAAAATGGATAAAAAGTCACGACAATTGTTGAGTTAAAAATATCCCTTCCATTTTTTTGGCTTTATGTTTGTGTCGATGGGTTTGTTGATTTTCTAAAAAGTATGATATCAGTATATAGAAAAACAAGGCATATTTTACCTATTAACCGGCGTCACAGCCACAGCTAGCCCATTTTTGTATTGCACAGACGAGTCGTCTCTTTTTGAGAGATGACAACCAAATCGATACCCGATGGCTGAATGGACCTCAAAAATTAGAAGATACAAAAAGATGTAACAAACCATACCTTGCGCCGATATTCCTTGTGAAAAATACCATTTGATATTGTTGTCGATAGGGATATCAAGCTGAAATCGGGTTGATACATTTATTTTTAGCTTTTTGAACCTTGGTATCGTAATCCCAGCTGCAAAAACAGCGTCCCCAGTGTGCAACATATTCCACAATTTTCCAAGGGACACTACTGAAGGGCAGCTCATCACGACTAGGCAAAAACCTTGAGGATAGGACGTTCAAGGTAAGTATAAATTAGCATACCAGTCAACAGCATTGTCGCTCGAAAATGACTAGCACCACGTTTTGAGGATATCATCTTCTAGATGTCACAACATATAAAATTTAATTCCTAAATACCTTTCGTTTTAAATAAACGCATGTTAAAGTGACGAAGCTTGTAAAGTATGCTAGGATCTAAAATCAAATTTCATTATGCAAATTCGTAAGGTCGACCTGGAATAGGAAGTGTACGGATGCGTAGAGAGTCGAAACTGCAGCACCAACCGGGCAGTGCTGCGTAGAATTCATATATGGGTCAAGCCAAGCGGAAAGTCCTGCCAAGGCTATTGAAATCTAGATATGCAAATTCAAACTAAATTTAGCTTAAAAATTTACAATTTGCAGTAACAAAGCACCAAGCAGAAGTTGTATTCTGAATGGTGAATCCCAGAGCCGCAGGTAAAGCGAGGGCTGATAAACGGCTAAAAGAAATTAAAATGCTTGAACGACTACAGTACCCATTAACCGTTCCACAGATGATATACAAACTATAATAGCCGGTAATTGAGTGCCAACTATTAATAGGGCAGTGTAGGGACGCTAAAGTTACCTTTATGCAAATTTGGTCCTCAAACTCACAGCAAAAAAGCAACCAGCTGTTGAAATAGCCGCAAATATTGACCCTGTTTGCAGCATTAAAAAACGAGTAACTCCAGCGCCAAGGTATCCGAGCCCTAAATGCAAATTCTCTATCTATAAACTCGCAGTTATTACCATTTATTAATTCGGCTAATTCCAGAGCTATGAAGATTTGATATTTCGAGTTGCCTTTTTGGAGGCTAGTAAAAATATAGATGTTGAAAAGGTTGCATGTTAATGCGAGGAGGCCTTAAAGGTATTGCTTAAGATAATGCAAATTAAAACCTACCTGATACCATATACGTAAGTGCCAATACTTCCGTGTTGATCGCGTTATTCGTAAAAATATGTCGAATCCCATCAACATACACAGCACTGGAAACAACTATATAATGCCTAAATATACTAATTTACCCCCTCCAATTACCATAATCTTGGGTAGAATCTATCGCGAAGCTCATCACAACTGCAATCCAGCACTTTTCGGAAATGAATCAGGATTTATACAGTAACTACGACGAGGCATTTGTATGAGCAGTATGAGAAAATACGCACGCTAATTATTCCTCTGTATTCCTTTGAACTCTGCATTTTCTGTAAAAAGGCTGCGAGCGTACAAAATTTGCGAGATGAGGTCAGGAAAGTTGATGGCAAGCTGTTAAAAGGTCAGAAAATTTTACAGCATAATCTAGTTTTGCAATTTGCATTTTTTTTCACTTTACAAATTTGCACCCTTGTTTTTAGATATAAAAACTAAAATTTGTATGTAAATTTCTTTTAATTATTTTTTAGTTATACAAAAATTAGCGACTAAATTTTTCCTTTTCATATCTTAATTTGCATGAATCGCCTTTTGACGATAAAAAAAAATATGATTTTTCTGTGGGATCTGAAGTGTGAATCACTTCAAAAAACAGGCCTTTTAGATTTATTATGACATTCAACAATACAAAGACGGTACTGGGAAAATTGCGAATAGTGCGTTTGTATGAGCAGCGGAAAGCAGGTGGGATAAAAATAATTGGGAAATATTTTGAAGGATATGGGTATAGGAAAACTTGTTATTGGGGTTACGGTAGTAATTTCCGGGGGAATATCGAGATGGTAATTTGGGAACCTTTAGACGAAGATCTTTTTTGAAGGATTATTCATTCCTGGTTGGGGCTTGACGTCCGGAATTTCCGGTTTGATTTGGGCTGAAAATAGGGAATACAGTAAGTCAAAAACTAGAGAATTACCTTTTTTCAAAGCCTTTAATTTGTGCTCTTTCTTCCAGTCGGCGAGGGTGCTTGTCGGGTTTACCAATTTTCGTTTCTAAAGTAATAGTTAAATTCGAGTTCACAAAAATTACAATTTTAACAGCTTCCGCTTTTGTCGTGCCAGGAATTCCAGGAAGAACCACACTATCGCTCATAGCTTAAATAAATTTTTACTAATTTTTAACAATTTTTCGCTTACCACGAGGACGAACTTTAGCTTCAAATTTGTTGTGAAGATGCTCAAAGCGCTAAAAATAATTAATGATTTGAATTTAGAATTAAGTGACTCACCTCAAGCCACGCCTGATTGCTAGCCCGCTTTTTCGCCCTTTCCTCCCTCTTCCTGCTCTTCTTCTCCACCTTCCTCCTATTCTTCTCAAGCGTTTTTTTCAGCTTCTTCATCTCATAATTGATCCTATTCGTTTTCCTAACCCATTCCCGGGTGTTCGCAGCTCTTTGTCTTTCCTCATCGCCACTACTTGACGATTCTTCACTGGATTCTGACACCAAAGATTCTGGCGTTGGAATGGATTCTGTGAGGTAGGATGTTTGTTGAGAATCATGGCAGTATGCAGAGGTATCCATTGATGGATCGTTTGGGGTAGGTTCAACATCGAAGAGGAATGTGTGACGGACTTTTGACTTTCTTCTAGGCATATGTTCGACGTCCCATTCGTAGTCTTCATAATTGATGTAGAAGAGGCCATCGATGCCCAGAAATCTTGGATTTTTGAGGGGAGCTGAGTCGTAGTTGTCGATGTCAACGCCGGGTGGGATGTAGTTTAGCGTTCGGGGCGGTCTGTTTTGATCGTATAGGTAGGTGGTTGGCTTCTGAAAATGAGGATTAAAATGAAAGATTATCAGGACCCATCGCTTGCCAGATACCTTTAATAAGCTATATTCCTTACCTTGCGCTTCCGATTTCTAGAAGCCCGTCTCGGGTTTGCAATTGGAACCTAAATAGTTTTTACTTTAGGTTTTAATCAAATACTTACCACTTCCGGCAACTCCGCACTAATCCCAAGGTCGACGAGCTGCTCGTGATTTTCAGCCAGAAACGCTTCCAACAAGTTCGAGGCGTTCAGCTCCACCCCAATCGTTTCGCCGGCTTTGCTGGCTTTGTAATGGGCGAGGGCTTCGCGCAACCTATTCAACCGTCGTAATATGCAAATTTGAATTACATACCAATCCATCGTTTCCGGAGGTGTCGGCGGGTCGGGGATTACCTCATCCTATAAAACAATATAGTTTTTAATAGCGATCTAAGCTGGCTTCCAATCGTAACAGATAATTATGATTTACTTCGGATTCCGGCTGTTGCTCATCGTGGTCAGGTTCCGGCCCGACGGATTCCATCTGAAACTGGTTATGTGTTGATTTAAATTCATGTCTTTAACGCGAAATATAAGGAAAAATTGGTTAGAAGAAGCAGCCATTAATAAACCTTGCAAATTTCCCTGCAAAACCGGTTCAAATCCCTTGTTGCCAAAAATAATAAATCTCCCTTGGCCCTGCCATAAAACGTGTGAGAGAAAACTTTTTACAAATTCCCGCGATGAGAAAGTAGATAAAAATTCAGCCAATGACTCAAAAATCGTGGGAAAATTTGCACTTAGGAAAATGGTACTAAATTTTATGCGAAAAGGAAGATCAATAGCCTGGAGTTGGGACTGTTTTTCTGTTGATGGGGGGGCTTGCCAAGAAATAAGTCCGTAGCAACGCGGCAGTTCTAATCCGTGAAACAGGGATTAGACGAGATGAGAGGGGAGGTAGTAGAGACCAGTATATGTTCGTCTTTTTCCTGTGAACACTCCGGTGTCATCGATTTGGGGGTAAAATGGTTGGCATTGGGGGGGCAGAGTGTGGAGCTATGGGAAAAGCAAGGGGTCTTTGGCGGCTGGCGTCTCGGGATACAGGGACCGTTACCCGGGAGAATATATGCAAAAGAGACGGCCTGGATTGGCTGAGACAAGCCAATACACACCTCACAACCCTGAATATAATTGCCCTCACGAGACATCGCGTCCAATTTGAAGCCGACGTTTGTCCGGGCGGAATTGACTACGAAGCAGTACGCTAGCCGACAGGGGTGGAAATTAGGGTTACGATAACGAAAATACTAGCGAACCGTAGCTTAAAGCATCAGACATTTGGATTAAAGGGCTGGTGAAATCTGGAAAATGGTTAGCAGGCTATAAATTGTAATAGTTTTACTAAATTGTTAAAATTATTCTTCAAAATCATAGGATCAATCTAGTTTCAATTTTATTTACATTATTTAAATAAAGTTAATTTTGATAAAACTCGCCCGAACAGATAACAGTACCCTAACAGCCCAATGACTCGCCCGGCTACAGTACCCAAATAATGCTAGCCCATTTTCCCTTAATTAAATAACCTCTTTTTTTAATTTATTTAGCTAAACTGTATTTTTATTATTAGCATAGCAAGCAAGTTTTTATCCGCTTTTGTAACACGTTTTGGGATTTTACCACAATTTTTAATATCATTTCTCAATACGAAAAGCCTCGACTACGCGGGGCTCCTCTCGACTCCCCCAAATCAATGTCGTCATCTTCTCAGGGCAACCACATGGGGCCAGCAAAATAACATTGTTATTGTCTGGAACAGTTGCTCTTCTATACTCGAACTTTTCCTTAGTCCCGTCTCCAACTATTTTTCACGCTTTTAAAGCAAAATGATATCTTCTTTAAGTATGCTACCGCGTTTTTAGACTGTACTAAGGTTTGCTATTCTTCAAATTACTTGTTCTAATATTAACAGTTATCTCTTTCTTTCTCTAGTTTATCCTACAACAGATTAGCTAGAGCAGAAGTCATATAGGTAACTAGAACGTTCCTGATGAGTCATCCTCCCCTTACGCAATCAGAGTCGGGTCCTTGGATTGCATCACGTGCTTTTCGGATATATACCCCAAGCAGTCTACTGCTCACTGTTACTTTGAACAGACCGCGAAATTACTCTTTCCCCACGAAACCAGCATCGAAACTCTTTTCCAGATTTTTCTGGATAATCTTGCTCCTCTGCATTACCACTTCGACGTTAAATACATAGTAGCACTTTAATATATTCTATTTGCACATCGATTTCACCAAATAAATATTTTAAGAACTAAATTATAAATCTTTTAAGATTTAAAATGGTTCGCCGACGCACTGCCGCCCCTCGCCCTTCAATGCCGGTTCGTTCGGCAGCACCGTCTTCAAATCGTGGTTATCAACAGCAAATGCCACCTCCACCACCACCTGGCCAACAATCTAGGGTATACAATTATCACTGATTCCCAATAATTCATATTTCAGGGCCCTGGCCTCATGGGCCAAATGGCGGCCACCGCTGGAGGTGTAGCTATCGGTTCGGCTGTGGGACATAGCATTGGCCATATGATGACTGGAGGCGGACGGAACGAAGATGCTCAACAACAACACGCCGCTGTCACTCAAGAACAGCAATATCAAAATCCTTGCGAGTTCGAGTGGAAGAAGTTTTTGGAATGGTAGGAGTTAAGATAGAGACTTTAAAAGTTAATTTTTAGCACCCAAAACCAGCAGGACCTCTCGATGTGCCAGGCGTTCAACGACGCGTTTAAGCGATGCCAATCCGGGCAATGATTTGAATAATATGTACAGGACTTCAGTTATATGCTTCGTATTTAGAAATAAAGGTTTTTTGAGTTTCTTATAAAAAACGAGATACACTAGATACGACACGTTATCGCCAAATCTAGGATGCAGGTGTTGACGTTTCAAATTTTAACCTTGAAAAATCACGTTTTCAGAAAACGCAAAAATACTCATAAATCACAAATTGCCCTATCCAACGCCCTTTTTGAGGGCTCCTTCTCCAGAGAAACGCCAAAAAATCCTCCTCCCAAACCCCTGGTCCCCCCAAATTCGATCTGCAGCTTTTTTTCCGCCTGCTCCTCCCTCCTAACTCCACTCCGAAGACATGGCAGCCTTAATTAGAGCCTTGAATGGATGACATGCCAAAGAAAGGCCCATGGCCCTCCCTTTTGGCCCCAGCCAGTCCTCCTCGCCTCTCCCTCTCCTCACCACCCAATTTTTGCCTTCTCTTTCCCTCTTTTTCTACACTGCCCTCTGCCATAGGGCGAGTATCGATCCGAAAGCATTCCCGAGTAATTGTCCCACCATCTCCCCCCGGATCCGCCTCCAAATCCATCTCAAGGAATTCCCTTTATTCTTGCTTTTCAGGCGAAATGATTTGAATAGAATTTAGGAGTAACACTTCTTGAAAACATGCTTTCAGCGGGATTACCTCACTTCGGATTGGCTTTAGTTTTCGGTTAATCCGGGCTCATTTCTTTTCCAAAATTCGTCTTGAAGCGTGGGATACGGTAGTATTTGGCCTATTTTTACCCTCAATTTCTTGCGGAAAAAAATTGCACAAATTACTACGATGTGATACTCGTTACGCCCAAATCTATTGCGTAATCATCGAGATTGCGGCTTCATCCTAGCTGTTTTTGGTAGTATATTTCAGACAAATTTAGCAATAAATAATAAAGAGATCACGGGCGGTAAATTTTAAATAGCACAAGCTTAACCGACTTAAAATCAATTTTTATTGAGTTTATGCTAATTATGCTATGCAACTCTTCACGTTTATGATCTTTGAAACGTAACGCTTCCTTTAAATTTCGTTTGTCGGTTTAACAATTAATTTTTACCTTTTTGTAGATGAGCTCGGGGGCGGCCGACCGCGAGCTGGTCGAGCCGACGACCAGCTTTGAGGTGCCGGCGGCGGAAGACTATGTTCGTCTCAATGTCGGTGGGGCCCTATATCAAACCTCGATGCAGACGCTCAACAAGAGGGACACCATGTTGAAGACCATGTTTTCCGGTCGAATTCCGGTGAGTAGTAAAAAGCACGACCAATTCATGTTTGCTAGATTCGCCGTGACACTGAAGGCTGGGTGTTAATCGATCGGTCTGGGCGGCACTTCGGGTTGATCTTGGATTTCCTCCGTGACGGGACCATTCCACTTCCAAACTGTCGGTATGAAGTGGAACAAATTATGAATGAAGCTGCGTATTATTTGGTTCAGGTAAACCCTCGTTTTAATGCGTTACCGAAAACCATATTAGGATCTTGTCCAACACTGTTCAAATTGGATTGCTGCCCGGCGAGGATCCAGCACGAAACTTCCAACTCTTTGCTACATTCCCTCGATAAGCACCAAGGAAGAAGCGGAAACTATTGTGAATCATACTACAAAGGTAATTTTTAAGCCATAGCTTATCTATAAACACAACCCACATTTTTATGTGTAATAATCAGTATATTTTCAATTTTTTAGCCCGTCATCAAATTCATGATCAACCGCCACAACAATAAATATTCCTACACCGTTCAATCGGACGATAATATTCTCCGAAATCTTGAGCTTTTCGATCGCCTCTGCATCAAATTCCACGATAGGATTGTTTTTGTGAAAGGTAAAAGCTTCAAAATTGCGATTTTTCTTCCGCACTGCTTTAAAAACTAAAATATAAACCATTTTCAGATCTCGGCTCCGAAAGCGCGGAAGTTTGCCAGTGGAAATTCTACGGAAAAGGGGTCCTAAGGGCCGAAGTATCGTGCACAAGCATTGTGTACGCTACGGATAAGAAGCAGACAAAGGTACGACAACCCTAAAAAATATCAAAACTATGTTAATTAGGTGGAATTCCCGGACTCAAAAATCTACGACGAGGCTATGTGCATCTTGCGCTATGAAGATCCGTCACTCTGCGGGCGTTGTGGAGGGGATTGCAGTAAAGAAACAACCCCAACCCGTCCCCATCCACCAAGATCTTTTGAGGAAAATTAAATTATTCTAGAGTTTTAAAAGCTAAATTTTAAGTTTTGCTTTAAGTGCCATCCCATTCACATATTAGTCACCCTATCAAGAAGCCATACATTTTGGTTGCTCAACCGACCCATTCTAATCAAACCCCCGGCATTCCATAAAATCCAAAAAACTTGTTGACCCTAGAAAATGCTTGCCATTGCCGTTGCTAAGTCATAATCCCCATAGATGGGCGGCTTTATTATTACTTCTATTCAGTTTCCCCATTGGCTGCCAGTATCTAGAAAATGTGATCCGAAGCGGTATTCAAGGAGAAGATGAAATGCTTTATTTTTGGTCTTTTGAAAAATATATACAAGAGAATTGAATAAATGCTTATTAGTGGAAATTATTATTGAGTGAAAAAATACAAAGCAAAAGAGATCAAAAGAGAGATTAAAGTGAATTTCGAGCTGGAGGAATTGCAGAGGTCACCCTTGCAACAATCGATCAAATAGCTGTTATTTCCAGTTACATATATTTGATTGTTGCTTTCCTCCTAAAAAAAGTTGGTTTAAGTATATTAAAGTAGAATCGATACCTTGCAAGTATATTTGAGCCACGACTGTTCCGTTGGGCATCCACAATCCCAGGTATACTGTTTTCCGTTAGATACGCTGGGGTCCAATCTGACGGCCATGCAAAAATCATTGCAATCATCTCCACAATCGGCTTGCTAAAGTTTCATTAATATCGTTTTTCGAGGTATTTAAGTTACTTTTTATTATATATATTAAGTCTGAGAGAAATAAAACTCACGGTTCCCTTGTGCTTATCCTGTGACCTTTGATCCCTCCAACATTTAGATGTCAATCCGACGGCCATAAGAGAAAACAAGACAATAGCCGTTTTTAGCATCATTGTTCGGATTGAATGGATAGACTGATCGAGTGAATACCGTTTTGTGAACAGTCTTTTCTTATATTTGCCCAGCTTCTTTACTCGGTCTTATCGCCATGAGAGTCGGATTCTAGGGCTTATCGAAAAGAGAGTGATGAATCACCCGTTTTCTATTCACAAATCCTCAGAAATCAAAAAGTAGAAACGGGTCGGTGACGTGTTTTTCTAGCTGATAATTGAAAAAAGTGGTGATGACGTCATTAAAATTCGATATTTATTATTGAGCAAAAATATATTCAAAGTCCCCATTGCATCGGCTGCATATCCGTAGGAATTGCGATTCGGACAATTGGTTCTCCATGGATTCGGAGCTCCACTTTGATTTTGTAATCACCCTTAAAATTATGATTAAACAAAAATTTGCATGTCCACATACCTTTAATAAATCTATAAGTGATACGCCGAGAAAACTAGGTGCTGGAGGCAACTCTTGTGTTGAATTAAAGCCAGCTTCTCTCTAAAAAATATTGAAAATTTTTAGTCGGACTCCTTACCCATAATTCCTCCAAAGTATGAGTACCCTTCCTTTGCAAGACCCGACAAATTTCCGGTGGCACAAATGTTGTCATTTTAAAGCGACTAAAAGTAATCGTAAGTAAAGATTAAAATTCTGAAACCTACCATAATTTATTGGGAATAAAAAACATTCCTCCCTCGCCATCATCACAGATATGCTTTTCGCCGACGTGTACGGTAGCCCGGACCATGGTATGGTGGAAGAGATCGTAGTTTTGGGGAACTAGTACTTCCCCTGAAATTGAGTTTAAAGGGATCTAGACATTAAAATACATACCTCCCATAATATGGAAATAACCCGGCATTTTTATATTCACTTTTCCTTCATAGCAAGAAGGTTTATAGAAAATATCGTAAGCTCGGATTACGACATTTTTGACATGGACTGGGAGATCTGAAAAATGAGATTTCAAGTTATATTTAATGGTTTTAACTTACCATCTCCATACGAATCTATCGTAAAAACATTGTCAATACCATCTCGACAGCTATCAACAATAGATGCGCAGAATACGAGTGCTAACCAGAGCATCTCCTCGCAGCCCTCAAAAAGTCAATATCGCGCTCAAAAGTGGCGATCAAAAACAGGATCGCCGCGCGAAAATTGCGCGCTGCTCGACAACACCTACTCGCATCATCTCTAGGGATGAAAGGGCAGGTGTAATTGAGCACAGTTCTCTGGGTTAGCTCTCTGGCAATGCCATGGATCGAGGAGGAAGAGGAGGAAGAGATGTGTTTCAGTGAACGGTTGGGGATCGATGAAATAATTGGAAGTTACTGTGTGATACCTTGAGTGCGAGCCGAAACCCAAGCCTAAGCCTTAAGCTTAAGCGAAAGCCTAAGTCTAAGCCAACAAGCCGAACCCTAAATCTTAGCCCTTACTCATCCACTATCATTTCTATTTCCAGCCCAACAAAACCCCACCTCGAACCGGGAACTACAACTTGTTATTCCCTAAAGGTATGTTTGCCAAAAGCTTCTATAAAATGCCCCTCACCCCGAGGACCACCCAGGCTTTTCCCCAATGCTAACTTTCATCTTATTTTTTGCCTTCTTCAGATGGGCTAATACCTGCGGTAGGACACTTTTGATTTACCTCTTAAGATTCGATTAAGGCGCCATCACCGGCCAATCTGAAATCATGACCAACCCCACATTCACCACAACCCTATCACCACCTGTAGAATGGACATATCCGCTTGTCCCTGCCCAGACAACAGGTTTTTAGCCTTTTTAGCCTAGTATGCAAATCTGTCCTAGGTACCCAGACGGTAAACTACTACTTCCCGGGACAATCCCTCTCGAGCGCTCAAGCGTTGCAACAGGCCGAGAAGGACGTCACGGCGGCGGTAGAGACCAGACCAGTAAATCCCCTAACTTTATGTTTATAGTTTCTGGAAGCACTTAATGCTATGCCGTATATACCGTACTCCAAAGATGTCTCGGTCACGGTCACCTACGCACCGGGACAAATATCGAATTGTTATACAACTGTGGCTTATGCACGTAGGAAGGTCTTTGAGTCTAGAAAGTATATTTTTAGCTGGAACTCATATTGGACTATATTCTACTGGTACCATTACTGAGTACGTTACCGTATCCGGCACTACCGCTACAGCCACCTCCTGCCCGGTCCCGCAGGGATTAACTGGTTTTAGTGAATATGAACCTTACATTGTGAATTTAGGGGTTTGTAGTTTTACGTAAACCATAATATACCTTTAGATAAATACGCAGAATACCCCGCCACTAACGAAATACGAATGGGAGAGAATTGCTGTCGATATGATGGCCTCGCTACAACTCCAAAGCAATGCCGTCTTCCGAACCCCGATGACAATCAGCTAAAGAATAATTCCCCTCTTTTAATGAACCTTTTGACGAACGAGTAAATTTCCCACATTTTTGCGTGATGCCGCATTGCCCAATGTTTGTTTGTAGGTATCGGGTGTAATTGAGGGGAGGAGGGGAGGTGAATTTTAATGTTTGCCGACACCTTCTCGCAACTTGCCGCATGTGTTTCGAAAGATTGGTGGCTATAATAAAGTGTGAAGATTTGGTAGTATTGAAATACGGAAAATAACGTATTTATTGTATTATCAGGATATAGGGAATAACGCAAATGCATCTCTGCAAAATTTGATGGCGCGTCAAATCCTGAGCCGGGAAAAACCTGAAAGACACAAACTACAAAAGCGTTTTTTAATGTTCTGACATGCAGATTTACCGTAACTACAGCTTTTCAAAACCATAACCTATTTTACTTTCCCTTTGAACCCCCTAAAACCAAGACACAAGTTCTTTGAAAGTCGACAGACACCCCAAGACCCAGGTAATACGATCCCCCAATATACCCGACATCAAATTGACGAATCGGTCTCCCCCACATCTTCTTCTCCAACTTCCATTCTCCTTCTCCTTCTTGTACCCCTCTCTTTCCCCTAAAAACGAAGTTTCCATATCGTGAGAACGCACCCCTTGATGTCCGAGTGTTCCGATGGGCTGCCATCTCATTTAGCCCCCAATCGCCTTCCGTCTATGATATTAATAGCATTATGTTATAGTCTGTGCCATGGTGGGTTATCTAGCTGCCACTGACTACTGTAATACCGTTAATTACAATTTTATGTTTTCAGCCGTTGTCCCACAACAAGCCATAGTCAACCAGATGCTAAAACCCTCAATATATGACAAATCTGTAATGCCTGTTGATGACGGCGAGACACTGGGGATGAACATCACGCTGAACTCGTTCAGATTGTTGTCGATGGTTCTCTCTTTTCCTTGAGCCTGGACGTTATTTTTTAGGATCAAAAAGAGGAGTCCATTCAATTTCAACAGGAATTTTTGATGGTATGGCTCCAGAAATACCCTATTTTAACTTTCTAGACCTGGAAAGACCGAAATCTGGGGTGGAATCGAAAGAACTTTTCGTATGATCTTGAGTGGGTCAAGGTATCTGCGAACCAGATCTGGACGCCGGATGTCATTTATTATTCTACGTATGCTAATTTCGGAGTTTGATAGGTTTTGTGAATCTTTTAGTATTGAAATTGAGCGACTGTTGGATGAAAACCAATCTTACGCGGATGTGAAATACGATGGTACGACGAGATACTCTTACCCAGCTACAGTAAGACTTATTCTAGCCCTTCTAGATTTTTGTTTAGGTCACCACACCTTGTAATTTACAACTTGATAATTTTCCTTATGACGAGCAGGTAAGTCCGAGAGTACTGTAGCAAACGCCAGATTTAGACGTGCGATCTGTTGCTTGGATCTTGGATTTTTGACGATCACCAGGTAGCTAAAAAAAAATTATAAAAGCCAAGTTATCCTTTTTTAGATTGATACAAATCCAACCGAAACAAATTTGCAGCCCACAGGAAAAGTAGGGAGTGTATGTGAAAACATTTATTTAATAAAATCTATATATTTAGCGGAGCTCCATAATTTTCACAGGAAATTCCGAATGGGAGCTTCTCGGGATTACGGTTTCGAATTACACGATGGTTATTGATTTTTTTTCGATTATTTAAAGAGATATTTTAGGTAATTCCAAGAGACGGAAATTATTCACTAATCAAATATCAAGTACGAATGAAGAGGAAGCCTGTCTATTATGTGATGGTGATCCAGGTAAATCATCTATTCTAGAAAAAATTTAAACTTTAGATGCCTACTCTTATTATCGGAACGCTAACTTTATTTGGAATGTTTACACCGTTTAGCCAGAGGATGGAACGATGGCAAAAGGTAAGTAAAGCAAAATTTTTGGGGGTCATTTTGTTTTAGGTCGAGCTAGGTCTAAATATGCTATTGGCTATATCCATGATGTTGAATCTGGTTTCAAATATGATGCCAAAGGCTGAGAGATTACCATTATTAGGTAGTTACAATTGGCAATACTTTAAATAATTTTTGTTTAAGGAAACTATATCATAGCCGAGATTTTCCTCTGCGCAATCGGGACTGTATTTGCGATAATACTGCTCGAAATCCACGCGAGGGCTGATCAACGGCATTGGAGGCCGCCGGATTGGTTAGTTGGAAATGAGGCTAATTTTAGGTTTAGGTTATGCCGATGGGTATTATTCAAATGTGGGCGGGAATGGAAAAAGAATGGCTTACGGGCAACACAGGAACCTATTAGAATATTGCCGATTGCATCTTCTGAAAAGGATACTGGTGCGATCGTGATGAAGTTGGAAGCTGTAAAAACACAGTTGAGACAAGTAGGACCCTAAAAATTTGTTTTAATAACCTACCGTAACCTTAAATACGTTTTTTACAGACCCTCCACCTCGTTCGCCAATATATGGATCGTGGTAACGCCGAAATGGAATGGAAACAATTATGGACCCGCATTTTCGACAGAATCGACCTAGCCCTTCTAATCCTGTTCCAAGCAGCCAATATATGTGTCTCGGTGCTATTCATGCGATAAATTCTTAGAATATACTATACAAAAATCATACAGAGCCTCTGATCACTATCGCTTTGCAAACCTCTCCCTCCCCCCTTGCTGAAATCCATCTCACGCGCAGCTCAAGGCCATCCCCGGGCCAGTCGGAAAAAACGCGAAAAATCACATGGCTCGCATTCCGATTTTTGTTTGGGGAACAAACAAAGTAAAAATTAGGATGCGAGCGATTTCTTTAAACTTGTAGACGACCGTAACACTTTCTGCTTGTCTGTCCCCTTAGTCTTAATTTTTTCTGTTGTTGCAATTTATTGCGTCTTTGGATGAAAGGTAGAAGTATAAATTTTCAAGTCTGACATTATGACATCTATTTTGAAAGGCTTTTAAGTATTTTGGGAAACCGACCTAAATACCATAATTTTTACCTAGACATTTAATAAAAATTTTAATTTAGTCTAGGCCTGGTTCGACTTCTTGGGGACGCCTTAATTTTATGCAGCACCGCATCATCATCAACCTCGGCACTCCCGTATTACAACCTTCGTGCCGTCCGCCTCTTCCCATTTCAAAAATACCTTTCAAAATCTCCCCCGAAAAATCCGGAGACGATCCTTTGATCTTGATTGCCCTTCCCCCTATGTTTTGACTGGCGAAATTTTGGTGAAATGAGATACCCCTCCTCAAATCATTGTACACATCCAGTACCATGTAACAAGTACCCGGCGGTGCCTACAATTTTCACAGCCTGCGGTGCCTAGAACAAGTTATATACCCATATAGGCCTGCACTATACCCTCACCTCCCTCTCGTCGATCCACCCAAATCCCACAATAATTGTTCACTTTTTGGTACGTAGATCAGCCGGTACCTCCCCCCTTTCACTCCATCTCGACATAACACACATCGATCCCTCCCCCCTCCATCGGCTCGGAGCCCGATCTCCCTTTTTGCCGTTTCTGGTCGCTCGGGCTCAATGGAAATATCCATCGCAATTTGCGGGGTGCGAATTGATAGGCCCTGCCGTTCCCCGGAACCAGAAATTCGCAGGATCCCGTTGACAACGAGGATTTTGGTCATAGTAGGGGTTTTAAATTGTTTGTTGCTTTTGTGTTGCTACCGTCGGCTTCAAGGGCGCACAACTTCCAGTCCTCATTTCCTACAAATTTCCAACGCTGCTTTTTATGATAAAAATGCTAAAATATGCAAATTGGACTAGGAGTCGTCAAAATCCATCTCCGCTATCTCTTTCTAGCTACCGATACCGCAAAAAAAAGTCCAAGGTTCTATTTTTGCCTATAGCAGCACCAGGTTTCTCGCTGTCTGAAGCCATTCCCATTTTTTGATTTTGTGAATCGATTTGCATCTGATGCAGACAGAATCCTGGTCCCAGGATGTTGTCTATTCACATGACTCACCTCAACCCCCGCCTATCCTCCCTCCGATTGCCAGACTGATTTCATATTCCGCTCCTCCCCATTCTTGTCTTCACCCGATAATCGACGCATGCTTTCTGCCAACATTTTTCACTGCATAAGAATTTACAGCGATTTTTATACTCTTGGATTTTACCACTTTTTTGCCTCGTCAATGTTTTTGAGTCTCTATTTTTATGTCCTCTAGTTTCTCTATACTATTAATGCGACCACTCTAACCCCTCTTTTTATCAAAACCAGTACTTCCAGCTTGGCCCCAAAAGCAATGCTATGAGCACACTAAAGTCAAGGCCTTCCGTTCTGAATTTTCGGGATTGGGTGAAAGAGCGGACCCAGACGAATGGAAAAGTATCTTCGTCCACCCCTAAAGTCAAGCAGAGGACGAATCTGATCACCAGGGTATTTTTGTATCCTCGTGAAAATTCTATTTCTATTATCAGGTGAATTCTGGCAATGCCAGTTCCTTAATTCCTGATTTTCATGAGCACAGTTTGACCATCGGTATGTTAAGATGTGTAGCCACTCTAAAAATATTTAGAACAACTTGCTGATAAATTCCCATTGAGCCGAATTAATGCGGAAAAGCCCGGAAATAGCCAAGGGTTGCGCCAGGTAATTTTATAATTGAATTATTTATTTGAAGTTTTTTAGGATGAGGTCCAAGTCAAGCTCCGGAAATCCGGCTCGAACACCATCAAGCCTTTCGATCCTCGCTCTACGATATGCCTCTACCTTCAGCAGTTTTTCCAAACATTCCGGATTCTCCTGCTGGTCCCGGCGATTTTGTGTCTGGTTATCTATTTTCTAGGTAAGTAAAAAAACTTACTTTTTGAAGGTAGACCCTAACTTTAGAAATGCACCACATCCAGCGCCTGTACCTTGCCGTTATCTTATTTTCTGTCCTGATTGCTATGACCTCTTTGAGCTATTACCAAGAAAGAGTCTCTGTAATGGTTGGTTAACCCTAGAAAATATCAAACAAAAGTTTTTAGCAAGTCCGTGGATTCCAAAAGATGCTTGCCACTCACTGCCACGTGATCCGCGGCGGTATGACGCAGAGGATCAGCTCTGAAAATTTGGTGATCGGCGATTTGGTCAAGATTCAGTGGGTCTTTTCATACTACAAATTAACTCATTTTTGTTTTAGGTTTGGGGATCGAATTCCGGCTGATTTACGACTACTTCAAACCGATAGCTTGCGTTTGGATACGTCCTGGATTACAGGGGATGTAAGTCGAAGCAAACATCTTCTTCATAAATTTTAATTTAGCTGGAACCGCTTCCATTCTGCGAGGAACCCGCAGAGCGTGATTTGTCGGCCTTGGAAACTCAAAATATCGCGTTTAACGGTTGTGAATGTACTAGTGGAAGCGGTCTGGGTGTTGTAGTCAGAGCCGGAAATGATACGGTAGGCAAATTAAAAATATAAATACCTAATCGTAAATCTAGGTCCTCGGGAAACTAGCTCAAAGCGGCTGGCAAGAAGTGGCAAAGCCATCTCGCCTGACAAACGATCACACCAGATTTTGCCGCTTTATCGCGCTGTCATCAGTCGTGCTTGGGCTGGCTACTGTAGTATTCGGTACGTTAAGAGATTTACTTTTTGTACAACCGATTCTTCAGGCGTGACCGTATCCCATGTGTCTTCCTTACTACACGTTCTCGTAAATGGTTTCTTGATCGTTGTTGTGGCGAATGTCCCGCAAGGTGGGTAGACACCGGGTTTTTGGTGCTAATTTCCGGCTAGGGCTCCCCGTCACCCTAACTGCACAGCTCGTGATCGTCGCCCGGAAACTGGCCAAGAGCAATTTGTTCTTGAAAAAACTCGACTTTTCCGAGACGCTCGGTACGACGTCGCTCTTTTTGTGCGATAAAACAGGTGAGTTTTTAGGGTGGTATGTCTGGTATATAAGGGCTCTCTAATCCCCCGTAATTTACTCTAAAAATTTCCTTTCAGGCGTTATGACCGACAACAATATTGCCGTTACAAAACTTTGGTATAATGGGAAAGTTAGTGCCGGTAAATTTGGAATTTTCAGAATTAAAAGATCAAATCTAGTCGAATCGCTTCTACCTAAAGCCTCGTCTGGACGACCAGCTTTAAATCAATATGAAAATACGCTACGTCAGGCTCTGGAGATTATGGCCCTTTGCAATCGGTTAGTTATACAATTTTAATTTTAATTTTCATATTTTTAGGGCCCAAATGGAAAACCTTACCACCGCATTGAACGAACCATCAACAAAGGTTTCTCAAGTTAACACTAGCGTCCGGAGCATGCGGTAAGCCAAATTCAGCTTAAAAATGTTTTTAGTGAATTTTCAAAAATGAACAAATTATCCGAGCTCCCGATGCCAGAGGTGGATCACAGAAAGGTAATACTCAAATTTTCATAGCTCCAATTTTTGCTAGATCCTCATCTACCCCAGCTTCAGTGGTCAACCAACGGATCGAGCTATATTGCGATTGGTTCAAGATGTAGATTGGAAATTAATGAAATTTCAGCTATTTTTTTAGTTTACATTTGTTCACGACGTTCGCAAAAGATGGGATATTGTCTTCGAGATCCCTTTCAACAAGAGTCGACGCTGGAATATCGTCATTGCAAGAGAGGCAGCCGATATTATGGCTGATGACGACGAGCTGATCACGTACTACTTACTCCATTTAGTAGCGTAATCGGTTGTAGGTTCCACGTCTTTCTAAAAGGTGCACCGGAAGACATTGTCGAAAAATGCGGCTATAGTTTGGAAGAATTGGTGCGAAAGCCAATTGATGACGATTTTTTGTTGCGATATAAGGTTTTTATAACACTTTGTGTTGATTCTAATTTTTAGGAGACTTACACACTTTTTGCGAGAAACGGCTTGAGCAGTATTGGGCTGGCTCATGGGACTTTTGACGCGTTGGCCGGGACGGAATTTAGTCAGCAGCTAGGTGGGGAGATAAATCATCAAAAAATTTCTTTCTGGAATTTTAAGGAAATTTTGTACAAGATGGACTAACCCTTGTCGGGATCTGCGGACTTTCCGATCCGCCAAGGCCCGAGACGAGGCGTCAAATTGAGGCTATGGCAAATGCTAACATAAAGCTTCATCTGGTGACCGGGGATCATCCTACAGCGGCGGCTGCTGTGGCGGAAATGGTTGGAATGGGGCCACAGGTAATAATAATAAAATGATTTTGTATAATTTGCATAACTCGTGACCAAAATAAATTTTAGAAAACCTCGATCGAAGAATTCCAGGTAAAACTAGAGGTTTAGCTGTGGTTAGTGCTAAAATCCGCTTTTTCGAGCTAGCGCTAGAGTTAGAAACTATAAATTATAGCAATGGATAGCGCAATCAGATTGATTCATTACAAAGTTCTATACTTTAGTAGAAAACCAATGAAATCCATATTAATTTAGCAAGAAGTCTGCGTAGTGTCCGGTGATATCATCGACTCACTGTCCGATGCGGAATGGGACGTACTATTAGAACAAAAACATGCCGTATTCGCCAGAACGTCCCCGCAGCAAAAGAAAAAGATTGTTGAAGGTACCTTAACCCCGAAGGTACTTTAACAAATTGTATTTACATTTTCAGAAGCCCTAGCCCGCGGGGAGTCCGTCTGTGCCACCGGGGATGGCATTTTGGACGCTCCTGCTTTGCGGGCAGCGAATGTTGGGGTGGCTATCAATTCATCTGGTATTTCTGGAGTAATAAAAAGTATATAAATCTCCAGGTGGTGCCTTCGCGAAAGAAACGGCCGACGTGCTCGTGCCGGATGGAAATTTGGGGAATATTCTGACGGGCATTGAGCAAGGGCGATTGTTATATGAGAATTTGAAGGTAGGGCTTTTATAATTAGCTTAATTTAAAACTAACTAAAATCGATAAATATTTAAGTCCTAAACTAAAAATTTAGAAAACGATCGCATATACACTTGCCCACCTTCTCCCCGAGCTGGTCCCCGTTTTTATGACTTTTGTATTTGGCTGGCCGCTAGCGCTTGGCACCATGCAGGTTTGTACCTAATTTTTTTTGCCCTAAAAATAGTATAATTTCTATATGATCCAAAAACAACTCTAGGTATTAACCATTGATCTCCTCACCGAGCTACCTCCATCGATCTCGCTCATCTATGAGTGCGCGGAACGTGATCTCATGCGAAAGCTTCCACGACGAGTAGGAAAACTTTTTTATAATCTCTAGATACCTTTTAGCTTCACCACCACCTTGTTTCCCGTTCTCTTCTTTTCTATGCTTACATTATTATGGGCTCTTTGCTAACTACTGGCTGCTATGCAGCTTATATCTTTGTTTTTTGGTACGAAAAGTTTAATATTACAGCATCTATTTATTTTCAGGCATCACGGTATCGCGCCTTGGGAGCTGGGAGGTACCGTGCATAAGCATTGGTTTGCTGGCGGGGAGAAAATTATGACTGAATGTAAGTCGAGCCACTTTCCTTGATATCTAAAATACAGCCGGTCTACTCTTTGATGGTGTCAATCAAGAAAAAATTGCGCACCAAGCCGCTGCAGCCTATCAAATAACGTTAGTCGGGGCTCAGGTATTGAAATTTGATTGAGAAAAACAAGAATTTCCTGTGTTTTAGTTGATCCACCTTCTAAATTGCCGAACTCGTCGGCTGTCGATCTTCAAGCATTCCCCGCCACGAGTTCAAACCCTATTTGCTGTGTTAATTTCATTGATTATGGTTGTTGCGTGTGTTTATATTCCAGGTATACAGTTTAACTAGTTTTATATAGATTTAAATAGCTCTAGCAGGGCTCAAATTCAAATTCAAATTCAGGAATCAACCAAATCGTCGGTGTCGCCCCTCCGCCGGTGATCGTTTGGGTGTTCCCGTTTGCAATTGGGGTTTTGATTACCGTATTTAATGAGGCAAGCTTAATAGTTATATATAGTTTTAATTTGTGGTTTGTAGCAGATTGCAAAAACGCCGATTTAGATCCGAAAATACTACATTCGCCATAGTCCTGCAAACCCGATTGTCCGCTTCTTCAAGTGGTAGCCGCCAGCTTTATTCGCCAAGCACTCATATCGAATTTATTTGAGGTTTTGATAAATAAATATATTAGAAGAATGTTACCAGAATTGCACTCAATAGGCAAAAAACAGAGACAAGTTTTGGCGCTGGAGAAGTTGTGGGTTCTAGAAAAGCCGTAGTAACAGTAGGATCGTCTTTCTTTCCAGTAGTCGGGGATGGAGCGACAGTCGCACGACTTGTCTTAGCATCTGAAGAAGTGGTAATTGTTGTAGATCCCGTTGTAGGAGTTGTATCAGCGTGTGGAACCGGTGACGTGGTAGCATTTCCGATTTTTTGGGTAGTCGTGGTTGTCGTCGTGGTTGTTGTCGTAGCTAAAAAAACTAGACGCAAAATTGAAAATCCCACTGGTGGTGGTGGTCGTTGTGGTGCTGGTGGTTGTCGTCACAATCTCATCCGGGATCCAATAATAGATGGCGAATCCCTGCTGGGTGGCGTTTGCATCATTTGCATTCGGGGTCCATTGGAACTGTACGCGGAAATTGGAAAAAAACGAATCGTATTATACGCTGAATTGCTGGCCATGAGTTCGGAAAACACGTTCGAGCGGTTGGTCGATTCTGGAAATGTTCGCGGGGTTTTCAAGGCAGGAAGAAAATTTCGAGCGTCAAAAATGTTTACTTGTATTCCCAAATTTGGTTCGACTCCGCATCAGAGGTCGTCAGTGTCAAGGATTCATTAATTGACGGATTTGCCTTCACCTTGAGATAAATTGTTTGATTAGGAAGGTTAGCTAAATCAGTTTATTTTTGCAAAATTAAATATTTAGATTTTTACCGGAACCGGTCAGCGTCCCTTGCAAAAACTCATGGTAAAAACCAGCATCTTCAAACGGTTCCGCCCAATCGTAGCTTACAAAATATCCGCTCGACCCGCTACGATACTCACCACTTTCAAGCGTTCCTAAAGTTTACTACCTCAATTTTTTACATTACTTACTTGCGATCGGTGCCTGGTATATGAAGCTTGCTTGGCAATTATCTGGAATCCAAACAGAGACAACCTGATTTTTCAGGATGCTCGTTTGGAAATACGTTGAACCACTAAACTCAATTAATTAATTTTTCCTTTTTTTCCTAGAACCCACTCGTATTTAAACAACAGCGTATCTGAATCGCTTCCCTTGCTCGAAACGTTTGATGGCAAACTTCCGGCAAAAAAGTGCAGTGGGCAATCGGGGGTTGTCTAAAAACTCCATTTCTAGTCCTTGCTTATTGATTCGCTGATCGGATTACTAAGACGGCACACACATGGACTTTGAAAATTTGGAATATGAGCTTGGAGTCGATAAGACAAGGGTGGTTTTTGAAAATCAAAAATTCAAGAAGAACTTGCCTTTAGTTGAGAGATTTCCAGGTAGGGGTGATCGGTTTTGCCCATTACTAAGGTGATCGCCGAGGTTTTGTGGTCGAGGGTGACATCGGTGTAGTCTTCGACAGCACCGACGAGGGCCAGATTCGAAGCTGTAACAGTAGGGGGTTGAAATCTGGGCTTTGGAACAGTTTCTACCTGGTTGTTCGCCATCAACAATTCGAAAAGCAATTACAAAGTGCGGATCAGAGGTATCGACGCTTCTGAATATAACCGTAGCAGGTAGCGTGTACGTCGGACTTCCCACATGATCGTATCTAGATTTGGTAAGGTATTAGAAAACACTTTACTTTGTAGTGCCGGCGCTTGAAACGATACTAAAATCAGTATCATTGGGAAACCGGATTAGTGTTTCAATTCGTACACTACATGGCTCCCTATCGCAGTGGATTTGTAGTTGCACCTTCATGGATTTTTAAATTAAGATTAGATTCTTTAAGCTCCAACCTTCTGCAGCAACTCGCCACCATAAATTACAAAAGAATCATGCTGCTGGTCCAATGTAACTTTTCTACTCCTGACGCCTAAAAAATTGGATCCCTTCGATCAGCCGACTAACCTAGAAAACAAAGACTCAACACCACGTACGGTAGCCACGTCATCAGGTGTGGCTTGGAATTGGAAACCACGGAAAGTGAGAAACTCCTGCTCCGCGCTTGTGGCAAGGTGTGAATCGTTGAGAGTCTTAGGGTGTACGCGATAACGGAATTATTTCAGGCTAATGAAGCAGGCTGCGAGGCGATTGTTCTTCTGGGCGTAAATCGGATTAGGGGTGACAAGTTTGCAGGGATTTCCGGGAATGTGAGAGTCAGAAAAAAAACCTTTTTAAAATAAAAATAACATACGATGAAGCACATACGATGAAGCCAGTAAATGTTTATGCATGCCTCGTTAGGCTTAATCGTTGAGGCTGTGTTTAGGCAGATTTTTGACATTTTTTTAAAGTCTTGACTACTTTTTATTTTTAAGCAATAGCCAAAGTAGAAGCGGGCTGCAGATCTGAATTTTCTGGGTGGTCCCGAGACCACCCTGACTTTCAACATGGTGGTCTGCGGGAAGGGCCGGGAAAGCGCTCCAACGGTCCCAGCTTGACCCACAACAGAGCCCAGAACTCACAAAAAAACAGTATAAAAATTGGCTAAAATGACGTTGTGAGAATTTTGTGATTAAAAAACGTTTTAAGGAACATACAGGATAGACTTAAATTTAATTTTGATCTTTAAAGCTTATGAAGCCTTGAATTTTTCGATGGGTACTGTAGCTTTTGAGGGTAGCAAAGTTGGCAATATAATCTGTAATAAATAAATAATTTTGGGCAATAGGTTTTTTTTCTTGATACATTATCGACTGTGCCTCTTTATTTGCATCCATCTAGCTTTAGATACTCGACAATTACAATAAAATTACAGTTTTAACCCCATTTTTACGTCCTGTTCCGGTGACGAAATTCTGAAACATGCCGCCGATGAAGGGATGTACGTGTGTGCTTTGACATCTCCGAGAAGAGAAGCCGAAGCCAATGCTGAGTTGGTGCGCTGGGTCAAAATAGGGGGTGGGGGAACATGACTTCCGGAAGGTGCCCAGCACACTCCCAAGCTCCCGACCCCCCTTTGCTAGCCTCCCCCCAACACACACCAACTACTCCAGACTACTATTTTGAAGTATGCCCAGACAACTATCGCAATTTTTGGGTGATATGGGCGTTCTGATTGTTAAGGAGAAGGTTAACAAATTGTAAGGGCTTTGGAAAAAAACGCTATTATGGTAGCGGGTTATCTTGCCCCTATTTATTTCCTGTTTTGCATTTTTAGGTGTTGTGAAACCTTTATTTTCTTATTTTTTGATTTTATATTTATCAGGGATATAATAACAATCTTTGTACGTTTTTGAGGGCGACTACCTGGCCGGCAAGTGAAATATGCTTTTTTGAAGGCGCTCAAAACACCTACCGTACCCCTATCTCCTACCACCTCATTTAACCTCTTAACTCCCGTGATTTTTATCACCTTTAAAATGAAATCTTTTGCCTCCTGTGTTTTTGCGATTTTTAGAGCAGAGCCTACTAGGGGGGAGGGCCCACTTTGCAGGGAAATCTTACGAGCTACCGTAACCCCCTTTCCTTCCGCCTTAACTTAGCCGCGATTTTACCTGATTTTTACGCTAGTTTTAATTATTTTGGGACTAAGATCTTCGAAGAATCGATATACCCACGCCGCTTTTGTAATTTTTTCGTCAAGTTTGGCAGGTTTCACGTTTCAAGGCGTAGATCTGGGACTCCAGGGTGTTTTTCTAACCCTCAGGAACGACAAGCCCAAAACTCTGCATTTCTCAATTCGTCGAAAGCTGGTTCTCACATTTCTGAGCTTAAATTCGTAAATCTCATCCCCCTTTACTTCTACAAAGTCCAGAAGTCACCTCCCTAACACTATGTGTGTTGCCACCCCCTTTCGACCCCTCACCCCAACAAATAGCTGTTTCATTGTCGGTTAGCCAAGTCCCCCACCCAGGTTCTTGGCATACTCCATCCTTCCCCCCTAAAAATATTCGCCTCACCTAGCTGGCCCTCCAGGTGGGCCTCCCCTCGCCAGCTATAGCCATTTTGAGGTGGTGGAGGGCAATTGCAAAGTGTGTGTGTGTGTGGCTGTGGCCCATGTGCCTCCGTTACTTTTCCGGTCTCCCACCCCCAGGCAGGGCTCCACCTCACCTCCAACCTCGACACATTCCCAAAGTGTACAAATGTGTAAGAATTCGGGGAAAACGAGGAGGATTTAGAGATTTAGGGGAGGAGGAGGAGAATTGACGAGGAGGGTCGGAGAACACCCATGTAAGGGCACTTAGACTCTTGTGGGGTGGAGGTGGTCAAAAATGGCTGTTAGGTAGGGCGGCGACAACTGCTACGTGTTGTCGCTATAGTGCTGGTGGTTATTTTACGTTCCTTGTCCTTAAGGTAAATAGGTTTATTAAAGGGGGTGCCAGGTGGGTTAGATCGTTAAGGGTCTACACCACCTCCTCGAGAGGGCCAGCTTCCTGGCGTCCCTTTAAAAGTTTTTTCTGGCATAACCCTTCGGCTGCTACCACTTCGTGTTTATATTTTCTTCCTGTCACCTTGCCTTTAAACCTCACGCCAAATCAAGCGATTTTTGACAACTTCCAAATGACAAAATTTGCTGCCCGATCTACGCATTAATCGAAACCGTACTACGGAAAACTGTGGACCAATAATCCTCTCATAACTCGAAGCCCTTTCCCTTCACTTCAAAGCTGTTGCTTAGAATCCACGTCCCCGTACACACAACAAAGCCGTCGTCTCGAAATCGGAGCTTCCGGAACGCTGCCCAAAGGCCCGTGAAACCGGACTAAACGCGCACACCTCAAAACCCTAAAAAAACGCCCTCAGTACACTTATCCATTAATCCCTTGCTGACTCATACTATTTTCAGGACGCCTAAATATTAAGATGTTTTACCAATGTTTATTACAGGTCCCTCATCTCCTTCCCATTATGCGCCGACGAGCACTAGATGATCGGTTGCCACAGAGATGACCAGATTTCTTCTATTATTTTTGTTCTTGTTGCTGCATTACGTGAATGGGCAGTATTTAAGTATCAGATGTAGGTTTTAGGGGTTAAACTTATACATTTGTTTAGCCCTCGGCTTCCGGATACCCGGTCTCTGCCCTCCCGGTTGTTTCGATTGTGGTTTTGGGCGACGCTGCGTGCCAATTACCTCATTTCACGATGGCCGTCCCGACTGTCCAGATGCAAGCGACGAATGTAAGTTTTAAAAGCCATAAAAACCTTCTTCATAAATTTATGAACTTTATAAATCAAAAAGGCATAAAATCTTTTTAGGGTGCCTGCCCGGTTTCATCAAATGCGGTGCCTACTGTGTCGAGCCGAAATATCTGGGCGCGTGCTTGTTCAACCCGAGATGCGATGGTCGACCCAACCAACCAGGATTTTGCCGTCAGACAAGTATGATTTACTAAAAAATCGATAAAATTTTCCATTTTTTCTAGAAGAAAAATTGTGCCGAGAGAAGAGCACATTTCCATGTAAAGGCTATGGAGAATGCGTGCTATGGTCATGGGTCCGAGACGGGCAGTCGCAATGCCTTGACGGGTCTGATGAAAACGGTAGATTATGCAATAGCTTACCAAAATTTTCTTTAGATATTGACTACATTAATGTATTGGAACGAGGGTGGAAGGCTCATCTCGACAAATTACATCGTGGTTTCGGAAATTCTAGTGCTCCGCCTGGTTCCCAAATCCCCGGTCAATATTCCAAATTCCCGGTGCCACCTGGCAACGAGTTGGAGCCGTTCAGCAATATTCCTACTAGACCTTCTAACAATTCCGGGTTTCCGGAAGGGACTGCAACACTACCGAATGGTTCGGATGCTGTAAGAATCAATGTATATCCTGCCAAGAATGATTCTGGTTCTCCCGGCTTTTCCGGGCCTTCTGGACCTACCAATCCTAACAACCCGCTCCAGCCCAATATTCCACAAACTCCAGAATCACCTGTTAATTTTATACCCGGCTCCTGGCGACCGAACAATAATATTCCAACAAATCCATCCGGAATTCCCGGTCAACCCATCGGCGCTGGAGTCCCTGGAGGTGTCATCCACCCAACCCTGATCCCATTTGATATCACTCCCCCTCCCCTCAATCAACCTGGCGGCTATCAGGGCCCTAATATTTTCCCGCCTCCGATTATTCCGCTACCGATTGGCGGCGATAATCGTGGTGGAGGGAGTGGTGGTTGGAATAAGGGCCCTTGGACATGGCCACCGCCATATGGAACAACACCGGAAATGCTGACGGAGGGTGGGTGTTTTGTCTAGAGGTGGAAGAGATATTGCTAGGGTTTAAAATGCGATTTGCATCTGGGGAATCTCTTCGAATCTGATTGGATACACGAAAATTTGGAATTTAAAAATCAGGATTTTCAAAATTTCTATTTTTCATAAACCTGAATTTTTGATCGATTTGTAAAGTTCCGCTTACAAAGCTGTTCAAGTTGGTTTAGTGTATGGAAATTTTGATACTCTAAAAATTCCCGATTTTGAAATCCGAATTCTAATTCGATAGTTTTAATTTTGATATGATGAAAGCAACCCTCTACAAACTTATACAAAAAAAAAATCATAGTTTTAGCAACAACGACCACGACAAACACCCCACCTACAACAACCCCACCAGCCACTAGCCGTACCACTCATCATGGCCGAATCCTAACAACATCCCCTAAAATGACAACGACAGTCCCCACCACCACGACAGAAGATTCAGGGGAATCTGTGCCTTCCCTATTTGGAACCGGAACCGAAGGATCTGAATTTGGCGTCACAAGCACTGGAGCTACAGCTTCTACCTCCCGAGAATCAGTATCAACCTCGAGTAGTACACCCTTAAATGCCACCGCCACCTCTCCGCCGACATCTTCTCATGCTCCTGTCGATGATTCTCAAAAAGACCCCGCCATCCTCCAGTGTGAAAAGTCCCTCCGAGAAGCGATCAGCCAAAAAATCGGACAATCCGACGCTGGGTGCAAATGTACGGCTGGCGAGATGCCGGATTTGAAAGGGAAATGTAGAGGTAAGTGGATAACTTCAAGTTAAAAGCCAAAAATTTAGCCGTCAACGTCTCCATCGTCTCTACCCCAGATCCAGATCCGCCCTGTGGCTCTGACAAATGGGATGGCTTTAGTGAGAATGACAAGAGAAATTTCCTAGGGCTAAAGGTGATTGAAAAACCCTCCACATAAAAATATATTTTTAGTTGAGTTCACTTGGCAACTTTCCAAAATGTGTTGCGGCTTTGGAGAATGGGAAGGTTTTGATACGGATGGCGTGTGGAAATGCTCCTTGTGATTTGAATATTTTGGTAATTTAACTACTTGACTAAAAATATTTTTCAGAACGATCGCCTTGTGAAAAATGCTAATGCTTCTATTCTTGGAATCCCAGCTTTGGATGCAGCTTTTACAAAATCTAGATTGTCTTTTGAAGGTGAGTTTTCAAAGCGCAATGAAATTAGCATATTTAAGAGGCGAAACAATGCGAGGATGAGAAATTAAATGATTGTCACGAAAATGCAAAGTGTTTAGCGAACGGGTTATCTTATAGGTTGGTTATTTAACCAAAATTGAAATTAGTAAATTTCAGTTGTACGTGTAAAGACGGGACAAACGATACCATGCCGGAACGACCGGGACGGTTTTGCTTTGGGATTCCGGATGAGGATAAGTAAGGATACCTTTAAATAATAGATTTAATTTTTTTCAGCTGTGTTTTATTATTTGACGTGTGCTTGATCTTCTGGATATTCTGCCTAATCGGAGCGTTGTTTCTCATTCCGTTACTATACATGTGTTGCACCGGGATTGTTAAAAAATGGAAGAAGCGGAAACGGGGGAAGGTGTCGCCGAATGTTGCGTTTAATACGGTAAGCTTTCGCTAGAAAAACTAATACTTTTTTAGAAACCAACTGTGATCACCCTCGACAATTTTGAGCAAACAAACACGGCTAGGCTATTACGACAAGCTTTAGGTCCGAGAGCTTCAGGTATCGAAACTTTATACAAAATTTTGCAATCCTTCATTTAGGTGTAATCGCTAGTGGAAAAGCGCTTCAAAATATGCAACTAAAAGGGATTCTAAAACCCAGTGAGAATGGCTACTTCTTTGAGGATGACCACGAATTGGAGGCGATGACACAGCCAGCTACAGGTAGCATAATAAACGCTTAAATTATAATTATTTTGATTTCAGTAGCTTCTACAGCAATACCATCACCAGTTGATACCTCTCCTCATCCTACTGAACCTCCGACAGCCAGATCAGCCTCGGCCCCGCCGAATAAAGACCAAGTAAGCGTAGAAAAAAACTGGAAAGGCTTGGTTTAGCCCCTCGATGATGACCGGAAGTCTCTACATCAAAGCAGTTCCTCCCCAAGATTGGCCGAAATCGCAGGCAGCCCGCCGCTAATGGTAAAACTACAAAAACTATTCGATAATTTTTTTAGCGCTCTCACTCGGTTCAACCACGCGTCGGTTCCGCCCAAAGTGCCGGAGCTGTCGCAGCCGGTGCAGCAGCCGTGGTAGCAACAGCCCTCGGCAAATCTCAAGCCCAAACCGCTCCCGCTTCGCCGGTTTTTTCGATTCGGGTATGACTCAAAAGCTCATACAATGCTTATTAAGTCCCTCCAGGTGCCGGCCACCTCTAAAACGGCCCCTCCAACTCCGCAAGTGAAAGAAGAGCCGCCCTCCTTCGCACCCCTGGCCTTGTCGAATTCGTTGGCTGATCTGCAGACCCGGGAGTTGGTGGGGTTTTTATAAGCCCAGAAATTCATTTGAAACAATAAAATTTGTAGATCCAGTCCCCGGCACCCTCCGTCGTCTCAAAAGCCTCTCGACATGGGCAACCAACAATCTGGGAAACCTATCGAGTCCTCGGAGATCAGTATGCAAAACCAGAATCAGGTACGAATCAGTTAGGGATTAAAAAATGTATAACTTTTCATTTCCAGCCCGACCGGACTCGTCGGATTCGCTGGACAAACTTATAAAAGATCGATATCCAACCCCTCCTCAACCTGAAGTAGTACCACAAGGTTTGAAACCAGCTCAAAATCGAAATCTTGATTTAGCCGCGCCAATAGTCGAACCAATTGGAGCTCCATCTTCCCCCGCACCTCCTTTAATTAAAAAACAGCAAAGTCAAGCGGAAAAGCTAGCAGAAATGCTTGGGGTTGAAGTGAGCCCATCAACCGAAGAAACAACATCAAAAGAGGAAGGAGCTCCAGTGGAGCAAGTTGAGAGACCGGTATGAATTTCTCTAAAAAGCTATAAGATCTGCCCTAGACAAAACTACCCGAGCCTGAAGATGATGAAGCTGCATTGATTGAACTATCGGAGCATGGGGGAAAAATTTTGGTAGGAGGAGCCTGAGCGTCTCCTTAAATTCTTTTAGATTCCTCTCGAAAAATCAAAACATGAAGTAGTTGAAATGGAACAAACGAAAGAAGATTCGGACAAAGTAAGCTTGCAGATGACGTCACAATCCAATTTTTTAGTCTTCGATAAAATCGGATGCTTCATCAGAAGCTGCCAAGAAAGGGCCAACGTTCACGAAGAAGCGGGTAGATGAACTGAAAAAAGAGCGCACAAAGTTGCCTGTCAAAAAGGATTTGTTTATACCGAAGGGACTTCCGCAACGAAGGGTAAATTGAAAAAATTTTTGTAGCCGACTGGCTTGTAGTTTGATACCTCCCGCTCAAGGCTGCCACAACCATCTGTTTCTATTTATCAGAGAAGGCCATTATTGAGAGAGTCGAGTACTGATGAGGGAAGTGATATGGAGGTATGAAAATAACAAAAAAAATTGTGTATAAAATTCTAGGTGGCGATAAAACAATTTGAGGATGCTGTGCAAACTGGAGGTAGGCTAGAAGCTTAAAATTAAATCCCAAAACTTCTAGGTTTTGGCTATCAAAGTCGAAGACGTGCGCATCGAAGATCACCCGAACGTCAATTATCGTCAATTTCCGAGAAAAGCGGAGAGATTGCGGATGCGGTAATTTATTTTCACCTTTCAAAAATCTTTGGAATTCAGGCACTAGAGACCCCAATGGACTATACTCTATCCGCCCCAACCACAACACGAGACAGCTTCTACCTCCAAGCCCCTGCCTATCGACGAAGTCCATTGGCAAGGGTATGAAAATAGATCCTATAAGACCAAAGACAATTCCATTCAGCGAGCACACCTCCTCGCATCTGAAGGTCCGTCATCAGACCCTGATATCCCACCGGAAATGACGCCAACAAGTACAAGATCTAGGAGAAGCAGTGGGTCGACGATACGCCCATTTTAAATAATTTTCAGGATCTCCGCATCGCTCACCTGAACGAGTGGAGCCCAGAAGAGATCTGAGAATCGAGAGAGCTAGGGTGAAACCGATAAAAATGCCGCCAAGACCGGAAATCGGTAAGGGTAGAGCTAGATTTTGAAAGAAAAGTGCTTTAGCTCCTCCGTCTCAGCCTCGGGAGACATCGGCGCTTGGCTTTTTGCCAGCGGCTGATGAGGGGCGGTCTGAAGTTAGGGCGAGACATGAGAGCAGAGGGTAGGAGCTAAATAAAAAATAAATTTTCGAATTTAGACTTAGTCAACCCTCTACCAGCAGCGGACCTTTGCATGGAATATTGGTGAAGCGAGAGGCAAGCATTAAGGGACTTTAAAAATAAGTAAATTTTTCAGCGCCGACCCCGAGGTGTTGTCAGCGCCAGAGAATGCGGAGCGGCTTGTAGATGGTGTCAGCACGATGAGAATAGTGACTCCAGCGCTTATTACATGCCTGGGATACGGTATTTATCAATAGATAAAATCGCTGATTTGACTTATTTCTAGCTCCAGAAAAGATCCTGGCTTTTACTCTGCTAGAGCACGATCTGGGTCGCCAGGACAAGCAAAGACCGCTCATTCTACCAGGTAAATTTATAATTTAAGTTTATCAGAAATAATAAACTTAAATTTATTATAGGGAAACGTTTATAATCTGATTTTTTAGCAGTCTACGCGGCTCCCATACGGATCTCTCCCCATATTTCAGCCCGGTGCGTGACTCGAGAAAACCACATAAAGAGGGTCTTTGGTGGGGCCATCCGCATGCATAATTTACATATATTTTATTTATTTCAAATTTCCATTGTTTTTGCTTAGTTTTACAATACATCATTACATTAGCTCAATAATACTCTTTCACCCCAAACGTCTTTCTAAATATTTGTCTTTCATAATTTTTCTGCCATCAATGAGCGTTTTATAAATTTTTGATTATACCAATGTTTTTCTAGCCCTCTGTGCCTAGTTAGCAACGTTTCTTTGCCATATGGGTACCATCCGAATCTCAAAAACTTGTATTTCTGTCTTATTTTCTTTTCCCTTCCCCAGACACACACATCCCCTCGTCATTGTTGTTGCACGGCTTCCGTTTACCCAATAAACATTATGCCCTAAATTTGTATATGCAAATGACGCACGCATGGCTCGACTACGCGCACATTCTTTGTCAGAATCGTCAGATTCGTCCAAATGGCATCGCCAAAAAAGGTGTCCATGGCCGATTTATTGCCGCCACCAAAAAAGGCCCCTAGTAGAAGAGTTAGTAATTGCATTATTCGAGTTGGTGAGTATTTATGCAAATTTTGGCTCGACAATTCTGTCATTTCAGCTACTCCAATACTGGTATTATTTGGCTATTTGGCATTCTTTGTCTTGCTAATACGCCCGGATTTTAAGTTTGGAAATGAGGAGTCAGCCAATCTTACTACGGAAGTGCCGCTCGAAATAAATGATACGGTAATATTTTAAGCTATAAAAATGGATAATTAGATTCCAACGGACCCAACAACCAAAAATTTGCCGCAAAACAAATGTGTCCATCCTGCTATTAGTGTGTTCCGGAAAATGTTTATACCCGATGTCCCAAAAGAGGTATTTTAGCTAATTTTCGAAGTATATAAAACCTATATATAATTTTAGCAATCCACCTGTGCCCCAACTATCCTACCCCCTAGCTGTGCCACACCATATTGCGTTTACGACAACGATGACTACGAAGAGAATTTATTTTTTGGAGGATAAATGTCATAGCCTTCTTTTTTTTACAACGTCTTCTTCTTCTTACATCTTAAGCAACAGAATATCTTCCTCCCCGTTTGCCGCCAACACCAGTGGTGATTGCGCTACTAATCACAGGAATTTAAATTTTGAATAAAAATTATTTACCGATTTATGAGATCCGATATAGGCTGGGCTTCATGCTCGTCCTCGCTTCCTTTACCCGGGAATTTACGCATGTAGGTATAGCATAGACGGGCTGCCATGATAAGCACAAAAATCGAGCCCGCTGCGACGGCCGCTACGATCCAGGATTCACTAAATTTTAAGGTAGCAGAGTATGAAAGTTAATGCTTACGTGGCAGTCGGATCATCAAGAATCGCATCCGGTTTTGTGTAGTTTGTAGCTAGGAAAGAGCTGGAGGAAGGGATATTATCAGAGTTGAGTGACATATCTGGAATAAAAATATATTTTGAGGAACTGAGTACTGTAGAATCGAAAAATTGGAAAGAGCGTTCAGACGAGTGGGGGGCTTCGCTTAAAACGTCCAATATTTCAAGGCTGAGTAAAAACTATTCAGGAGAAAATCGATGTAATAAAAATGTATTTGAAAATTGGATACGGTAAGATTCGAAATAAGGAGAGAGCGCTCCCAGAGCTCAAGCTCCCAAATGCCCAAGATTTCAACCCCTGCAAAAACGATTCCCGAGAAAATTGCAGTCATTCGGATGAGATGGTCTTAAAAGATTGAGGGGTGCAGAGGGATATTTCTCAGGGCCTTTCAGGGTTTAATCGTGAGATGTGATCGGCAGGGGTGCGTGTGCTTGGCCTTCTATGGCCCTCCTTGGCCGCCCTATCGCAATGCAATTTCCCCGAAAGGGCCCTTCAACAAATATCATTTAGCAGATCCACACGCACTTGAACACACCCACATACAACACTCGGGTGACCGAACGGGGGAACGGCTCTTGGAAATTGCGGTAAACTTAAACAAAGGGTGAGTGGGATGGGACGGCTGCAAAAGATAAAAAGCGAGGTCAGAGATGGTCTCGGATTGAATCAATTTCCGGTTTAAAACACTGCGGAATCTGGAACGGCTCAGAAAATTGCGTTAAAGTTATACACAAACAAAGTGGAATTAAATTACTTCAAAGATGGAAAATATCGCTTAAAAATTGGAGCATCGAGTCTCTGCAGAAAGTACTGATGCGCTGGAGTTCTAGACGCTAAACCACAGCAATTATCTAGCCACACGCACCTATTTGCGTTTGCAGACCTCTATTTTCTACGTAAGGAATCCCCCTAAATCCTCAAAGCCCACCCCCTCCACTCTCTCGCACCCACAACAAATTCACATCCCTGAAAAAAATTGAGTTAACATTTGTGGCGCCTTGAAAACAAAGTGAGGAATAAAAAAATTTGGGCGTGGCTGATGGCTGCCTAGCTTGGCTATGCCTTACATAAGGATAAAAAGCAAAAGAAAAAGGGGTAAGGTGATGGGGCGATTCACGGAAACGTTGCCTCGCTAATGCGGCCAATTTATAAGACTTGGACTCATCGAGATGAAACTAGAGATATACCGAGAAGCGAAGAAGCCTCTGAGGGCATGTGAGGGCCAAGGATTTTGTGGTTGGTTAGGGAATTATGTTTACCATATGAACGGAAAATAGAGGGCCTCGTGGGGCCCAAGTGCCACCAGGTAATACTCGTGGGAAGAGGCAGGGTTCCGAGTCGGTTTTCCTAGGGGAGAACCGCTAAAGAGAAGGAAAGATGAAAAATGAAGCAAAAAAGTGTTGAGTTTAAAAACTAGAACTCACAAATATACACAAGAATGCAAAAATACGTTGATTTCTGGCGAAGTCAGCCTCGGAAGGCACGAGCGATCAGGGGGCTTGCCGGTGCCTAGGTCAAATTTCAAAAAAATCGTAAAAACCACAAACGCGATTTTGCAGCTATGCCATGTAGCACATCGGAATCAGCGTTTTAAACTGGTTAGAACGAGTCCGGGGCGAAATTCTGACGAGGCGAATTTTTGAAAAAAATCGACGTGGTTCCTCTGCTCCAGAACGGCAAAAAGTGATCACTTCGAAAAATTTTAGCAATTAAAGTTTCGGCCAAGTTTCGTAGCAAAACCTTTTGATGCTCTTTCAGATGCAAAGGTCAAAACGATTTGGCAAGGTGGATTTCTCGCGAAATCAGCCTTGGAAGGCGCGACCGATTAGCCTCAAATAGGAATACGAAATTTAAGGCTTTCCCGCCCTAAGCCCTGTAAACCGTTGCGATGGCACGTGCTGCCGTAATATATCTTTCTTTTTCTTTCATTTTCCTCAACCTTTTTTACCCGAGCCTCGATCTAATCAACTGAAGAGGAAATGAGGGGGGTCTTATGGCTTGGGGCAGACCTTATGGTTACCTCCTTCTCGGGCCGATCCTCTAGATGGTCAAGGCCACGTCCCATACTTGTCATATGCTCCACCTCTCGACGCAACCCTAAAGGCTACTCTCGACTTTCTCCCCTAATCCACCCTCAAAGCTTCCTGTTTTTTGAGGAAATTTTGCTTGATTTTGCTAGAAAGTCGCTATGAATATTTATACAATATTAAGTTTTATGCTGATTACGGTAGGTTTTGCTACCGTAACCCTGGACTTTGTTTTTAGGCAATAGCAAAAGCTGGCAGGCTGGATAATGAAATAATGGGTAGGTAAATCTAAAAAAAAATAGCGATACGAAGCTATATAACCGAATTTCAAACTTTTAAATTTAGTTTTGATTCTAAATTTTGTGAATGCTGTTTATCGAAGTTTTGATAAAAGTTGGGGTACTGTAGCTTATATTACATTTTTTTGCATAGTGTTTTTATATTTTTTAGATGCCCCATTACTCACCTGCGGCCCAGATGAATTAATCCTCGCGGCCAATTCAAAGGCCCCGTTTGAAGGCCAAGTTTTTGTACGTGGACATCACAGGTATCGAAAAAGCAAAACTTTCATAATTTTGTGACTTTTTAGAAAACCCGATTGTGCCCATATTTTTTCCAATTCCGAAAACACCACAACAGAACCAAGCCTAGCCATCCCTCTATCCCGAATTTCCTCCTGTGGCCTGGACTTTGAGCGGAATGTCAGTTTGTTTGAAGGCACCGGCTGCTGACCCAGTTGTGTTTTGTAGAGCGAGACGAAGAGTGTCACCCTGCGTGCAACAATTGTCTTCGCTTTCCATCCCATGTTCGTGACGGCGGCTGACCGGTAAGGAGGGTGTCATTTGGAAAAAAATGGGTTTAGAATTTTCTCGGTTGTGTGCGCTTTCCAACAACGAGATTTTACCGTTCAGGCCCAGTTGGATAGTGTCAAGTTAGTTAAAAATTACTATATCAATTAATTATGTAAATTTAGCGATTTTTCGAGTACAATCGTTGTTGGAGCAACAGCACTACCACCTTCGGTATGTATTTGGTCTTGGGGGTTAGCGGAATCTGAGATTTTAGCTAGTTGTACTCCAGAAAATTAATGAATTTCTGCCGCCTTGACACCTTTTAAGGTATCTAAAATATCCGGTATGACCGGATTAATAAGAGCAGGATGCGGCTGTAGATGAGGGCATATGATTAGGCCATGACCTTTCCAGATCCACCTATCGATCAGCGGCCAGGCCTTGTCGGTCGGCGATCCTCTCCTCTTCACATGGGCCCTGGAAGAGCATTACCGTAAGCCTAGTCCCGAAATTGTCAAAAATATATGTAGTTAATAAACTATATAATAAGTGTATTTAAGAAGTCTACGGTATGCGAGTGATTTCATGTGATGCGACAACTAGTGACGGCCTAAAATCCTCAAGGCTCCTTGAAGCAGGCTGTAGTCTGGATGAGACTTTGATTGGCCAGATTAGGTACAAATTAATTTTATTATAGCTGTAATAAAGTTTCAAAGTGCGAAAATTACGCTTGAAAGTTTTATTTTTGATTTAGATATTCCGAAGATGATTCCCAAGCTTTTGCCGACGGGCTAGCATTCAAATTTGCGGATGAAGACGAAGTCTGGATCAAATGTCAAGTTCAACTCTGCATTCACCAGTAAATTTCACCTCTAAAATGCTAATAATTTTTAAGGTTTGAGCATTTACTTCTGGGAGCTACGGATAACGCAAATATTTGCCAGGAGCCAGTGGTATGCTAAAAATTATTTTTACCAGTATTTTGATTTTTAAGGACTGTAAAAAGCGGACAAAGCGCTCTACTGAAGACGATATACCTATCGACGAAGATAGTTTAATAACCGTCAGCCAAAAATTCATGATTGGTGATCCGAAGGTGCTACCAGCTCAAGGTAACGTTTAAAAGGCTTAAAAGCCCATATCCAACTATTCAGCCCTTGGACCTACCCCAAAGAAAAGCTATTGCCTCGGGCCGACAGCTCTACTCATCTCATCATCATTAATATTTCTAGTAGCCATTGCATTGGTGTATATCTCATCATCTACCGTCATTCGCTCGCTCAGACAAAAGTCATATGATTTTAACTGTTAATCTTAAATTATTTGACACAATTTAACGGGTAATTTTTACAACATGATCCCTCCCTTCCCCTCAAAACCCGTAAACGGGTGTCGCGGGTTGTTCCTATTGCCCCCATACTTTTGTGTGACCTTGTCAAGGATTTTCGAATAAATATCAATAGCATGCCATCAATAGCCGACCACCCACATGTCACTAGTACGTTTTTCAAAGGTAGTTCTTTCGAGCCGCTTACACTGTTGCAGAGTGCTCGACAACTATGACAACATATATAAAGTTTTGGCCCTGTACTTTTATCGTTTCTTCCAGATTTTCCGTGTTTTTCGGGTTTCATTTTTGCGCTGCGATTCCCGTTGTGTAAACAGTAGTCGGATGTCTATCCTAAGCCCCCCAGGCACGAGGCCAGAAATGAAGACGTCTGGGAGGCAATTTCGTGGCAATGGATAGACCATTTGGCCGGATTTCTGGAATCCATTTATATCGTTTGAATTGGTAATACAATTTCGAAGATAGATGATGCAGAAATTATATTGGGGATTGGATAGATGGGGGGTGATTTGTAATTTTGTGAAATACGGGGGTCAGGGTAGGGCGAGATTCATTTCCCTGTTTCGCTGGTTATCCGGATTTCCGGTGCAAAAAAATCGCAGATCAAACTAAAGGAAAATATCTCCTTATTCATTCAAGAATTCTGATTCTGTTTGTTTCGATGTCTTTCCCATCCAGGTGGCTTGGTAAGTACATTTTAACGATTTTTTTCCTATTTTTGAGCCAAAAATTAAGGAAGTAAAGCAGGTTTAACGTGCCGTAACTTTTTGGAACATCTGTTGTTCTTGTTAAGGTTTAACGACATCGTTAAACAGCACAAGTTGCAAGCGTTCGGAGTCTAGTGGCGTATTCCCCGCTTTCGTGTCCCTTTAAAGAAGTAACAGAGGTTAAATCTCACTTTCCAAAGATCCAGGATTCCCTACAATTCTACTAAAACCGTTTCTCGGTCATTTCCATTTTGATTCCCCCTCACACCCGTTGCGAGAAGTGTTGCGGAATGAGCTGGAATTGGGAGAGGGAGGATAGGGCCTGCAACGTGTTGGCTTTCCGGGGCTGGGATCCGGCAGAGTATCGTGGGATCCCCCGAAGCAACATCCAGCCATCTGGAGGCCAAACCTTAAGGGGGGAACGATGGGCTGGTAGAAGAAGCGGGACGTCATCATTGGCCCTTCATTCCACCCCACCCATCCTCCCCCACTCAAAATTAACCATTTGACGGGGTGACCCCCGTGATCTCAGCTTTTCCCTCGTCGCCTGACTTCCGGCTATCCTTTAAGGTGTCTGGATTCGCTTGAATATTTTAGTGTTGGGTTCCGAAAATAGTTTGGTTAGAATCTTAAAAGCTAAATACTTCTAGTTCTGAATTTTTTCCGGATAATTTAAATACTTAAGGAATAAGAGTTAGAGCGACTTGAGATCTAGAAATCTTTAAACAACAAGAGAGTTCGGGGTTTAAATTTTTATTTGATGTGTTAATGGATTGTTTGTTCGTTTGATTTCAGCTGTCTATACGTAAAAAATACACGAATCTCAAATCTGGCCAATCTTTCTTTCAATTAGTTTTTCCAGAGTTTTTAGAAGCTATGGTTCGGTTTAACAAGTACACTCCATTCTCCTTAATCCCATCAAAAAACCAGGCATCAGAACTTTGAAATTCAGGACCTAAAACTCGGATTACAGTCCCTTGAATAGAATGTTGCGCATTTTATAATTTGCTTACACTCACTCCTCCTCCCTGCTACTATCTTTGATATGATTTACTCGTGCAGAAAGCTCGTGCTCGAAGATTCGATCTCTCTTCCTCCACCCTCCTCTACTAATCCAATCCAATCCCACCAAACCAACCGGACCCCAAAGAGCGGCCCACGTCCCAATTTTCACCCTTGGCCTCCAAAAAGGCCAAGTGCCCTCCGTTTTGCCCTTGATACCCTCGCCAGTTTTTGGACCTTCATGAGTTTTCGTTTATTTCCCTCGACTCTTCATCCCCCCTCAAAATGAGGGAGAATGAGGCCCATTTTGGAGAAACACGTGACTTAATGAGAGCATGGTCAGTGCAACCTGGTCAACCCAATTTAATTGAAGGGAGAATGGCTTAAAAACGAGCAGTCACTCGAGCTGGAAAAAATTTCGGCCGACAGCAGCTGCTGCTGGAAATGGTTTTTATGGGTCTCGAAAAACTTGGGTGTGCTGTGATGCACCTAAAAACTCATTTTTGTACTTAATGAGAGTCGGGATTCCCGGAAAATGATTAAAATCCGGTCTAGACTTTTTAGTTTCCACGTAATAGGCTCAAGTTTGGCGCTATCAAATTGTGATGCTTATTCTAAGGGTTGGAATGCGGAGAGCGTTTTACCCGGGCGCGACCCCCACATAAGCTAGGCTTAAGATAATAATGCTTGTGTCGGAAGAAGAGGCAAAAGGTTGGCCAAGGCGGGTAACCGCTGATGAAAATTTGTGTTCAGGTGTTTTTTGATGGGTTCGCGATGACCTGAATTGGAAATGCTTGCAAATTAAGGTGTGTTCTGCGTCTTGGACCATATTTTTTTTGCAAAAGCACTTTTCCGAATTGAATTTTCCTAAACCCCAAAATTAACCCATCGCATCATCATCAATCCTTTAATTCCCTAAATCAACCCCCCGGGTACTACCCAATTTTCCGGTGCACTCCGGGCGATTACACGTGAAATTCGAGTCCAGTCCACCAGCACACACACGCCCCCCCCTCCCGTAAGGTCTCCAACGTCCGAAATGCTTCATGTTTCAAATTCACGCCTACCTTGGTTTCAGGAGGGCCCACCCCGCGAGGGCCAAGCCTAGAGAACGCTTCCTGCAAAATAAGGGCCACATCACCCGGTCGCCCGTTTTTTCGGGTCTGGGAAGGCCCAATTACCCCCTTTCTCGTCTAGCGCTTATTTTGAGGACGGGGTTAGAGTTCAGAGGTGGACGGGGTTAAACACTAAATTCACTAAATTCGGTGAGACATTGAGGCGACTGAGTCATTTTTGGAATTTTTAGGGGTGTTGGCGTTCTTTCTATTTGTGCGTAGAGTTGCTGTCGAAAGCTGGGGGAGGTCGTGTTTGTAGAGGAGTGGCGAGGGTGTAGAGGGTGGGATTTTGGAATCGGGAGTTTTTTCCCATCGAAATCACGAAAATCAGAAGCAAATTTTGAAACTTTTCAAGATTTCAAAAAGCTGGAAATTTCCAAAAATATAAATTTAAAGAGCTTTAGGCCCGCATCAAACCTATGCAAATTTTGGGATTTTTAAATCAGTTTTCCATTTTTTAAATCGAATTAAGTTACCGATTTTTGATAGCTTTGGTCGCAGTACCATTAAAATCGCCTTAATAGCGCAATCATAGCTTAAAAACAATTCCTAAACCTAATTTAATTGTTTAACACCCTCAGATCAAAGGCCACTTTTTCTAAAAATTCCCCCATTCCTAAATGTCCCCCCCCCCCTTGGTCTCCAAAACCCCCGTTTTTCAACGATCGTGTCGTCGCTACATCCGGCCCCTTTCCTCCCCTATAGCTAAAGCCATATTTTCCAGCCAATTGCCCCCCGGCACCTTTGATGAACCGAACACCTCGAACGCCCCCTTTGAATCCCTTTGGCCGTATGCAAAAATAACGAATACCAACCGTCTTATTGCCATTAAAACATCCCAATTTCCCCCTCATTTATTTATCGTGTAAGCGCCCCGCCCGACCAATTTCCTGCTGCCTTACCCCTGGTTATGGCCAAAATAGTGCCTCAATTTCAGGCACGAAAACATATTTGCTTTTGCATCGAATTTTGGAAAATAACCCATCAGATACCACGATTTTTCTGCTTATGGCTCAAAGGGCGGGAAAAGTGGTGAAAAATTCATGATTTGATGCTGCTCATTTTTTACGTCGCCTGGACCCTTTTGAGGCTTTCCATGTAAATTACGTAAATATATTATTATTATATTATAAATTACTGCATCCAGAACTGTAAATTCACTAAATAGAGCTATGCATTTTTGAGCCTTTCGATGTTTTGCAAACTTTTTTAGCTTTGCGTATAAAGCGTCAAAAAATAGATTAATTAATCTAATTTCAGGCAAAAATAATGGAAAACAAAATTTCTAAGGCAAAAACAAGAAAATAGTATGCAGTAGCTTGATTTTGTCGTTTTTTTAACATTTTTTCCCTTCTTTTACTATACCTCAAAGCCCAGGAAAAGTAGTGAAAAATTCATCATCGAATGCTACTCCATTTTACACGTATCCACAGCGCATCTTCCACTTTTTCAATTCACCTCCCATGTGTCCTGGTGACCCCTTCAGATACGTTTTCCTGCAAATTAATGACCCATGCGGCCACGCACGCTTCGGAATAAATGATCCGCTGTTGGCCCGGGGGGTCGCTCATGAATTTTTCCGGTGTCTTTGAACAACACAACCCCTGACAAATTGATTCTGACCCCATTTTCGGATGTTTTTTCGTATTTCCGTGTTTTTGGTGGTGGTGGGTAGTTCGAGATGGGTTCCATATCAAAGTGAGTGGTAGGAGCCGCGGGTTGATGGGTAAATTGAGGTGAAACTCCCTAAAATTTCAGGAGAATTGGGTGATCAAGGGGTCCGGCTCGCTGGAGCCATGGACGATGAATGTCCTGGCTGCGGCTATAATGCTACGGTCGAAGATCAGGTGGCGGCGGCAATTATTTTTGTGGTGGGTTGAGAATTGGGGGGAATTAAGGAAAGAGTCGTTTTTTAGACGGCAGGCTGTGGGGTTGGGATTAATATGTTAATTACGCTGACGACCGGTCGGCTTCCGATGTTGCGAAACTCGTTTGGGACGCTTCTACGATTCCAATCTGGTGCTGAGACGATATTTTTGGCCATCTGGGCATTCTATTTTGCGCCGGCTTTATTTTTGTAAGTTTTTAAGCTTAGTATCTGTTAATACGGTATTTTCCAGAAACATCGACACCCTAAAATCCTTCAACATCTCCCGACGTATGGGTCAATTGTGCCTAATCTGCTATGACGTATCAATCTATTCCCATCTCAGCATCTCCATCAACCGGTATTACAATATACTTTTTGTTAATTACCATAATTTAAGCTTTGTTTCTCTCTACTTCCCCACCGAATACAGCTTCATCTTCAACGACTACGTCACCCGCTGGATCATCGCTGTCATCTGCGGCCTCTCCCTCACCTTCTCATTCTTACTACCCGCTGGTAGGTGCCATTAAGACCACAAATTTACGAATTTTACCAACCACATCATTTAGGGGGCTGCAATATGATATTCTCGAACGCGAAATGGATGCTTGACTACCACGCCACATGCAATTTGACGTTGCTATATTATGCCGAGTTTTTGAGGTATGAAATTGATCTTAAAAATCTGGGAACGATCACTTTTCAGAGCCGTGATTGTGATCACTGCAATATTTTGCATTAATGCGGCCACTTACCTAAAAATGCATATGCATCACCAACGAAATTATCCGCTACGAGCTGTAAGTTTTTAGAAGCCGAATTTCTTTACATTTGAATTTCTAGGGAGCATCAAATGTCGAGCTCGGCCTTCAACAAAAACGCCGGCTTATCGAAAAGAACTTTGTTCGTCAGGTAATTCATAAGAGTTAGAGGATTAAAGATATTAAATTTTTTAGGTTTGTATCCAGGGCTTCGCCTACGTCACCGAACTACTCACGTACTTCTTGGTTTCACTGGCGTTCCCCCAGCAATGGCCGAATTTCATTCTGACGACATGGGCCTGGATTATGGTGCATACGGTGGATGGGTAAGTCTTCAAAAGTGATTCATCAAATTTTATTACAGTTTTATCACACTTATCTTCAACCGTCAATTCCGGAAAATCCTATTCCCGAAAGATGATACTAACTATTACCAAAATGGCGGCGATACTTCTAGTAAAGTAAGTAGAGTAAGTCTTCCCTCACGTTCTAAACTTAATTCTTAGGTAATTACCCTCCCAGCCGGTCATTTCATCAACGAACAAGCGCTGGAAGTAATGCTATGAACGTTGGCTCAAAGCCAAAATGGACTTCTAAGCTCCTAAGCTTTTATGTATTAATTATCTGCAATTTTTGCATCGGGTCATTCTGTGATTTCCCTCAAGTCGGTTGTTATCTAGGTTTCACTTCTGAATTAAGAGAGAGAAAAATTGTCTGTACAATTTTGTTTCGGGTTTTGTCCCTTGGATCTCGTGGTGATACTGTAGATTTGTTAGGCTTGGGCTTAGGCTTAGGCTTAGGCTTAGACTTAGGCTTAGGCTTTGTTAAAAAACAAGCTTTTCAAGGCTCTAGAAAATTCGCTAAAAGTATTATCACGAGAGTCGCCTTCCGCGCTGGCCATGTTTTTCTCTGCTTCTCTGCCTCATCGCTTTTGCAGGTTGCCTTTTGATAAATAGTTTTGGGCTTTTCCGTGATCTGTGTTGCGTGTTATCTCTCTCCATTCGCTCTTCAAAAATCAAAAACACCTTTATCCGTAGCAACGAAATGTGGGGTGGAACTCTGCGAGGAAGGCCGAGTCTCTTGGGAGGATGAAAATAACCGTGAGCAAAGGAAAGATAGGGTGATACAGTAACCAGAGAAATAGATAGATAGAAATTTCTTGAGAGAGTTTTGCGTGATTTTTTGGAAAAGTGGGTCGTCAAGAATCGTTTTAGAAATCTAGGCCCACTGATAAAAAGAGATCGTTTTCATAGAGCCCCAACAAATGGCTAGGTTGTCTAATGTTGGCGGCTCAAATAGGATTGAAACCTGTCGGGGAGAAGAAAAAAATATTAACAAAAAATACAGAAACACAGCAAACACCGGGGCATTTGAAGCAATATCTTCAAGCAGTTCAGGTTCAATAGATGGACCTCGTCAACTGGATGATCTTCCACTGAACGACATCAGTGTTTTGGCTGCTCCATTTCTCCAACCAATCGAATTTGCGGTTTCTAAAGAAGATCGAAGACGTTTAAAAATCCATGAAGTTTTGAAACATACTTCTTGACGACGTCCAGGTACGCGGGGAGACTCGCATCATAGTGGAACGTGCACGTCCTCGAGGTCATCAAGCTAGAACGGGGTTGTTAAGCGGAAACTATAAAACCTTCTTACCACACTCCATCGGGGGCGAGCGCCATGTCCAGAACCTCGTGCAGCTGTTCCAGTTCAAGTGCCGTGCAGCGGAGTGGTTCGACGGCGATGATGACATCGAACTTTTTACCGCCAATCGATTCCCTGCAAATTTCTCATATATAAGATTTTCTAGTTAATGTATACCTCAAGCTCTGGATGTCTCCATGGTAGTACTTGCACTTATTCCCGGGGAACTTGTTGCGCTCGAGGGTTGGCTTGACGAAGCAGTCCATTTCTGCTTTGTTCTGGCAGTGGACGGTGACATCAGTAGCGCCATTGTCCAGGGCAAAGACTGACGGAAGTCCGGTGGCGAATCCGATCTAAAATATCTTATCATTACATCCATTTTTACGATTTGATTGGTATATTAGAAAACATAAACACAAAGTGCTAGCAACCCGATCCCCCTGATTTGCACTTGCAACTGCAGACAATCACAGTCCTCCCCTGCTGCACTTCATGGTACACAAGCCCCCTCTTTGTTTTTATGAGCCAAGGGACCCGATGATGGGGAAAGACAAAAAACGGGGATTTTGTTGACCGTGCCGCTATTTCAGAGGTAGTGCGATAGAGACAAATAACTAACCTCAAGCACAGAACGACCATCGAACAGGTCGGTCTCCCTGTCGACATCGATAGCAGTGTCGAGGTGCTGGCACATCATACTGACGGCTTCCCATTCTTCTTCGTGGGTTGGGGCTGGAAATAGAGATATTAAATATTTTATGCATTATTTAGACAAAGATAGAAGAATCTAATTGAACTCCTCACCATCATACGTGCCATTCTTGCGCACGGAACGACTGGACCCCTCAAAGATGCCGCGCGTATCCGCACGCAGGGTAGCCGCCTAGTTAGAGCATATAAGCCCTAGATAGTTTACATACCTTAGGCGCAATATAGCGAATCATCCGGGTGCTCTCGAGCTTTAGCTCAAACGGAGCAGCAACTTCAGCGATCGCCGGAACCTCGAGGAATACCATTTTCAGGGGGAGTGTGGAGTGTGAGCTGAAATCTGAGGTTATTTCTGGGGGCTTTATAGCAAGAAATGCAATGAGTGGGTTGAGGCGGTATGGCAAAAAAGGGAACGGCAAATGAGGGCGCTATTCGGTGAGTATGGTGGTTGGGGGGATGTTAGCCGAGGAGCTGCCGAAAAGTGGAGTGATATTGGAAAAGTGACGATGGTCTGGGAATGTGGGTTTGTTCCGGGTGGGAATTCGACTAGATTGGAGTTGAGAGATGCCAAAAATTAAGAAATTAGTTTTTATGCTCAATTACATTTTGCATATTCGAAAAGGAATTTTACAGGAAGCTAAATTATTAAAATTCAATGTGACGAAGCTTCAATGAAAATGCAAACTAACTTCAAAGTTAGACGCAACGTACATGAAATAACCTGATACGCTACGATATGATACGCTGTCCCACAAATGAAAACCAGTGGATAATTCAGATGGCAAGACCAAGCAAAATTAACTTCTTTTTTAACTGAAGGAAAACAAAAAGGAAGAGGGTTTCCAGTAATGATAAGATTTTACTTAAAATACGAATCAAAGAAAGAAATCTAATCAAATAATCAAAACCCCAGTGTCCGGTTGGGTGATGGCTCCCATCCAAGTCCTGAGCAATGATGAGCACGACTCGTCCACCCCTAGGGGGCTCCAAGTGTCCGCCAGCCCCCATCCGCCCGTCCTCCTTATACCCCGACTCCGCCCGTTTCAAAAGAACGGCAAAAATCAGCGGCGAAAACAGCAGTCTGTGATCTCCAAAGGTCAGTGGCGGGCAAGATGGGCAAGACGGCAAAACTGATCAACAAAGCACTTTTTTCGGGCTATTCTCCGCCCCGAACGGATTGAGGTGTCCACATGCAGGGCACAGATCCAGACAGGGGCCTTCCTAATGACGAGCTCTTGCCAAATGACGGTGTTATGCGGCGAAAAAAATTGTGATAACAACCTCGGCAACCTCGCGATTCGCCGGGATCTATGGAACTGACTAACAACCCCGCCGGACACCACAACCAAAAGGGGATCTGCACTCTGAGTGCATCGACAGAAAAAAGACCAACCTAATAGCCAAGGGGGTAGGGGTAGGAAAACACACGTCCCAGTATAAAAAAATACATTTGGAAACCACAACATGGCTACCACGTTGCAAGCACAAAAAATGGACACAAAATAGAAAACCCGGGGAATCTGGCGGGGTATTTCCGGGGGGAGATGCAGGGTGTGCATCTTTAAAGGACAGCCACCAGGATATTTATAGCCCCGCGATCTATCATGATTGGTCGGGGGCCGTCTATTTGGCAAAAGCCGTACACGTGAAACTCACACCCGCGGCTCACACATGCTAGCTATGACGGGTTGTGCTCGCGGAAGCACAGAAAACCCGAGTAGTCAGTCAGTGGTGAGGAGTCGGGGGGATGAGGGAAGTTGGCAAATTGAAATGTTTCGGCGAGACGGGATAAGTTGTCGTTGCCACCGGAAATAGGAACAGTTGGTCGACCGGGAGGATTTCAGGGTGTTCAGTTCAAGGTCTAATGATCTGTGGATGATTCAGTGAGCGGTCGTACGCAAGTGTTGGCCGGAAAAAATGTCTGGATAAAGCAGAGCGTGGGTGTATCTGCGGGTGGGAATGTTCGCTGGATTGCCTGAGTCAGTTTTAGAGGGCTATTACATCAGGGGATGAATCTTCTAAACGAATACGGTAAGAACCCGGAGGAAGGGAATGATCTGAAAAAGTGGTCTTTTGAAGCTTTCTTTTCACTTTTAAAAGCTTTATATTTTTGAATTTTCTGGAAAAATGATTCAGCCCTTTTCTCGGTAGCACTATTTGGTTTTTGATGTCAAATGTACCAGAAAAATCAGTAAAAATATTTTAAAAGGCTTTAGATTTTTCGGTTTCCAAGAAAAAAGGCAATTTAGCCATTTTGTTCGAACTCATGACTCGGTCTTGATGCAAAAAAATCGTAAAAACCGCAAATTATTCGAAACTTAATTAATTTTTATGCTATTTTTTTAACAGATATCATACTGAAAACAATCAGTACAATCCAACCCCATTGTTTTTCGAAAAATATTCCCCTCCTCCTGCGTTGAGGTAGATGGTACTGGCGGGGGCGGCAGCGAGGCTAGCAAACAACAACCTGTAGCCCCCTGCCAACACGGGAAAACACCCCCAGCAGAAGTGATCATAGAGCTGTTGTTGTCAGCTCAACGCTGCTGCTGCTGCTAAAACTGATTGGAAAAAGAGGGGAGACCAGGCCGGGCCGGCTGCTTGCTGTGACGGAATGGCTCTTTTAAAGATCGGGCGGAGGAATGCAGGGGCTGTGCAGGAGGGGCGAGTCGAAGCTTCGAGAAGGGATCCGCTTTGCGGAACTTTCGAGAAAGAGGACGCAGACATGGAGAAAGAACTGCTCGCGGCGCCCACTCGGCTCTAAATAGCGCGTTGCCTCTCGGCCATCAGCCCATCATTTGAAGGGATCGGTTGCTGAAGATGGACAATCTATTTTCGGGAGTTGGAAAAGAACTTTTCCGGTATTGTGTCAATCCGTCTTTAGTGGGCTGCAGTTTTTTGTGACAAACAGGAGGTTAGAAGAGCAATGGAAAGGTCGGAAGTTAGAAAAGTAATAGAAAAGAGCAAAGAAAATAAAAAAGGGCCACTAAAATGAAGGGGGGTCGAGATACAGGCCCGAGAAGTTTTTGGCGAAATTTGGGAAAAGTGTTTTTGCAAGTTATCTCTGCATAGAGCAATTTGCCGGCGATACCTTGAGCGCCAATCGATAGATCTCGAAGAGTAGATATCGATGGATGTTGAGATCATCCAAATCGGAAACAGGATGGCTGAGATACGGTCCCTTGAAACTTGAGCCATTTCTTAGAACTTTTCTCGAAACCCCATACATCGGGCAAGAACGAGCCAAAACTTGCCGCTCGATTTTGGAACATCACATGAGGATTTTGATAAAATGTATAGGATTTCGAGAAAAGTTCTAAGAAATGGCTCAAATTTCAAGGGACCGTATCTCAGCCATCCTGTTTCCGATTTGGATGATCTCAACATCCATCGATATCTACTCTTCGAGATCTATCGATTGGCGCTCAAGGTATCGCATGCAAATTGCTCTATGCAGAGATAACTTGCAAAAACACTTTTCCCAAATTTCGCCAAAAACTTCTCGGGCCTGTATCTCGACCCCCTTCATTTTAGTGGCCCAGGACCTTCCTCTGGAAGAAATTTAGGTCGAGGGCTACCAAATGACATATCGCATGTCAAAAATGAGGCTATCTGCGATTTTAGGCAGCTCTTCGAAATCTCGGCGACAGGACTTACCTTCCAACCTGATATGTTAGAATATGTTTTTTCTAGCCTCCCATTAATGGGCTAAATGATACTACCGCCACCGCTTTCTGCAAACGAACATCTGCGCGGTGACCCGCGTCGACAATGTTACTTACTGGCTGTTCTACAAATTTATCAGCAGCTTTATGAAGCATACTGTTTATGCCATACGACCTAAAAATATATTTATTCACATAAAACACGATACACTCAACACCCGTACAATATTGGCTATAAGCTGACGAAAATAACGAACCGGAAGACGTATACAATGCGGCGAGGATCACATTAAATGGATCAAGTCAAGTGGAGACGCAATCAATGCATCCGAATTTTGAAGTAAACTTTGAGTTTAATTTAAGAATAAGGATGAGCCTCAAGAATCGTGGCAAGGTCGTTTTAGGGTAAGCTCCAGGTATCAAAGATTAGAGTGGAATGTGGGTTTTTTGAGAATATAAAATTGGACTTAAACATTAGTTTGCCACATTGAGGGAGCATAATAAGGGTGGTGGAGGGGATCTTGGTATTGAGGCTGAGGTGCAAAGGGATCGGGGTTGTAGAGTGAGTTGGGGTATTCGATCGACACGCCGTGAAAGTCGTACGGTGGCGAGTGGTTCCAAGGGAGTCCGCTCTGAAAAATGAGGGTAGTACCGGTTTGGATTGACAACATGATTCTTTTTATTGGATATTGTTACAATCGATTTTGTAGCTAGTTGTGATGTTTTTTTTAACCTACCATTTGTTGCACTGGACTGATTGCCTTCGAATAGTCCGGCTGGCCCATATGAACAGGCAAAGGCGATGGATTCCAGCTCTGAATTTAAACAAATATTGAGATCAATATTTTGAAACTTACACTCTGCGGAGGTGTCAGGTGATTTACAGCCTCATGAGATGAAGGCATTGAAACTGCTTGGGGTGGGCTGGAGCTGCTCGACTGTGAAGCTCCAAGGGTCAACGATGGCAGAGTGGTCGTGCTCAAACACTGCCGCTTTGGATCAGGGCCGTGACAGTAGGCCTTGTTCATCGCCTTGCCCGTGCCGTCGATAGGAGAGGGGGAACTAAAATGCTGGTTTTTACTGAGATTTTGGACCTACCTATAGTCCGATCTGTCAGATGATGGTGGAGTATCAGGATGGGAACTCCTTGACTTTCTGGCAGGCTCTTTTGTGATGACTCGCCGAGCTCGCTGCATTTTGATCGGAGCCGACAGTGGCTGCTTTTCTGGTGGTGGCCGAGGTGTTGTGACGCAGGCTTGTAGTAGGATTGGGATCACATCCGCCGAATCACACTGAAAATCTGGCTTGAAGTGACAAGCAAGTTCTTACCTCCTTCGCCACATACAGTGGTGTTCTCTCCTTCTGATCGGCAATTTCTGTAGATGCTCCCAGCTCCACTAGAAGCCGTACAGCCTCCACGTGGTTCTTCTCAGCAGCTACGAAGAGAGCGGTTCGTTCCTAATACAGAATTTATTGTTATTTTCTGGGTCTTTGATACCTCTCGATCTTGCGCATCCTTATTTGCATCATTTTCGACCAAGAACTTGATCATTGCTGTGTTGTTGGCCATAGCAGCAAAGTGGAGCGGTGACATTCCAGTTTGATCCGTTCGCTCCTTATCACCTTGCGAATTTATCTAAGATAGAAATAGATATCTACTAAGAAACCCTACATTTGCTCCGGCGTCCAACAACATTTTGCCCATGCCGTCATCAAGAAGATGATATTGGGCGAGAACCATTAGAGGTGTGCGATTATTGTCATCGACGACGTCGACCTAAAAATGCATTTTCAAACTCGACACCACCACTTACGATTTTCTTGAGCGACTGCTTCCGGAGCAACATCTTCAAGGTGGTGATATCGCTATTCTTGGCAGCCTGATGCAGTACCGTGGTCCCATCCCGGCTAGAGATTTCCGGATCAGCACCCATTGACAGCAGCTTTTCAGCGACTTTCGTGCGATTCCTTAAAACCGCGACGAACAGCGGGCTCATGTCGTCTAAAGGAATATTAAAGGCAAGAATTTTAAAATTACCATCATCCAGTGCATTAATCTGGGCCCCATTTCTGACGAGCTGCTCTACGTTGTGAACGACGTCGGCGTCACTTCTCGTCAGATTGGCGACAAGCAGATGAAGCGCTGTCTGGGCGTGATGGGTCTTGGCGTTGATTTCGGCATGATTTATCTAAAAACACAATGATATTAGCCATTGATAAATAAAGTCATACCTGGCTTATCGTGCCTTGATTTTCATAGGCTTCGATGTGAAGCCCGGTGGGGTGTCCATAGTTGGCAGGCTCGATTTTAGGGATTTTGACCTAAAATATATAGAATAGTAGTTTTTGGTTCGTCTACCTTTGGATACCACGCATCTTTGTGCTCGGCTTGTGAAGAGTCAAAGAAAGCCCTGGCGCAAGCAATATTTCCGTAATGATACGGACGATAGTCGCCTGACCATCGCAGCATCAGGCTCCCCTTCTCGTTCTGTTCATTTACTAAAACAATCCGGATATATTTATTTTTTGGGACTTACATGTCTCTTCAGTTGGCGGGGTCCAGACATGAGCATTGATCACGCGTTTCCGGCTCCGATCTTTGACGTGAGGAATTACCTTAAAAATCTAGCTTCAAAGCCAAAAAGGCAAGATTCTACCTGATACTTCCCAACTAGCCCAATAAATGCGACTCCGATGAAGGCCAAAATCCCAAGCAGGACTGTCCAGAACGAGTTTTGAGCTTGAGGTTTGGCATTCCGGTCCACAGCCACTGCGGAGTAGATTGGCATTGAGAGTTGCTAGAAATTAGGAAGTGCTAAGGAGTAAAATTACTGTAACTACCTTATTAGCCACAGCCGCGCTGACGAAGCTGGCAACAGCCGCCGGATCGGAGAAGCAAGAATGGGAGCACGAGGCTACATCGACGTCAAAATAGACCTTAAATTTTGTGTTGTATGTCCTGGTATTTCTTGAGCTACCTTAACTCCAGATACCAGTGATCGCTTGTGTCTTGGGCTGGGTTCGTAGAAGGCAGCAAGTGGCTGGAATAACAATTTTTCTAAGTTACTATCCCAAAAACAAACCTCAGAGCTCGGGAACTTCAACCGTTGGCCCGCTCCTCCTTCCATCGTCCAACGATAAGCCCTCGGCCCTTCAGAATCGTTGGCCACACGAACTGTAGCGCGCAGAAGAGCCGAGACGTCAACAAGCAAATCGCGGATCCCTTTCACGAACACTTCCGGTTCCATCAGGATCACGATCTCGAGCTCGCCGGGTAGCTAAAGAGACAATATTTTTAATCCAACAGCGTCCTAGTTACCGTATCACTTTTCTTCTCACAATCCCCTCCATCATACCCACATTCCTCGATGTTACACGGCATATCACAATGGCCGTCTTGGGAGCGAGCTCTAAATTTTGGGAACTCCGTTTCAGAAGAAAATTTTTACCTGCAGCTGACTGGGCATGAATTTTTTGCCCTCGTGCAGTCGAACCCGTCAAACAAGCATGCCTCATTATTACAGGCTTCATTGCAGGTCCCATCGTGGAAGCTGCGAGCGCAGAAATTTGCCGCCAAGCATTTCGAGTACGGCTTGTCTAAATCCGAACTTTAGAATTTATAAAATTTCTCTTACCCTTGGCCGAGCAGTCCCCTCCATCGTAATCACAAGCAAAGAAATTGCATTCCGGATCGCAGACACCGTTTTCGGCGAGCTTTTGGCATTTGTGACGTTGGCAGTGCTGCTTCTCTTCGCTAAATTTTGGTTTTAAGCGCTTTAATCTTGACTAACAGTTCGGTCTCGTTGTACTTGTCGATGTCAGCCCAATATTGACAGGAGTTTCCGAAGAAGCCACGCTTGCAGTTGCAAGTTCCCTTCTTGTTGCAGGAGCCATTATTCAGGCAGGTACTGAAAATTAGATTTGAATTTTTGGATATTTTCATATGCTGTCTTCCCATAAACAATCCACCCCCAATAAGTTGCACCCGTTTGCGAGGGTGCGAAAATCGGAGGGCCCTGTGGCGAGTCAGTGTTCGCGTGAGGGTTGATTGTGAGCGATGGGAGCAAGGAGGCACCCCGCGGCGCTGCGCGCTGATTGACCTGGGAGCGCCACCCGTGCGCTGAGCGGGGCTTTGTCCCTCAATCCTATAGCACGTCCTCAGGTGCTGGATCTTTGTCACGGTTTTAGGAACTAGGCGATTAACTAGGGGGCATGGTGGTGAGTCATGGAAAAAGTGGATCTAGAGGTTGGAGCGGGTTGCAAGAAATTTGCATAAAAGCTATTTAAGATTTCATTAGTGTAGCTAGTTCTAGATATCCTCAAGACTAAAGGGTTAAATTTAAACCCCCAAAATCTCGCCCATACCTCGCCACACATTCGTCAGCGCGCGATTCACAAAACGGGCCGGTATACCCCTCGGGACAATGACATTTGCTAGCCTGCCCTTCGGCCAAACAGACGCCATCGTTCTCGCACCCTCGCTGCTCGCAATCCAATGACTGGCATCTAAATTAATTTTTGAAAATTAAGATGTGAACCAAATTCCTACCTTGGCCCCGAGAATCCAATCGGACACTGGCATTTCAAACCCTCGACCAGATGTATCGAGCAGATCCCATTGTTTAGGCAATAATCTGGAAAATAAAGATTATTTTTGGCCATTTTCAGATTTGGTTAGATTATGCATAAGCCAATCCCTCCGCTCCTCAAGCCTAACATTCCCACGGCTGTCCCCTAAAAGGAGAAAACGGCTGCCGGCCGCTGACCCTCGACCAGCTGCCCGCGTTGTGCAACAGTTCTTTCCCCCCGATGACGCCCAGCGCATCGATCATTTTACCTCCAACCCTAAATCTGAAACCCACCCGCCGCACAGGAATCGTTCAGATGCTCGCAGCGATGGCCGCTGAAGCCATTGGTGCAGGCACACTTCGGCCCCTCGAAGCTGTTCAGGCATCGACCTCCATGTTGGCAAGGGTTAGGACGGCAGAAGTCGGTGGCGTCCTAGAATTAAGAACATAGTTAATGCCTTAAATACGATACATACCTGACAATAATCTCCCTCCCACCCAAGTGCACAGTAGCACTTGTAGCCGTTCAGCTTCGTAGCGTTGTTCTGACAAGTGGCCCCGTTTTCACAGCGATTCAAATGGCACGGATTCCAGCCTAGGATCTCCTCGCATTCCCGGCCGCTTCTTCCAGCAGGGCATTGGCAGGAGAAGTCGCTAAAATTCGACGTAATTAAGCAGGATCCAAGTTCAACGTACCCATTCTGATCTGGGAGGCAATCCTGCCCAACTCCACAATTTTCGCAAGCATCCGGCATTACGGATTCACAGAGACGGCCTCCAAAGCCAAGCGGACACCAGCAAGTGTTATTTTGGTAACAGGTGCCTTGAAAATATCGGTATTAATGTGTTTTTGAGCTTGGCGCTTACCCCCATTCTTGCAAGGATTTGGCGAACACTCCTCAATGAATTGATCGCAGGTATCGCCCTTGTAGCCCTTCAAAAATATACCATGAATGAATTGGCCGACTTACCGGAGCGCATTCACATTTGTGAGACCCTTGCAAATTAATGCAAGTAGCTCCATGCAGGCATGGCTTCATCTCCTCACACTCATCAATGTCATCTCCACAATCCGCACCGGTAAATCCGGCTGGGCATTGACATCTGAATACAAAAATGTGGGTTCAGTATTGGATTACTTACTTGTAATCCCCTGTAAACGGGTCGCTTTCACATTTCCCATTCAAACAGGGACGACGGATGCACTGATCTTCGAGCTCGCAGAACAGACCGATCCGACCCTTGGGGCATTGGCATTTGTAGGAGTTTCCATCCGGGATACAGGTCGAGCCTAATTTGCATATTTAGGCCACATTATACAAGCTGCCATACCTAGCGAGCACTTGTTGTTTTCACAGCTATCTACTGGAATTTGGCATCTATCCCCCGTGAAATCGGCGGGGCAGAAGCACCTTAAAAATTTGAATTCCCTGTTTTTTTTATGCTTACTGAAAAGATCCGAAGGAATTCACGCAGCTGCCACCATTTTTACATGGCGAATTCTCGCATTCATTGACGTCTTTTGCGCAGAATGGGCCTAGAAAAATGATAGTTTTTTATATAAATTTGAAAGTACCAGTGAAGGCTGGAGGGCAGGTACATCCGTAATAACCGTTGTGCTTATGGCAAAAGCCGCCATTTCGGCAAGAAGCCGGCCCGGTAGTTGAACATTCGCCATGTCTGGTTCGATGGGTGCAAGCTTTTCCGGTCCAGCCGTCTTCGCAGATACACTGATAGCCGCCAAGCTAAATTCAAAGAATTCAAACTTCAATTTTTAATGGTAGTTCCCTAATTTCCTTCATTCCAATCCCTGCCGTTCCCATTTCTAAAACCGAACACGGCCCACCCTGGGCGTCGACTCCACCGTGTTTTTGTGGCTCCGTTCTTCCGAAAGCGTCTTGAAAAATGGGTATCGCAAAGTGGGGACGCGGAAAAACTGGATCAAGCGAGTCAAGGATAGCACCGGGACGGAGGGGGCGCATGAAAAAGAGCCGCGTGGGAACGGCAAACTTGGGGGAGGACGGGGCGCGCGCGACTCAAGTCGAGCCGTTCAGCTAATGCGATATGCACACTATCGACTGGGGGATACTGTATATTCAAACATCTAGGTATACAAACCGTATTCTCGCATACTCCATGGGCACAAGGATTGTCGAGGCATTCATCAATATCCTCTTCACAATGTTCTCCGGTGAAACCGCGAGGGCAGCTGCATTTTGCAGAAAATCCGTTAAAAACACATCGTCCACCGTTTTCACAGTAGCACTTTGTCCGCCGCGAGCAATCGTGGCCTAGAATTATACAAATTTTTAACGCTTTCACAACCCAATTCAAATTGGAACGCATCCAAGCTCAAGTGGTGGTCCCTATCGACAGTCCATCCATCTTACTACCCCTGTTGCGGGCACCCTTTGACCCTGACAGCCGCTTAGGAATTTCCGAAATCCCTCCCCAACCACTCGCTTCTACAAATATCTGCCGCGTGTATCTTGCATCAAACAAAGCGCGGCGGTATCAAAGCCATTTTCCGACCTGCCCCATAAATTCAAATTAAATTTTGGTCATGGGAGTGGCGCTCAAAACAATTAGTAAACGAGCGCCATCGAGATCCTATATTTTTCGTTAATCTATTCAGCATCAGCCTCCGGGCATTTTTACGGGCATAATAGGCATTCGGCGCGTGTCAGATTGTATCACCAGTTAGCGTCGGTGGTGATGTGATAATTTTGGGGGTCGCGGGTCGAGTTACCCAATCGTTATCGCTAAAGGACAGCCAGCAGTCGCGCATTTACGATGGCTTGGGAAGGTGCAGTTGCATAGGAAATATTCAGAAATAATTTACCTGTATATCCGGTCTCACATTCACATTCGAAGTCATAAATTGACGTTGTTAGCTTGCAAGTGCCGTGTTTTGAGCATGGTCTTTCGGTGCAAGCTGATGGGACGACGGTTTGACAGGAGATTCCGGTGAAGCCTAAAAGGATCTAGATTTTCTGCGGACTTTGGCTTCCAATAATCCGGATCTTCACACTACAGCCCCATATATTTGCCATATGCTTGGGGTCGAGGGCATTATCCTGCCATCGACGACCTCACAATGAGCTCTACCCCCAAGATGCCCCCTTGCCCCATTCATATGTAAATCACAGTCCCTGCCCGATAAAAAAAAGCTCCGGTCAGGCTCAACCTTGGAATTTCCTCCCCATCAATGGATTGATCGATTCGATGGGTTAGTTGCACTTTAGGACAGTTAGAAGATTTTTAGTTTTTTTTTTTTAAAGGAACGGCAGGTTTTGCGTGCTTTTAACGCTCTAAACCTGCAACTAAGGTTGCCCACTAACAAAAGCACGTTTTCGTGAGGGATTAGGTCGTTTGGGTAACCCGCAAATCGTATGTGGGGGCAATACCTGGCTAGCCGCCAAAGGGTCTAGGTAATTGTGCACGGGGGATTAGCTCGGAGGGGGGACATCCCGCAACTCCACAACCTTGGGTTACGGTAAGGGGAGGAAGGGCTTTAGAATTGAGCGGCCGAACCTATCGGCTTTTCAAGGGGTGTTGTAAAAAACAGGTCTATCGATTTTAAGGTAGCTCTCTGGAAAGAAAATTCTATTTCCTTGGTCTGTAACGCCTAGAAAAATCGCTTAAAAGCTTAGAATTCTTAGAAAACTTACAAAAACTGATTTTCTACTTTCCAACCCCTTTAAACCGTTCTGAATGCAAATTACACCCTCTCATCCTTAGTCATCGCACCCCTAAGAATACCCCGGCCTTGAAATAACCCCCCCAGAAACTTATTCCATCCAATCCCACACCCGCAACAAATTACCCGACAAGGACATCCCCAACCCTACCCGTTACCTCTCAGTTTTGAGCTGTCAAAGAATCTGCCGACCCGCAAAAGTCCTTAGTTCGAAAATCTTTCCCCCTCCTGCTCCTACTTCAGAGGTCACTCACTCGCCCTGGCACCGAGTGCCCCAAAGGGATTTACTATAATCCGTCTACCTCCAGGAGCAATGTTGGCACCTCGAGAGAGGGTACCTTTGGGGCGTCTATGGCTTTAAAAAATGGTAAACACTAACCGAGAGGGCACTGGCAAGCGTGGGTTCCGTTTTGAGATACGCATTTCCCGCCGTGCTGACAATACGGGAGGCATGGCTGTTCGTCGCAACGTGGGCCGGAGTAGGGGGATGGGCACCTAAAAAGTAGAGTTTCATGAAGAGTTATTTAAGTTTTTTAGGGTTATGTTTAATAAGGAGAATTTTAATTTTCAAAACTTGACTTAAACCCCAAAAATACTTGTGCTTCTAGGCAGCATTATTTTCCAGATCCGCTTTTGTGATTTTAAATTTTTACATAATTCGCGGCCCACCGTAGCATCAAACGCAAGAATCTTATTGAACTAAATATAGACTTTCTGGCGGAAATTTTCGTTTTGAAGGTTAGCAGCTCCGGATTTTTAAAATGCTATTAAATTCCAGAAACTACCGTACCCTTAAGACCCTCAATCCGCTAGCCATATGCGCGACCGGGAAACTTTTTAACCATCCACTAACCCCCATCAATACTAACCGAGCACCCAAGCACACCCGGGTTTTTCGGTTCCCACCGATGCGGCCCTTTGCAACTCATAAAAGTACCATAAATCAGCGGGTGGTGTCAGGGCCCAGATGCTGGGTACCCCCGTTTTTTGAAGACGCCGGCTAGGGCCACAGGGGCACAAGGGCCAACGCTAGTAATTCAATTTTCTGGGTGTAAAAAGCTAAAGATAATCTAACCATACCTTAGCCATGGATATATTGACACACCAAATTAGTCCTCGACCGCCTACCCCCAGCTGGTCGAGTGTAATGCTAACCATACCCAGATCCACAAATAGATTAGTGCCCCACGGTGTTGGACGTAGATTAATTGGGTTGGCAATCATTTTTTAGTTGCCCAGGGCGATGAGTCAATAGTATAGAGACGTATCTTTGCGTAGTTGTCGTACGCTAGACTAATCCATACAAATAGCCTTCAACGAAAACGAAACCCTCCTCTCCCCCTCTAGTCCGCGCGCTATCACGGTCAATAGGGCCCGGCAAAAAGCGCAGCCCTCGCCCTGGTGGCGGCGCGTCGAAATTCTCATCTTCATCGGATTGTTAAAATTGAGTAGTATGGGCATGGGAAAGCCAAACAGCTCTTGATCAAAGCCGGTGTTCGGCCCTAGAGGGAAGGGAGGAGGAGGTTAAAAAAGTGGACAGGATAGCCCTGTTAGGGGGGTGAAGTTTTTCAGGGGGTGTAAAAAATGGAAACCGAGGCCTAGAAGGAAGGATAAAGTCTTGTAATTCTGAAGAATTATTGCAATTTGTTTAAGGAACAATATGTTTTTTTATCACATGAAAAAGTCAAAAATTTTTTTTAGCTATTTCTCAAAAAAGACCAGATAAGGAAGTATTTTGTCACTGAAGTACTGATGAAATGCGGGGAGGAAAGGAGCAGAGTCTTTTTCAACAATCTCGACAAAGAACCAGATACGGTACCTCCAAAAAAAGTGATGGGATACCGAAAAATCGCAACAAAAACCCAATCGGAATCGCCCACATCAAAACCCCATAAATTAACAGTAGCCTGGGAAACCACTCACTGGCACCAATAAGTTTTCTTCTCCGCGCCAGCGTGGCAAATTCCGCCGTTCAGACAATTCCCGAGCGCACAATCACCTAAAAAATTATTTTTACGCTTAGCTTCAAAAAATACCTTCAATAAAGCTCGACCCGACCAGGCCCAGCAGCCAACCCGCTAAGAGTAGCCTCATCATGAGGAGTCTGACTCTGAGGCTCTGACACTTTCAGTCAATCTATCCAACGAAGCGACACACAAAAGGTGTGTTCAGCGACTATCGCATGAATGGAGGAGGCTTCTGAAAATTCCGGATCTTCTGGGAAGGGGTGAGGGGGGATGGAGACAATGCAGGGAGATAAAACGGTTGATCGGGCTTGGCGGTGGAAGTTTCGGGGGGGTGAGGAACGCACGAAAAAAGGAGTTCGAGGCAGGAGGGGAGAGTGAGGTGTTCGGGTTGGTATTCGGGCTGGAAGGCGATAAATTAGGAAGTGAGAAGCGTGTTAAAGCGTGCTGCTTTTCCCTTGTTTTTCAATACGTTTTTGAGCTCGACAAGAGCCTCAGGAGCAAAAAATCCAACCTAACCTAGGCCCCGGATGCCCCATCCAATTGCGGGAAGCTGCGTGTAAAAAACGCGGCGCACAGACTCGCTCATACTCGCGGGCTAGACACCTCGCACTCACTTTTTTGCCCTAACATCTGCACTTGCACAACCCAGCTGGGGGCGAGTCTCGCGAGCTAATTTTTTGGTGGTCAGGAATGGGCCCAGGGTATCGACAGTGGGAAGTGTAAATATGGGTATCAATCGCTCGTGCGCCAGATTGCCGATGCCGACTATATCAAAAGAGGAGGTTTTGGGTTAGAAAATGAATATGGATAATATTTTAAAAAAGCAAATAAATACATCATGGTATTTCAAAAAAAAAATCTGCAAGTGACCATTCGGCCCATAAAAATTCATTCTGAAGCAAGTGGGGTGAAAAGTGTGCCTGTAATGCCGTGAAAGCTCTTTAGAAAGCCAAAATTGAATGTTTTTTGAAGTCTAAATTACAAAAAAATGCAAAGAAGTCTAAAGGGAACAATTTGAGGGTCTAGCCCGATATCAAGAAAATTTAGGGTTACGGTAGTAACCAGAAAATCCAAAACTTCCGGACTCCTTAAAATGAATAAAACAAAACATCCAAAGACTCAAGAAGTCCAGAAAAACCCAAAATCGAACAAAAACGAGTGGAGGTGGAGCCACCCCGAAAGAAGAACAGTCAGTGGCTGTGAAGGGTGGAGGCGGTGCCCTGGCATTTGCCTCGTCCTCCTCCGATCAGAGGAGAGGGAGAGGAAGAAGAGAGAGGGGCGGGTCATGACTCGCGTCCACAAAAGGCCCTTCCTTTTCTTCTCTTCTCCATCCATCCCAAATAGGCCATTCTATGGCTTTTGGTGATGGATTGTCAATGGATTTGTGGGTAATATAGTGGAGGAACTGTAGAAAAATGAAGATTTGATACTGAAAAGTTTCTTAAAAGTCAGCGCGAGCTTCAGGTTTATCAAAATTAAGAAAAAGCTGATTAGGTAGATGGAAATATCTAGATAGAATACGGCGGTCGAAAAAAAATCTGCTTCACATGGTTCCAAATCCTCAAGGAGCAAGACCTCACTCTCAAATGTTTCCCATGCCCATTCCCGAATTACTCAACGGACACCTGGAGGGCGGGCGGCTCCATTTCTACCCATTCTCCTCCTCCAAATCTGTTGCTCAACGATGGAACGTTGTTTTCAGGAGAAACAAATCTTTTCAAACCCAAAAACAGAAACTACAGGACGTCTGAAGCCCCAAAAATGCACATTTCCACATACAGTACAATACAGTACCGTTGAGGATACCTATCAAAATAAATCACCCAATCCCAGTGACTAACGAACGAATACCGCTAAACGGATACGGCAATCAATCCCCCCGTTGATTTTATTGGCTCTCAGGAATGACACCCCGGGGCAGCCAGATTCCGGTAATTTGTGTGAAGACAGCAGGCCCTCGTCAGGGGAATGTTGCCTGGGGGCATCGCGCAAAAAAGGACTTCCCGGAAACGGATCTGCCCCGTGCCGACCACCTGTCAAAATTATTGACGGTTTGCCGATTGGATTGGCCGATAATTTGAATAATTAGTGATTTGGGGAGATTAGAGAGATTGGTAGTTATTCGGTTTTTTAAGTATCTTTTTCAGAGCGTCATCATTACATTAAAAATTAAAAAAATGGCCCATTAAAATGGCATTCATCCAACACGCCCCATCTGGCCTTGCCCGAATAGCCAAATTTCATTCTGCGCCTCCGCGATATTATGTTTGGATATGAGTCAGCACATGCCTCGTCTATTCCAAAATTTCGCCCAAAATATGGAAATTTAGTAAAGTTAGATGCTGTAGTGTTTCGTAAATTTTTGGTCAGAGATTCAAACTACACTTGCGTCATGGAGGAAAATCTGGACTCCACTTTGAACAGAGAATTGTAGCTTCAACGACCAGGCAAATGGGCGTAAAAGTGCGAAAAACTTGTAGTCAGCTTCTAGGAGGTCTAAGGAATTTGAATGAGCTGAATGTGGAATTGTAACAACTGATGGAGGGGAAATTTGGCGTTGTAATGGCGGGGTTCATCGATAGATCTTCTAGAGCCGATAGGGGGGATGGTATGTTTTCGGGGGACATTGGCGAATGATATCGATGTCTGAAGAGATGGGCAGTGTTTTTCGGGTCTTGCAAATTGTTATGAAGTTATTAAGGCATAGAGGTGGACAAAAAAAGGTATAGAAAATGCCTTAACTGCCTTTGACATGACAACCTCATAGGAAATTAGTTTTCGTGAAAAATGCGATCCAAATCCTTGACATCGAAATTGTATCCCTGTCCACCCCGGACCAACATTTATAACAATTAGGGCCAGCCCTAAGACAATAGGCGTGAAATAGCCAACATAACACCTCCGGTAGCCTACCCAACAACCCTAGCAAAACATGCAACAACCCGTTGCGCCATCATGGGAGCCCGGACACAAATAGCTAATCCAGATTGTAGCGGGGTTTTTAGGGTCTTAGAAGCTCTCCAACTTTTTGAAAGCTAGCATACAACAGGAAAAGATAAAATTAGATTACCACAGCACCCAGAAAAACCTAAATTTTGACCCGAACCCTTCGAACTCTCGAGATCACACCCACTACTCCCGCCACCTTCCCACAACATTTCATCTTTTTTTTACCAAGACCGCCTGGGATATTTGGCGGGTTGTGGGGGGCGGTGAAGTTGGTTGGCTGGAGACTCGTTTCTCAGCACGACCTTGCCCCCACACCACCAGGTGAGAAGCTACCGTAGCGCGCTGGGAAGGCGCCGCCATGTCCCACATCCACTACGGTAGTGCGCCAAGAAATAATGTGGGACATTTGGTGGCTGGTGGAAGGGGATGTGGGGTGGCTGACTTTACAGCTTTTTGCGGCCCCCTCAATTGCTGGATTTGAGGTGTGGGCGGGAGGATTTGAAGTTTGGAAGCTTGGGAGGAATACTTAATAGTATAAAGCTTATATACAATGTGGAACTATACTAAATATGCTGCTAACTCCAGCTAAAATTTAAGCAAAGCCAGCCGCTCCGAGACACCCAATTAACCAATTGCGGCAATGTTTGGGGTTTCGTGCTCATCTGTGCCCATATGGACTGCCCCGGGCCACACGAAGGCCTTTGAAGTTTCCCAGATTTGTCGAAGGAACCCGGCCCCCGGCAAACGGAAAGGGGTCACCAATTAGAAGTGACAAAAATTGGTGTCAGGGCGTTGGGGGAAGGCCTTCGAGAGTGCATACAAACAGGAAAAATAAAAGGAATAAGGAACTCTAAAATTGTGCTAAGGTGTTTAGCCGCTTCGGGGCACGTAATTATAACAAGAAATAATGCTTAAGGGCCCGAAGCTACTATAAAAAAGCTCATAAGTGGATCTGAATTGTACTAATGAGCGACTTAGCACGTCAAGATTCTTCAAATACCAAGAATCATACCGAAAGAGACATATTTTGAATCCAAGCTAGCATTTTCAAATCCCACAACGTCGACTGCCGCATCCAGCCTACAGTAACCCTATAGCCACGGCTCAAGGAGGAGGATGGGGTGCAAAGTTTGTCATTCTCAGCCCGCGCCACCCTCACCCGGGGTCACCACAGGTTTGCATGGCTCGCTTGAGTGCCCAGCGGCACCTTTCAACCCCAATTCCGATCTAATAGAGACGGCCATGAGTGTTGCTCCGGAAGCGCCGGCGATTCTGATGCCAGCCTTGATATTTTAATTTTAATTGGATTTTATTTGGAGCTAAGGACGAATTCGATTTGCCAGGGATTTTGTTTGTACTCGAGATCCAAATCCAGCTACAGTACCCTTTCGGAACCTATTCAAAGTGTCAAAACACCGCCAGAACCTAGACACATACTGAATGGATATCGAGGTAATGGGCTCACTGTGTCGAGTTGCGCCATCGCCGGATCTAAGGGCTGACCGCTTTGGGCAGCCGCAACACACGGAAAGAAGGCGCGCAACCCCCTCGCATACCCGTTTAATTGCCTAAACGATCCTTCGCACTCACCCTCCCCCTACTGAAATGCCGCCCTCGTTTACGGTTATCGTGCGCTGAAATGGTGGGAAAATGTTTGGCGGGTGGAGTCGGGAAAGTTGAGGGTTAGGAAAAGTTGGTCCGGAGTTTCGGTAGCTCGGAATTTCCTTGATTTAAAGATGATCTGGTTGATAATGAGTGAATCTCATGTGAATCTGGAGCGTGCCGCCTTGGTTCCGTGATAAATGCACGCCGGTTTGACAGCCCTGGGAAATCGCGCCTCGCGCCTCAAAGCAACACCTTCCCAGCCTCCTCCCCCCCGCTACCTTGCTTGCTCCAAATCTCTCCCTGACCACCTTGAACAATGAGAACCTGTGAAAAGGCGCAGATCGAAGTTTTCGATTGTTCCCAGGTACCCTGCATACCTTATCAAGCCCTCCCGGCAAACCATCCAAACGCTTGCCCTCGCAAGATAATTCTGGCACGCGTTTGGGCGTATCACTCCAGCGCATCTTAACCTTTTCCCGTTGCACAACTCAAAAGGACCACCCGACACAATGCTAACATTTATCGCCGGTTCATGCCGGGTCAAATGATTTTGCATCAAGCGTGAAATTTATACAAGAAAGACGATGAAGGATAAGAAAACTGAATGTAGACAAGCCAAAAAAGTGTATGAAGCTTGGACAAGATGATATTTACAAGCAAAAAAGAACAATTTAAATCCTCCAAATTATTGGTAGTGTCTTCTCGGATCATCCAAATATTCTGGACTATCCAATGGACTATTTCCTAAAAAAATATAGCGAATCTACGATTCCCTTTTTCATACCTGTAGACCCATTTTGCATCCCATAATACTCTGGAGATGCCGCCGGTCCTCCGAACTGAAATTTTGGACCCCAATAAGATCCCGATTTTTTCCTACCGAGTGGTCATAAGCCGTCCACGCAGGATATCCGCCATTATAGGGTGTAGCGATAAAATACCCGGTCGGTTCAGGGTATTGCTGCTTCAAAAATTATTTTAAACTTGAAATAGATTATTTCAATACCTGACAGTGTTGGGAAAATGATGGAGCTGATGGGTCCTCTAAAAATACCCTTGATGATCGTTGTATCTCGAAATCCATACGTGGATAAGTGTTCCAGGGTTGGACTTGTTGAGGCCAGTAGTGGTAGGGATTTGGAGGTAGTGATTGTTGATGTTGCGGAGGAGTAGCGCCTGAAACCAATAAATGTAATTGGGCTGTAGATACCTGGAGGTGGTGATGAAAATTTGTCCACAACTACTAATTGTGATGGTGCAAGCCCTGTTCCGTATGGAGGTGGCTCTGGCCCTGAATTAATGAGTAGAAAACCTTTAATAAATACTTTGAGACATCGCAAGATTGGCTTCAACCTCGGCAGCGGGTCTTGGTTGCTCGCGTTCCATGCTAAGGGATCCAAATCCGACTTGTGCTAGGTTTCTTTTCCTAAAGGGGAAATTAACGACTACGCAAAAAGCACACACCTTTGATCTGCCACACTCAGTCTGCTAAAGTCCCCACTTATCGTGTTTTCCTTAAAATGTCGCGGAGGAAAGGGGACAAACTCCAAGGTTCTAAGGGAATTTGTTCGATTCTGAATTGAACTGACACTATTGGACCAAAAAGCGGATCAATTTCGTTTTCTTCCATACAACAAGCAGGCCTGGCTCCCATCAGCCCTCCTTCGTTTCCGGAATTGTAAATGAGCTTCGAGCCCACCGGTTGCTCATCGATAATCTGCTGATTGAGGCCATAATTAACAACATTAATTACCTGTATAATGCGTTGAAATTGCGAAGGATAGCCCTGCAAGAAAAACGCCTTAAAGCCTTGGATCTCATGAACATTTCCGTTGCGAATTTCCAGCTTTTTCAACTTCCCGATGAGATCGATAGGCACTCGACCCCAATTGCTAAAAATTAGATGGTTTTCGAACCAATAAAACCCATTACCACCCAGCCGGACCAGCCGCATACGAAATATGCAAATGATCGATGCTCTTGTCATCAAAGCATATGCTCATTCCACCAAGTTTCGGGTTGGCTTTGCTAGATTTTCAAAGTATTCGGTCGAAAAGCTTACACTTACTTCCAGGCCTTTGCCATATCTTCATTTTTCTTGGTTGAACAAAGCGTTATGAACCTAGCAAAATACTTTAGTTATATGAAAGTAGAATTACTTGTCATTCCACAAATCCGTAATATCCTTCCCTTCCGTAACATCGCTCTTTCCCAATTTTCTACTTGAGTTATCGATCGCTTTTCCAGCGTGAGTAAGCCACTAAAAATAATCAATATCGCAATCGGTTATCCAGACCAACCTGTAACATGCTAAAATCAGTCTTGCTGATTTCATACCCAGCCAGCTCATTTGACGCGTTACTTACGAGATGTCCAAATTCCCGTATAATCTGTTGACTTGGTTTATTCTCGTTTTCAAAATCCTTACATAACGCTTTCCCTTCAACATTTCGAAGGTGAAGAGCTTTTCATTGGGTAATTCGATTGCCTTCAACCGCACCATTTCTCTGCGCATCGCCTTGATCCAGTGCCCAGGGGTTTGCCGATCTTAATTAGAAATTTTTCTAGTGCCTGGAACAACTTACCTCGATCCGTCAATGTCAATCGAAGTGGAAACTTCGCTTCCAGCTTTTTGGCTTCCTCCTTTTTTGGCGGCCTAAATACTTGTACGAGTTTTTTGGCCGTCCGCTTACCGTCCAAGTTCTCGGGCAAGCTTTATCCGTATATCCAGCCGTCTTGAAAATCAAAAGATCAAAAAGCATTCGCTTTATATTACGGTGTTCCCTGCCATCCAGTAAACGACACCATTTTGAGTTCTAAACCACTGATTTTTGTCTAAATCCTTATTTACCAGAGTAGCCGGGACGCCCTGGAACCATTTCAAGAGTTCACCATAATTCATTCCGTACTGCTCTGATGGTTGTTTGCTGTTTGCCGGATTTGGGAGTCGATCTCCAAAGTTTTTAATCATAATGCTCCACGCCGCTGTCAAGTAGTGATCGTCAAATTGTTTTGAAGTATTGGTGTGGATATGAAATGGATGAGATTCCACTGGTCCCTCGTAACGAAACTCTCTAGAAAGAAGTTTTTTTAATTTTTCTAATTATTGTGTTGTTGTTTAACACTTACCGTTGTTGCCCACAATTTAGCGATTGGAAAAATGTGGTGGCGCCCCGATTCGATACAACACCCCAGGCGGTTTGAATCCCAAACTCGACAGTGATGATAAAGTATTTCACAGTTCTCGACCCCGGCTGCTTTGAAGAAGGTATATGGACGCTCTATTTAAATAGACCTAACCAAGAAGTTATTACACCTACCAGATTGTCGAAATTGGTCTTGAATCGGGTCGCAGCACTGGATTTCGCCTTTAATGTAAAATATGTAGCGTTATCGGTAGGTATCAATTCGCATTGGTCTGTGGTTTCTGTGATTAGCTAAAATATTCGAGTTTGACAAAATATGTTCGAAATTACCGGACCACCGAGGCCTGGAGTCTGTGCATTTTTCATCCTAGCATACGCAGCTTCGGTCTAAACAGGCGATTATACCTTCAAAAGAGCAAAACCTACAAAAACTGTCCCGGCGGCGCCTTGTGGAAGTCTATCCGCCTGCTTCAGTTTAACGTGAAATTCCACCTGACCGAAGTTGCACTGATTAACTTTCGCCAGGTCGATTTGAAATTGGCCGAGCGCCAGGAATCTTTGTTACAAAAAAAATAGTATTGGAATTTCTCCAGCCAAAACCTGATCCGCATCTCAACACCCTTCTCTGTCTCTTGCTCGGTGCTCCTTTTCTTGTCGGGGAAATCGGCTTTCTGGAACCTTATTGTATTTTTCTTAAACTATCAACCTTATGGAAAAGCGGCTCCCGATCCACTTCAATGGTTGGGCTCAACTTCACAGGCCATTCGATTATTGCGGAGCTAAAAATCTTTCGAAAAATTAAAAATAGTCAAATACCCACCTCGGTACGATCTTCAGCGCTAAATCTGGGTAATGTGCCATTTGCATCAAAGCAATATGCAACAGCTTTTCATATCTAAATCGTCACGTTTTCCGCCAACGTCAAAACCTGAGCGCGACCCGGTCCGCTTCATCAGCTTGATCCAGGTATTCCTGGTTCCAATTAGCTTCTTTAGAATTTAAGAAGCAACCTTGCGGGGTGATTCGATTCAAGTTTTGAAGGCCTGAATACTTAGCCTTGCGTGTTTACAAATAATACCTACCAAGCACTTTCTTTTTCGAACGATCTATGTCTTCAAACATACGATAGAGATTATGCTGAAGAAAGGTCGAAGTTCTCCTGACCTCCATTTCTTCGTTGAAAGGAATAGACGGGAAAATAAAGGCATCCAGAGCGGCCATGGCTTGTCGCACATCATAGGTTGGTGTTGTTGCAAGGCCAACGTTCATTTTCTAGAAAAAGATACTTTTGGAGGTCAAAACAAAGTCTTGTAATGAAAAGTCGCCAGCAGCGGAATTTGACTCTAAATAAATATGGAGGTGCTGACGCATCGTTCCGCTAACGAGAGCTAGCCCGGCATCTGGTGATAAGATGTTTACGGATTGGTTTGTGGCTCGATGAAATGGGAATATTGCTTTGATTTCGAGTGAAGCTCGCGTTTTTATAACTTGGCGGGGCTGTGGGGAATATCAGTAGCTGATAATATCTTGTAGGCCAAAAGAGGTTTAGTGAATTATTAATATTAGCAATGTGAGGGAAGAATGTTTGGAAATCGGCTTACGCCCAAATCCGGGCCCATAAGATCTGTCTGACTCCCCCTTGATAACACGGGCATCTTTCTCCGCTAGCGTTTGGCATCTTAGATATAAAAACTTGCATTTTGAAAACTGTTTCTTTATGCCATGTTTCATAAAGAAACAAATTTATCGACAAAGATATATAAGTATCTAACAATGTATTTGCCACGCTCCCTTTAGAACTTTTGCGTGTAGGAGAGGTCTGCTCCGGGTAGGTCCGAACTAAAAGCGGCATTTTTCGAGAATTAGCACTACCTTGAGGTTGGGTGATTAGCGAACCATTCATCGATATCCATCAGTATTGTTCCTGAACCGAGGATGCTATTTTCAATCTGTTTTTTATTCCTTACCTTCCTCGTGAGGGGGTGCCTGACAATTCTGATAGACCATTTCTGGATATTGCTGTTGTTGGTTAGGGTTTTGCATTGGATAGTTTTGCATTTGAATCGGGGTTTGCTAAAAAGCCTGATCCAGTTCATCGCTTGGCTGTTACCACTGGCTGATGGTTGGGGTGCATCGGCATTTGTTGGCAGTTGACATACTGTTGCCTGCCACCCATCATGCACATTGGAACCTGAGAAAAATAAAATTAATTTGTGATTTAGACTTGGATCCCAGTCATATTTTGTCCATGTGGTTGAGTGAAGTCCATTGGCATTTGTTGTTGGTGCTACATTTATCAAATTCGGGATGAATTTTTTTTCGCCAACCTGCAGTGTAGGCATCTGTTGGTGCTGTGGATTTGACATGATGAATCGTTGATGGTACGGCTGTTGATTTTGTTGCTGCAGCGGCATAGCATGATTTGTCATATGTTGCTGGTTGGGATTTCCGTAATGTTCGTCGACATGACAACGTGTCAGTTGCTAAATTTGTGCTAGCTAAAAAGCGCTTGAGCTTTCTACCGGAATTCTTTGGAAGCTATCCACTCCTGTTAGCGGGGCTGTTACTGGTTGAATGGTGGCGACCTAATTAAGTAAAATTTTACGCTTAAACCTAAAAACCTGCGGAATGCTTTGTTGGGTCGCATTTTGGCATATGAATTGTCCTTGAAAGTTTTGACTGGTTTGGGGCAACGGAGCGCTTGTTTGTAAAAAAGCCTGCTCCACGTTTGGCAGGGGCATATTTTGTGTCATTTGGATTGGAGCGGAGTGCAGTGTCGTTTGGTTTTCCGGTGTCGATACCTATAGGTTCCGCATTATTATCCCTACACTTCTAAACCTGGGCAAAATGTTGTAACGGTTGTGGGGCTCGGAATTGAGGTAGTACTTCGTTTCTGGGCCGTTGCGATGAAGACGCTTCCATCTCCGACCCCTGATCAGCTTCCACTAAAATTTTTGTTTTGTTGATTTTTGCATCAACCTATAAATCGCCGTTCTCCGACCCTCGACTCAATCTCAGAAGCCTGCCTGACATTCCTTCTTGGATTTCCTGCTTCTCCGCTAAATTTCATTACTTATCATCAAGACCATAAAAAATTACATCGTATCATCGGCCAGTTGTAAGTCTCGAAGTTCAATTGTCACATCTATTTCGGTCATAGGTGGCGGTGCCTCAGGCATGTTATCATGCATTTGATACCTAAAGACAGGACCGTCTTCCGTCCATTCTCAGATCACTAACGCGAAGGGGCCATGGGCAGGATCAATGTCACCGGATTCCATCCAGAATTTAGGCCGACCTTTCATGACACCCTGCTCTTCCGGCCTATTCCCAGTGGAATAGATATTCTTGGAAGATAATTTATGTTCCGCCTATAAGAGTATGGGCAGTTCTGTCGCAAGTGAACCTTGATAATGTAATGAAAACAGGCTGGGTATCCCAGAAGGAAAAAGGCGCGTAGCCCTTCGACCGCTTGAATCCTCCCATTCGGGTCCAGTTCCATTTTTCGGTGTCCACCAATTGTCTCGATAGATATGCTGCCAGAGCACCTAAATACAATTTTTTTTTTGCTAAGCGAGGCAACGTACGATGGATACTCATTGCCAAGCGCCGAATAGGATATGTAGAGATGGTTGTTGGTCTTTCCATCGAAGCTGAGCATCAGCGCTCGATGGCCACGGTTACGAACACTGTAATAAAAAATGAATCAATTTTATGAAAAATACCTGTATTCTCTCATGTCTTGCCTGCAATGTTCATTAGAACGAAGCGTGATATACCTAAAATTGTTTGTTTTTAGGTAGTTGCCTCTTTTACCTCTCATTAAAGAGATCCGTGACCGGAAAGTATTGGACTGTCGGATGGGTACGGTCCCGTCCCAGCTTCCCAGTTGAATTGTCGATTGCTTCACTTACGTTGATCAGCCACTTAATTCGCCCATTTTTAATATTAACATCAACACTGTTTACTTCGATTAACGAAAAGCCTCCCGGCATAATCTCCAGCACATTAATCGTACTTTGGGGTGTCCTCCTATTTTTCAGATGATCATAGCTTCCAATAACCTAAAAGGAAGTTATAGCTCGACTCGTTCTACATGGCATTTTGTTTCCAAAAGTTCTTGTTGGATCCCTTCAGCGTCGGCTAGCTCTGCAAAATCGACGTTTGCCGTTGCATCAAGCATCGATTTGATCCAATAGCGTTGGTTTTTGTCGTCTAAAAAGTCTTTATTTTTTGGAAATAACAAAATACTAATGCTACGAAGTGACGCCTCCGGACAACAATCTTGCGCCTTTTGCTTACACCTGGCCTGCGACTCCTTGATCTTTTCTCGTTCTTTAGTCGAAGCCTACAAAGCCGGGCTTACTTTAAATATTCTTAACACCGTATGATGCAATTTCTTCCAGTCACATAGAAGTCCATTCGTTTTATTGTAGCCAACAGTATCGCAAAGAAATTTCTCGCGCAGCATTCGCTCGATATGTTGCATTTCAAGTTTATCAAGCTTTCGGCACCATTTCGAATTCTGTAATGCCTAGGAATGCGAGTGGGTTGCAAAATTACCAAAGCAGCCGGCAAACCAACCAGCCAACGTGAGAGGAGGTTGTAGCTGATTTTGTTCGAATTAGAAAAATCTTGTAAAATCTTCCAGGCAACTTTTAGATATTGCTGATTGAACTGTTTTGCATTATTAGTCTGGACAAGGAAAGGATGCGATTGCTCGTGTCCAATCACTCGATGCGTCGTGCTGAAATTGTTTTATTGTTTGGTACGCAGACGAGCTTGCCTATTATCGACCATCGTACAAAATTTAAGATGCAAAGGCGTTTGGCTTTTCATTATGATGAATCCCGGCAAGCGCTGGTCTTTGCGATCTTTGAATTGTATCGCATATTCCGTCGTGATAACCGAGTAATTGCTGCCACGATCGTTATCGTCTGGCACGTGGACTCTCTTGAATTACGTTTCTTGCATAAGCTCTCGAAAACGTACCAACTTTGGAAATTTTCCCATAATTCCAGCTTCGATGCGATTCGTAGGACCATCCTCGGCTATCGCTGCGAGGACGGTGGTGCGAATCGCATTTTTATCGGTTCTGGGCCTGTCTTCTGGCAAATAGGTGACGGTGGCGTATTTTTCATGTTTAGGCTAGAGTTCATATTGTAAATTCGTGCTTATACAACGTACGTAGATATGACCAATGTGCGTATCGGGGTCATCTGTTCGGCGGATCTGATAGTGAAATTCTATTTGGTATATCCTCCGGCCTTCCGGGCCACCATGGAGTTTTCCAAGAGCCAGGAACCTGAAATGATGAAAGTTGTCTATTTGCGAGTTGTTGTTTACCTTGAAACCATTACAATATCAGAATCCAGTAGTTTTTCTATTCGTTTGGCCGGATGAGGATGGTTCTAAACTTGGTATACGAGTTCAGAAAAACTATTCGGATACCTCATGAAACAGTGGCGCGCGATCGGTGTGGATTGTTTGATTGTTATGAGAACCCAGACATAGCGGCCATTCTTCTACAAAAGACCTGAAATCAGAATAGGTTTATACTTTGAATTTCTAATACTCAATGATAACTTTATTCGAGAATAAAGTGCGCGGATCCAAATATTGCTGCGCTTCTTCATGGATATAGGCGATGTGGTAGAGCTTTTCGAATCTAAATTTTGTTGATCTCTAGAATTATCCATGCATACCTGGAGCTCACTAGCAATGCCTCGTTAGTATCTTCAATATGGTTTGGGTCACCGACACTGATGTAAGTTCCCTGTGGACTAATTCGACCCAGGTTTTGACGAGCTGAAAGGAGATCTAGCCTTAACCCATTATGACATACCTCGAATCGATTGTTTCTGAGTTTTCAGGTCGTTGAGCGCCTCCTCCATGACACCCCGAGAGAAACGAGCTAATTTTTGGGCTTCCCGGGTGTGGTTAAGGGTTCTAAGTTCGGTTGGCAATTCAAAAGCATCGAGTTCTGCCATGATCGTGGCAATTTGTGGTTGGTGCATGATTGGGTCCATTTTCTGAAGGGGTGGCGACTTAATTAAGATAAAAGGACTTAGGCAATAGTTAAAAATTGGTAATGCCGGCAACTCTGAAGCTTTTCTCTGGGGCGCCGTGCGTAAATTCGGGCGATAATGGGCCGGGTGGCACTTGGATGCTTGATAAGACTTGGAAAACTCGGTTCGGGGAACCGGCAAATGTTAATGTGATGAGTTGAATTTTCAGGAATCTTCAGTGTTTTTGGCGTGGATTGCACATTCGACATAAAAATAACACTTTATTGACATTTCCACTTTGGATGATTACCTAAATCAGATCAAAAAGACGATAACCGGGAAACGATACAAACAGTTTTTCGGAAGCAACTAGTTTTGGCCCTTGGAAGATATGTGGCAAAGAATAAAGCTGCACACAAGAAATACAGGAATTCATGGAGTGATTAAGCTCATCGGGGGTTGACTGGACTGGCCTGGTAGACTAGGTATAATGGCCCATGGGGAGGGTATTTTGCACAGGTACAGTATCAAGAAAGAAAGCTTTCAAATCGTTGGCAGACCCGGAAAGAGGTGGGAAAACATCAAAGCTCTAATCAGCGAAAATTCGCATGCAAAGTGTGGCTCGGCAAGTTGTGCCAAAAATCGTGAGGCATATTTTATAGGTTTGGTTTTGAGAGCACGGCAAACAAATCGTTGGTAATGGAAAACTTGGAATGACTATGGGTGGGGCAAGCGAAAGAGTGTTGGAATGGAAGGGAAGTACAACCGGAAAAGTAAAAAAGTCTCAAATAATGCTGAACAGATTATGTAGAAGTCATGCTAGCGAACCTCGGCGCCATATTTTCCGCTTCTCGGCGTGAAGGAGCTGGTTCGTTGGACATTTCTAAAAATTACGGATTTAGGTACATAATTATAAAAGGCGCGATAAACTTAGGAGGGCAAAATTTGTGAGCCGGCCATTCGGATGCGAACCCGAGATGTTAATTTTTAGGATAGCCACACTATTTTACTAGATAATAAAAACCAAAAAATCTGATCTGGAAATAGGAACCTATCGGTGATGGTGGTGGTTGGGGATATTGAGGGGAAGGGTGGAAGAAGCCGGGTGGAAGGAAGGGATGAAGGGTATAACGGAAATATCGCGTGTGGGGGTTTTGGTGAATTGAGTCCGCACTACACCCGACGACGGCCGCAGCACAGAAACCATTGTGCTAGTAGTCTGAATTTGTCATATGTTAATTGACATTCGAAATTGGGAGAAGTTCAGAAAGAAGTCTACATCGAAATCGATACCTTGATGCTTAGTAAGTTTTACATAGAAGTTCTGCGTCAAAATTAATACTTCTTGGTTTTTAATTTTGACGTAAATACATACAGTGCAGCCGAGAATCGCTAGGTGCATGTTAGCAGCTAATTCTAGGATGTATTTAGCAAAGGGTGTGCATGCAACAACTTAGATAGTGCTGGGGGTAGCGGTTAGGGTATGCAGCCCATATATGGATATGGCTTTGACAATATCGTTGTGGAAGCCCGCTACCTACCCGAGGGGGGTGCTGAGGAATTGGCGGTCGAGGGAGGAGCACCTCCATACTCTATACAGCATATATCTATTGGAGATAGAGAATTTTAGAAGGCAAGTTTTAGCTATGAAGTGTTGGGTGAATGATGCTGGACCGGACGACTAACTATTAGAGGTTGAGCGAGAGTGAGAGAGGCGGAGAAGTAAAAAATTCGGAAAAGGTTTGGCAGCTAAAGGTATGCAGCCGTTTTCTAGATGTTTTTGCGAGTAGAGAAGAGAAGAAGTATCCAGACAATTTTCTAATACCTGTGAGCAGAGAGTGCATTTGTAGCCGGCGTTGGGGCGGGCATAGAGGCAGTCATGGATTGAGTATGGTTATGGTTATGGACACTGTATTGCTCTTCATAATTGTCAGCGCCGCGGGTAGCGCCGGATAGTGGGCAGGTGCCTAAAAATCAACTTTATAAAGCTAAAACTTTGTAGATACCATTTGTCAAATCTGCCAAGTGGTCCGAATACTTGTCGACGTGGATGGCACCTCTACGTTTTCCACCCGAGACTGAGACAACTCTTGTTGGATCCATTCCGGCAGTTGTGTAGACCGATACATCCTAAATTTGGAATTAAGGCATTTTAGATACCCCCTCACCTTTGAACTACCGTACGCCGCATGGACCTTGATCCCAGTGTCGATCAAATGCCGCAGATGCGAGGTTTTGGCCGGAAATGAAGGGTTGCCAGTCTGGGTAATGAGATACTTACTTTGAGAGGGTCTGTCGAGAAGGATGGAGTGAAAAATAGAAGGGCATGCGGAAAGTTGTGTTGTGCTAGCCAGGCGGAGACGACTCGTTGTTGCATATCGGGACGGGCGGTGACGTAGACGATGAGAAAGCCCTGGAAAAAATTAAAACCTTGTGGGTTTCCACTATGCCTACCTGATCATGCCAATATCTTACGACATCAACAGCTCCAGGTCGAACACGTGGATCTTTGCCGGTTACCGATACAGATGCCGTTAATGACCTAAATTCACTTTTATAAATTTTATAGAGCTCATAACATACCCATCGATCGAAAATACAACTATCCGGGTCTCTGGAGGGACAACCGCAAGGTAGACATCCAAGTAAGAATGATCCCCGTGTACGACCTAGTTTCATTTCCGCACTTTTGGACTCAAAATTCAAATTTACCATTTTTATACTGTGAATCCCGCACGGCAAAGTGTCACCCAAAGACACGTGAAGCCGACCATGTGAGTCCGTTTCATGGACAGAATGTTCGAACCAATCGCCACTAAAAATTAATTAGGATCCGAGCAATTTTATGCAAATTACCGGCTTGGGCAGACAAATACGCTGACGGTTTCTCGCGTCAAGGCAACCAGATCCATGGGACCGTAGCAAAACCTGGCCAACACGGATTGTTCAGCCCCGGAAACAACAAGCACATCGTTTGCTCGATGGTTTGGCGACAAGTTTGTGATCTGAAATTGATATTGGAATTATTCCCGTCTTTCTATTGCTTAGTTTACACCGTATACCCAATCTACAAATTTTGCCGAAAATGAGAGGCGTGAATTTAATTTTGATGCAAATTCAGAGATCCGCAAAATCTTGCAAAAGCCTTAAAAAAAGCTTTTCACGCACAACAATCTTTATATAGATTTAATGGCTAACAATTGGATAGCGCATAATCAAATGCGAAGTAACACCAGGTAAAGCGAGAGTTACCTTCCGGCCCGCCAGCCCGAAACAACACTTGTGCTAAATTAATGGGCAACCGTGCATTTTTCAGGCAACAGATCTTTGAAAAAGTTGCGATAAAATTACCTTAAACCTCGTTCTCCGCTTTTTCCACTGCATCGGGGGTAGGTCAACTTTTAGAGGGGCGGATTGGAGGGTTGACGAAAGGGTGGATAGTACAGCGCTGTCTTCTCCTCGGACGAACTGGAATTGTTTTCAATTTCCGGGAAATTTTGGCTAGCTTACCTGTCGAATTATAAATGCTCCAACATCGCAACTTTCCCAATAGGAAGCGTGAAGGATGTTTGGAAGGGCTGTAGAGGGTAGGGCTACCATCGCTGAAAAGTATCGTTCATGCCCATATGCGGTTAAGGTACCATTTGGGCAGTATAAAACGTGATCCATTCGTTTACTACCCCAAAGAGTAGTAATATCGACTGAAGAATCGTAGCGTAGCGATTTACCATCGCCAAGTGGATATCGTTGGTATCTAGATTTTTAAATGAATTCTATTTTCTTAGTCTTCATCCAGATTTAAAGTTTTATAATGGTTTAAACTTTTATACCTCGGAATATTAGCCGCAGGAAGTATGCTCAAATGTTGATTCAAAACCGGCTCCAATCGAGCCCCGCAAGGATCCAGAGAATAGTAAAGGTTGTACACTTGAATGCTCTCAACGATCTCGATTTCTAAATTACCCTAATTTGCATAAAACTATATTGCCATACCTTTTCCAGCCAATTTTCGTTGCATAATTGACAGCCCCAGTGGACTACCCAATAAGAAAGCGGTTGATGGTTGAAAGGAAAGCCTCGCCAGCAACTAAATCAAAAATAATTCATGTTTTCATGCTGAAGATACTTTAGTAAGACACGGGTTTTACATTAACTCATCGCTCTTTTAAACTTTCAATGGCACACCCAAAACTTGAAAGGAATTAAGCACTTCTTTGCAATAGCTTGAAAATGGAAAGCCAGCAAAAGCACAAAAAGCAACAATTATCAAAAACGCGCCAAACCCAAGCGGATCGGAAAAACGGCAAAAAGCACTCCTGCAATCGGATAACGCAAGTAAATAAGTTAGGTAAATAAAAAGGGGTAACAGAACGTATCAAAATTAATTAAAAAAAATTAAAGATTGGGTAAACTAAATGAAATCGAGGTTAGGGTGGTAATTTGAATTTTGTGTGTCTGGCGACGAACGATATTTTGTGTTTAGCTAGTTTTTGGTGTACTAAACATTTTGGTTTTTTTTGCGTTAAACGATTAGCTGGATGTGCTAGTGAACTCGTTGAACTTTCTGTAGTGGCACTCACTCCAGGACATGAGCTCTCCACACTCATCTTCTTTCGAATCAGACTCCCAGGTCGCGGTCTCGGGTGGACGGATACGGTAACGGTGGGCCCAGCCGAGTGTGGCGGCTCGGGAGCAGCAGCTAGCGTGTCGGTGAGACCGAACGTGAAGTCGGCCAGCGACCAGCCGGAAATCTGGAGGGAAGCCGGACTAGAGGAGAAAAAGACAAGGGCTCAACATGCATCAAACCCCATCACCAACCCCGGAAGGCTCTTTTAGTCTTTAAGAATTCAAACGATCCGAAAAATGAAAGTTCTTGCTCTTTCAAACGAGCCGAAACCCGAAACCCATGCCAAAACAAGTCTTAGGAGCATTTTTTGGACGGGACAATTTTGTGGCAAAGATGCAGCGATAGAAGAAAGTGGAAATACGATAGAAGATTCAAGAAACACCTTTCGAGGTGGTCGCTCTCTGCTGCAATCTCTTGATCGGTCCGTCTTCACTTCTTTCTCTCTTTCCTTTTCCTTCTCTTTCTCCCTCTCCTTTTCTAATGCCTTCTCATTCTCACGAGCCTCTTCTTCTTCAATAGGTTCTCGGGAATGGGGTCTTCCGGTAGATGGGGTTCTGCCTATTCTTGACCTAAAGGAAGTTGGCAAGGTTGAAGGTTGTCATACCCAGCTCGAGAGAAGGGTTGTTGTGGTGTTTCTTCACGCTTGTAAGACAGAAGTTCATAGAGCAAGAGCCCTCCGATAGCATCTCCAACGCAGAACACTTCACCATTGAAACCGGGTTGTGAGTCGATGAATTCGTTATAGACTTCATTGGCTCGTCGGATCGTGCCTTCCACGGCTTCGGTGAAGATGGCTGGGGCCTAGACAAATAAATATAGAATTGTTAAGATAGGATACCTGCGACAAAATAAGTGATAGTGATGGGTGGAGAACTCCAAAAGAAGGAGCAACAGCCGATAACCTTGCTGCAGTCGCTGCTAGTTCACCACCACAAGACACAAGGAGTACATGAACACGATCTCGAAGTTGTGGATAGTGACGGGTGATTAGGGTATCGAGGGTTTGCCTAGAATTTAAGGCATTATTATACCTTTAAAAACAAGGTACTTACCTAAAGGTATTCGTGTCCGTTGCCTTGGTCTCGTGTCCATGCTCCGGAGTGAAATCCCCATGAAACACCAATATCAACAACGCCGCATTTTCTCCCTTTGTAAAAGGAGTCAAGGGTGGCGATTCGTCTTCGTGGTTGGATACTTCTAAAGATGAATGAGATGCTAATTAATAGGTATTTTCTTACCATTCAACAACAATTCACTGCTCCACCGGATTATACTAGGCTTATGTGTATGCGGGGGTGATTTGTCTGTACAATCGAAGTATTCTTCGTCCGAAGAAGCTGCACTGTCCTCCCCGTCGACGATTTCATCCTCCGGCCTATTTTTGCAATTATTTCTAGGTTTTCGGCTTACTTTGGTGCCATCACTTCACTCAAATGCAAAGCCAGCTCTGCTTCAAGTTTTCGGATGTCCTCGATATCCAGACCGTACCTGAAAATTGTTTTTACAAATTTATATATTTTACCATTCGTCTTGCCATGCCCAGGCTTGCCGATGCGCCCTCATCATTGTATTTCTCAATGCAAGATCGTGAATCCAGCGTTCTGCTCTTGTCTGGAAGGAATAATTTATATTTTCAAAGATCTAAATTTTACCTGCATTCCCCAATATCGAAATTCAACTTTACATAATTTATATGCACACATAATCGGCTTTTTGTTCCGAATACATTCTTCAGCCTGAAATTTAAATCTTTAGATGATTTTTTAGTTTTTTAAATACCCAATCATCATTCAGAGGCCCGCGACCCGTTTTCTGACTGCGATATATCTTCGGGTCCTCCTCCTGACAATAATCATGGCTACTGTAAGGGTCCTTGACGAAATTCATGACATCAACGATTCGATTCCTCAGCTCGTCCTTCTCGAGGTGAAAGACGTTTTCGGCTTTGCCGGCATCGTTCCTATAGACGGTTTCCACTTCTATCGAGAATCGTTCCATCATCGGGGAGGAGTACCTAAAATTTAGATAAAATTTTTTGTTAATTTTTGTACCTAGTTTTAGTGTATGGGTATGCATTCCAGGCTTCTTCATGGGCTTCGAGGGCTGATGTTGGGAGGACACTACGAATCCATACTGAAAATTAAGCTATGAGTTTTGTTTTTGAATTTTTATAATTTTTCGCTCTGGTTTACCCAGATTTTAGTCCTAAATTCAGGTCATGGCTTTTATTTTTCGATCACTGTAACATTTTAAGCTTTAATCCGACTTACTTTGGTTCTCGCGTCCTTTTCCGAACCCAACATTTCAAACGTCACTTTAACTTTTGCGTTTTTCCATTTCTCCACTCTAGTACACCCAAACTTTAGTCCTTGGCCGGTCTCCAAAAATTTGCTAGGTGCAACCCACCCATTCAATAGGTTCAAAAAGATTTCCGTTTGCCTTCTACGCGGTCAGAACGTCATAGTTTTGCGCTATTTACCCACCTAGTCTAGCAGTTGTGAATGTTGACCCTACGCCATCTCCCTATACACAATTGGGGCGCCCACGCGAAAAATTTTGCTTCCTTTCTATTTTTTGTCCGGCAAATCAGCCCGGGTGTCCTTTTTGTAAAACTGGCAATTTGGAGCAGGGAAGGCGATTCCCGTCGGTCACGCGGCCAGAGATAATATGAACGTTGTGTTGGGGGAAGAGGGAGCGATGCATGTGTATCTTCTCCACCTCCCTTTTTGGCCCCTTGCTCCGCACCAAATTAGCCAGTGGCCACAGCCAGCCGAGTGTGAGCATCGCGGAAAAGGGGAGGACGAGGAGGAGGCGGTGGGTTCTAAAAGAAGAAGGGAGGGCCCAAACAAGCTCTTCTTGACTCCATTCCTCGCCCCTCAAAAAACACATTCTTCTGCCTGGGGGAGGTCTTTTTGTGTGGGTAGTGCTGGGTGGGAAATCACGTGGAAAATCTTTAAAGGGTTTGCTGGGGTTGGGAGAAGCTTTCAACAAGCTGCAAAAGCTAAAAAGGGCAAAATGCTAATGGGGCTTAGTTTTAAAGGGACTAGTAAGCCAAGATCCCACGATAACAGTACCCCTTCCGCCTTTAGTCATCGATTCCACCACTAATCCCATGTTTGCGATGAAATGTAAATGACCCGTTTTGCGGCCCCACATTTTTCATTTTCCGAGGGTTCATTTCCGGGGGCCCCGGCCGCATCCCGTGAGATTGATGGGATTTTGGAATGGGGCCCTATGCTCCCCATATAACCAATAATGGGGTGTACGGTAGATGAATTGACAAAATAATTGAATTCTACACGTCGCTCTACAGTAATCAAGCGAGATCAACTCTAATTACCAGGTATTTTGCTGCCGATATGGTAGATTTTATACGTGTACTGGCCGATGCCGCCCGGGCCGCTGTCGTACGGTCGGTTGGTGATGATCTCGACACCGCTCCCAGCTCCATGACTGTCCAGACGTGATTTTTTCTGAAATTCGGATCATTTGGTTGTTATCGTATACCTTTTTTTGCAATTTTTGAACTGCTATTCTTTGCCCCAGCTGGTAGGGCAGAGTTCCAGTTACCCGACCACCAGGGTTTCCCCACCCCGCTTTCCGGACGATTAAACGTCATTTATAGTCCCGTCCCTCGGTTGCCACATGTCTCTTATCTCTCCGCTCTTGCCAAAACTTTCCACCCCTTGTAGCCGCGTAAAATCAAAAGCTCGGGCAGCATGAGGGAAAGCGGGACCCCGGAAATTGTTTTGCGGTGCCCTCGGATCGGCAAGGCAAATTAGGGCGCCTAAATTGCGCGCCACGGCCGGTGGGTTGGCTGCGCAAATACATGTCACCCGGAATTTGGGGTGATGCCTATGGGGGAATTGGCGGGGAAACTTTTGTTTAGGGGTGTTAATTGGGTTTAAGGGAAATTTGCTGGGCTTTGGGACGCACAGAAATTTTTGAGACATCCAACTTCATATTTGAGCTATTTTTCGAACCGTAAAGCGGTTAATTTAGAGTATAAGATCGAATTTCACAGCATTAAACGCTAGAAAACTTTTGACACAGGATTCTAAATACCGTAGCAATTTTTTTAGTCCATTACGCGACCAAATTACGACATAAAAAATAATATAGGATTGAATATCTCGAAAAGCCAATTCCGCAATTAATATAACAAACACTTAATTCTTATTCCGGAAACTAAAAAAATTCCCCAGACATCTCCCCCAACATTCCCACCTATTATTCTAACCCATTCCACGACCAAATTAAGATAAGAAAGCCCCTTCCTTTACCCGGCACCCACATAAAATCCCCCCGATTATACGTGTTACTCAAATAAATCTGGAGCACGCGCACAAATAGAAAACGACCCCATCCCCGCGCCCCATTCTCCACCCAAAAACATCCATGCACCCTGCGCTAAACAACGACCAAAATGTACTTTTCACCCCGTCACAAAACCCTAGATCCCATCAGACAACGGATTAGGCCATTCGCTACCTAATCCCCCCATTTTTGTCGATCCAATGAGTCGATCCCGTCGTTCCAGATGAATCCAAAAAACCAACGGCAGGGAGGGGGCCAGCCGAAGCCTCCAATTTCAAGGTCGCGCTTCCCATTCGAATTATTTTTTTGGGTCTGGTCGTTTCGTTTGGTTCCCCCCATGAATGGCACGGCTTAGCAACTTGATAGCCCAATGTGACACGAGATTTTGTGGTTTCTGCCGGCAGCGGGGGGGGTCAGTGAGTGCACGTTGCATATAGAGGATGGATCTTTTTAGGGAGAAATATTTTTGAGACAGTCTGGGCTGGCGAATCGGAGGATGGGATCAACAACAACACACTCAGGGGTCGAGGAATACAGGGGAGCACGATTTCGAAAGGCGAGACGGACTGTCTGGGAATTGGAATGCAAGAAATTTGCCTGGAAAAGCTGGAATTTTGCTGCAGAAGAGCTAAAAGCTTTCTAGAATTACTTAAGGAATTTATTTGCAAGCAAATAATTTGCTGTGAAGGCTTATTCTATATAATTACCAATAAAACAAGAATGTATACAGATGTAAGAATTATTTAGAAAAGGAAAGACCGATTATTCTAAATTACAATAGAAAATGCTCGATTAATTAAAAACAAAAAGCTGACAAAAGTTGCTATTATACCTTTTTTGCACTCCCCGTATCTTGAAAGCAATTAAAAACTTCTATGAAACAAGAGAATATGTAAATTGGCGAATTCTAGAGAAAAAACGCTGCCGAAAAGCCTTAAATTGCTATAGAAAATGCTGAATGAATTTGAATAAACTCGGAAAGTTCATCAAAAAAACCTTTAGATCATAGTTTCCTTTCATTCCATATACCTTCGGAGCTTTTTGGATGAAAAATTACGTTACGTCAGCTGATCCCCCACTAATCACTCCCCCGGGACCCCCTAACAACCGATTACGACATGAAATTGCGCGGTACGGAGAGACGGCGAGACCAAATGAAGCATATTTCCATCCCAGACCCCCTCACCTGGATCATATAAAGCTGGGCGACGCGGTACTCCTCGACGGTGAGGGGCAGGAGGATGCGGTACTCCTTGATCAACATCCTCGATCACGGCACCACCAAGAAGACGTCGTGCCACATTTTTAATAGGAATTAAGAGATAGGGAACGTAGATTCAGAAGCCGATTCTGAGATTCTGGATTCTGATGTTGGGCTGGGGTTTTGGAGGGGTGGGTGGGAATGGCCGTGGCTACAGAAAGCGGCTGTGGGCTGGCCTTCTCCGCCGTGTCCACCTCTCCGCGCATCGATCTCCTGCCCCGCCCCCCTTCCTCCCCTCAAAAAGCCCGTTTGAATTGGCGGGCGGGGCCCTGAATGTTGGCTACATGCCCGCCTAACACTTTTCCCACGCTCGAACCAACCGCCCCCTTTTTGCCCTTATCCTACCTCCCATGGGGGAGTGTTAGGAAGGTTTTTTGTCGCCGCACCGGATTGGCATTACAATTCCGCGTCCAATTAACATTAGAACTACTTGATTTCTTTCTCGCTAAATCGCTGATTTGCCTTCCAATTTCACAATTAGCCCCTAGAGGTACAAAAGTGCATGGGGACTCTGGGATTTGGTGATGTAATGTTAATGTGCACGTGCACTAGTTAAATTGTTAAAAACGAAAAATCAAATACAAAATACGCTCGAAAACATCCAAATAAGTTATTTATTTTTTCACTAACTGTAGGAAGGTGTAATACGTATTTTGGTCTGATATTGGATGATGACGTACTTCAATTTTCCTTGAAATTGACATATTGCCGATTTTTTTCTTTTCTATACGACTACCAGCACGATGCTTAAGCATCTATAATTTGCAAAAATTCGTTATGCTAATGGTGCACTTTTGATGGCATTTTTGAGGTCAATTTGAATCGATTACCCTCCAGCCATTCCCGGTCTTTCGGGCAGATGTTCCAAAATTAGCTTGCACCCAAGTGTTCCTTAGCTTGCACTCATTTAAATTTATATACACTCTGAATCGAAATTTATGCTCATTTTAGATTTTCAGCAATGACAAATTAAATATAGTCTTCTTGATCTCAGGTACTCCCTATCGGATGGAAACCGCGGCGGCCGTTTCTGAGACCAGCGCCGGGCTGGTGGAAAATACCGTCAATGATCTGGATAAGTCAGTTTTAAATTTAGGAATTTACATATTCCAAAAACAAATGCATTTATTTACATTTTCAGGCAAATCCAAACATTGATGAACTGCGAAATCATATCTGAAGCTGAAGTCAAATCTCTGTGCGCAAAAGCCAAAGAAATTCTGATCCAAGAGGGAAATGTGCAAGTCATCGATAGTCCCGTTACGGTAGGAAGGAAAAATAAAATATTGAATGACATGTTTAGATTTGCGGTGATATCCATGGGCAATTCTACGATTTAATGGAGCTGTTTAAGGTTTGAAAATATTTTTAGATGGAAAAGAGTCTTTAGGTCGGCGGTCAGCTGCCATATACGAATTATTTATTCCTGGGCGATTTTGTGGATCGTGGTCATTATTCCGTGGAGACATTTTTGCTCCTGCTTGCTTTAAAGGTTAGTAAAATGTGCGAAGTTTTTTTTTTTTAAGGGTTCAGATATATTTTTTTAAAAATTTTAAAAAAAAAAATAAAATATAAATAATTTTTTTTTTTTATTATAAAAAAAAAAAAAGGGAAAAAAAAAAAAAAAAAAAAAATTAAAAAAAAAAAAAAAATAATTTTAAAAATTAAGGATGGGGGGGGGGGAAAAAAAAAAAAAAAAAAAAAAAACATCCCCCCAAAAAAAAAAAAAAAAAAAGAGAGGAAGGAGAAGGAAAAAAAAAAAAAAAAAAAAAAAAAAAATGTTAACACGTATTTCAGGTCCGATACCCCGATCGAATGATGCTAATTCGAGGGAACCACGAGAGTAGGCAAATCACACAGGTACGCATCTGGATTAATCTCGATCAATTTCAAACTAGGTCTATGGATTCTACGACGAATGCGTCAGAAAATACGGTAGTCCGACGGTCTGGAAGTGTTGTACTGATGTGTTTGATTGTCTGTCATTGTCGGCGGTCATTGCCGGAAAGGTTAGTGATTTTATAGCTCCCTTTCGACTTCGGGAGTATCGTCTGCCTTCGAAATCTCACAAATTGACATTTTTTCAGGTCTTCTGTGTTCATGGCGGTCTCTCACCCTCAATCCAAACTCTCGATGAAATTCGAGCTATCGAAAGAAAACAAGAAGTACCTCACGATGGTAATTTTCGAACGAAATAGCTTTATGCAAAATTAGGTGCTATGTGTGACCTCCTCTGGTCTGACCCTGAAGATGCAATGGGTTGGGGAATGAGCCCTCGAGGTGCTGGCTACCTCTTCGGATCCGACGTCGTCAAGATGTTCTGCGAAAATAATGGAGTTGATCTCATTTGCAGAGCACATCAATTGGTTATGGAGGGATATAAGGTAATCATAAAATCAAAGGATCGAATATAATTTCTATTTTTAGTGGCACTTTAATGAAACTGTCCTCACCGTCTGGTCAGCCCCCAACTACTGTTACCGCTGCGGTAACGTCGCAGCAATCCTGGAACTCGACGAAGACATCAACAAAGAATTCTCCATCTTCGAGGCCGCCCCGCAGGTGGGTAGTGTGAGTTTTCCGCTTTGGCTTGGTAAGCGCCAACTACACCGCTTTACTAAATACTCACCCCTCAATGTGAAAGATCAGAATTCATTCCGCAATTTCAGGAAAACCGTGGAGCCCCCGCGAAAAAGCCGTTGCCAGACTACTTCTTGTGATCAACCAAAAATTTCCACAACACAACAGAATCTCGAACGACCGCCAGTTCACCCCATCTCCAGTAGCAATACATCACAAACGTCATACCGTAATGCCTCTCTCCTTACCCCAGTGCGTTGCCTTCTAACTATCTATTCGACTAGGTTTGATTATTGTCCTTTGTTCGACGCGGGTCTTCAAATTGTCTTATTATCCTACGCGTGCTCAGCTTTAGCAATCACCTTATATATTTAAATTGCCGTCTTGTTGCGTTGCATTTCAATACGTGTCATTCGATTTTGGATAAAGCTGATGAGTCACTGTTGGTACTGCATGATAAGTACAGATGCACTAAAATTGCGGTCACGTCGCTTTGCGCTTTCTTAAAGGGATACCCAAGGTTTTGGCGGCAAATATATAGTTATGGATTCCGGGCAGTACAAATGACGCGCTAATTTTGTGCGGCAATGGCGGCCCATTGCCGCACAGAATTCGGACACCTTTCCCTCTTGTGGCCTCCCCATCCCACCCAATGGCTTGCCACTATGGCCTAATGGATAGTGTCCAGGCCTACAAAACGGGGGTCCCGGGTTCGACCCCCCGCCCGCGGCATGGTTATTGCTTTTTGAGCTCCGAAAAGGTTGGGCATCCCTTTAATGTTAGCTTTTCAAGATTAACAAATTTATTGGGATTTTTGCAGTGAGATTAACAGTGAAGATCGAAAATTGAGCACAATTTGTTGAGCATTTTAAAGGGCACCCGGGGCTTAGAAAATCACAATTGGGACCAATCTCTTCATGGAGGAAGAGAAAAGAGACAAGAGGATTTTCTCGGATCCCTGGATCCCAATTAAAATTATCTACGGGAAGCATAACATAAAAAACAAATTGAGCAGATATACATAAAAGCTGTAAATGTTCGATTGGGTCTGCGACGTCGGTCTAGCGGCGCTTCTCCTGGTGGCACGCGTTAGCGGGGGCCGAAGAGGTGCGGCGGATGCGGCGGATGACTGGCATCACGGCACGAGCCTGAAAGTTGTGATATACCACATTTCCATATTTCCACTAATATAGCCGCAACGACACAACAAATTTTGCAGTAAAACTTACAACGCGTTCAGCGAACTCAGCAGCCCCATCGAACGCGTGGTGACGAGCGTGGTCCTAAAAATTCAAGTCTAAATTCCTGGCTTGTAGTCCTTGCAATAGCTTTGTGATGTAATAACCTTACCCCAATCTGCCCGCCAGCAACACGAACCACAAACTGCTCCTGGTCATCAGACTCGTTCTCCTAAAAATCTCACCTATTCAGTTGAGTGTATTTGATCACTACCTCCTCCGGCTCCTGCACCACCTCCACAGCAACCAGCGGCTCGTCAAAGCCATCAATGGCGTCCTAAAAATTTCAAAAAATTTCAAGCAGCTTATATAAAATACCTCGTTCTGCCCCTGGGCGTCCGCAACAACATTGCGCGGCCCGGTGTTGGGGACGTTGTTCTAAATAAAAAAATCCTAGTGAAACACCAAAGTCAAAAAGATTACCTCTCCAAGCTGGGGAGCAGAGATGTGGCGGTTGACCGGACGGGGGAAGTTGAAAACGACGCTGAGGTCGTGACACAGCTCCTGGTAGGTGCGAGGGAAGGAGCCAACCTTCCCGGTCTCCATTTTCTTCTTGTCAGACATTTCTCAGAAGGCTAGGCTGGTGATTGCTAAACTCTAAGATTGGATGGTTCGCCGAGAAACTTCAGAAAGGTAAAAAAAAAGAAAAAAGAAATGAAAATAACATGGTGACATACTGTAGCCCCAACCCGGAAGTGGATATTTCACGGGTCAGCTAATACGATACACAACTTCAAGGAAACTCCAACTCGCTATAGAAGTCAGAAGGTATGAAAGTATGAGTGGCACCCCGATGCCTGCCCTGGTAGGTGGACGATTTGGCGGGGAGGAAGCCCCTACTCATGGGGGTTTCAATGAAAAAGGCCCTCCCCCCGTTGCGAGTGTGTGGAGACGCGCAGGGCGCATGCCCATGCCTGGCAGGGGGCCAAAAGATTCTCGCCACCCAAACCGCAAAGACTAACAGGCCTGGAGAGAGGCCTCCAGATACCAAGGGGTTGATCCATGCGGAGCACGAGTCTAATGGCAACTGAATTTCTAAGAGGGTGTAATAGGCTTTTGCCAAAAGATTTGTACAAATCGGTATGCGTCCGGTTGGGATAAGCATCTGTCTCTCGAGCCCGAACCCACTCTTTGCTCACCATGGCCCCACGCGCAGCCTGTGCAAAAACAGCACCCAAAAAATGCTAGCCCTACATGCCCCTTGCTGAAAGACCAGCAGATGTGATATGGAAAAAATTTGCCCGGGCTTCAAATCCCCGAGTAAACTAGGGCAAGCCAAAGTTTAAACATGAGGCGAAAGGAGCGGCGGATGCCGCAAATGAGAATGGCATGGCTGACTTCGCGCTCGTATGGGCGGGCCTGATCAGGGCCCCGATTTCCCTGAATTGCCATGGGTCCATGCAGCTGGACGGTTCAAAGCCAGGCCGTTCGAAGAAAGGGCAATTAGCACAGTCATCGAAGACAGTACGCCTTTTATCTGATGTGGATCGGTCTGGGCTTCTTCTTACAAGGAGTCGCTTTTAGGTGCTTTTGGGGTTTTGGGAGGGGGCCAGGCAGGGTGGGGAAGGAAAAAAATTATAAAAAAATAATTAAAAAAAAAAAAGGTGGAAAAAAGAAAAAAATAAAAAAAAAAAAAAAAAAAAAAAAAATAATTTTCGGGGTTCGGGGGGGGTTGGGGTTTTGGGGGGGGGGGGGGGGGGGCGGCCACGGAGAAAAAGAGGGGGGGGGGCGGGGTTTTGGGGGGGGAAAGGGGGGGGGGGGGGGGGGAGGGAAGGAAAAATAATTTTCTGCTGGTGGGAGGTTTTTTTTTTGTTAACTCTTTGTTTTTTGCTAATTTTTTTTTAAAAAATGGTAAAAAATTAAGAAAAAAAAAAAAAAAAAAAAAAAAAAGGGAAAAGAAGAAAAACAAGGGAAAAAAAAAAGGGGGGAGCGCCCACGCGACCGAAGGCGGCGGGGGGGGGAGGGGGGGGGGGGGGGGGGGGGGGGGGCCCCCCCCCCCGGGAAAGGAGAGGACCGGGGGAAGGGGACGGGAAAAAAAAAAAAAAAGGGAAAAATAAAAAAAAAAAATATAAAAAAAAAAAAATAAAAAAAAACTTTTAAAAAAAGGGGGGGGCCGCAAAAAATCCGATCCAAATAAGTCCCATCCCGAAACCCAAAAGCACCTAAAAGCGACTCCTTCTTAGAGGACGCGCAAGGAAATGTGGCGGACCATATCGGGCGAACGATGGGGGGAGAAGTTGAGGGTTGTGGGAAGTTTAGCGCTGCGATAATTGTGCGAGTGAGTAGCCCATTAATCGCGTGGAACGTTTGGATCATAAGACAAGCCATTGGCGGCTCCCCAATCCAAACTTACCGCCCCACCCCCCCCGCTTCCCCCAAAATGATCGACGGCCCTAATAGACCATATGCGCGCCTCTGGGGAGTCCGGCCAAAACTGTTTTTCGCAGATTGGGGATGCTAATTTTAGGCCTAAAGTTTGCAGATGCTGTCTCATCGCTAGACTCTGCTTTGGCGCGTTTTTTTCCTAGGAAGGCGGGAAGGTCAGAAAGCTCTCAGTTCGCGAGTTGGGTATGTTACTCTGCAAAATTCAGCCGCTATAAGGATACCCGACGTCTTTAACCAACAGCCAAAGCGGCATAATCCAATTTTTGCAAGTAAAGCAAATAACAGCAAAAACCATGTCTCTTTTCGCGGGATCAAGAGTGGAATGAGCGTGACGGTTTGCGAAGAATGGGGCGGGGTCGACCACCGCCCAGTTTATGGCTTTCGCGCTCCCCCACTGGCACCGTACCCCGAGTTGTGCGTGTGGCTTTCTTTGTTTGAGCATTTCAAGATTTGTCAAACGATTACCCTACAGCTGCGAAGTGCATTTCAACAAAATTTATTCGCCGGAACATGGCAAAAGGCAAAAGCGGAAAATATATGCGCTAGCGAAACCCGCTTGATAAGAGAAATGGAACTACGTTTGTAAGAAGTACATTAGACAATTAGAGGTAGGATAAACAAATGGCTCAGTTACTTCTGTTTACTGTTGCGGAAAGCACCACGAGGCCGGACGCTTCATCCCGATCCTCAGATTGACGAGCCCGGAAGACAGCTGCTCATTCAGGGCCGCTTGTTCCTGATCCTTGGTCGCCATCCGGAACGCGATGGCGGCATCCAGCCTCTTGATCAATTCTACAAAGCATTCACTCGTCGTTTTAGTTATTTATACCGCGGGTTCCATGTTTGGCTTCTCGCAGCATGTCCTCCCAATGATACTCATTCGCATACAAACTGATAAAATCGTCCAACTCGCAAAGCGTCTCCCTCAGATATGCCTCGGCTTTTTCGCGCATGTCCTTAAAAATAAATTACAAAATTAGCGAGTGTCAGGTACCTTGAGGGCCATGATCGAGATGCGGGCGTTTGGATGCCCAGCGATGTTCTCAACATCGTAAAAAGCCTCCTCATTCCGCAGGACTTCATCGAGATTCTTGGAAATGTAGTGCCAAGCATCTCTTGCTTGCACAAGGGCTTCCTCCGCAGTCATTTCCATCCGATACTTGAATCAGAATAACTAAACGGAAATGGAAGATCGGCAAAGCTCAAGAAGGCCAAAGCAAAAGGTTGAGAATGATTGACCGCGGGTGATCGGAAGCCGAGCGACTCGCTCAAATCTACATACCCTGTGCCCTCTTCTCAATTCGTGTTCTTTTTGGAAAAGGAGGTACCCGAGCCCTACTGGGAATCAAAATCAATGTCCCATTGGCGATGCCAGGGGAAAGCCTGGGGTCCCCAATGAGGTATCGATCTCGCAACGGATCGGATTGGTTTTATCGAATAAATCAAGAGGCTCAAGAATATAATCAAGCTACGAGCTTGGAGCCTGCAATCAAAAAAGTTTGGATGGTATTTGCCAGAAAAATTAGGCGCTAAAGGGTAGAGGGTGGGTGTGGGGGGGATGTGAATCATGTTGTGGGCATCCACCCTCCCCACCATCGAGTCGCACTCAGCACCGGGCCTCTCGTAGGCAAAAAATGATGGTCTGCCGGAATAGGCACACATGCCCTACCCCATGAAGGGTCACAGGGTTAAGGGCAAAGTTTGGGCGTTTCGTGAGTCCCTGAAAGATTCCTGCGCCGGTCGAAACTTGCGAACTAATGGGTGGCAGTACGGTTCGGGGAGGTGATAAGACCCTCCTTAATGCCTTAATGCAGCGATACCCAAAAATGAACGCCTCGGGTCAACTAAAGCGTCGATAGTTGCCACGCGTCGGTTCGTGATCCCGACGGACGCCGGGCCATCTTTCCCTAGCCCCTTAATGCCCAGAAGCACCGCTCCGCCAGGATAGTTGCCAGTTTCCTTTTCTCTCAGACCGCTCCTGTGAGGGGTGTTTATTTCTTCCAATGCATTTTAAATTACATGACCACTTTATTTATTTTTCCACATTACTCATGATTTGTGGCATAGTCTATCTTTTATTACGCGTCCGCATAGCTTCGACGAATCTCCCCATGGGTATTCTGATTGATATGAGGGAAGCCGAGGTTTTTCAATGCTTTATGGCAGGAAGGGCTAGAAGAGAAGAGGGTGCCTTATCTGAACAAAGGGCTGCGTAGGGTCCGAGCAGCGGCTACTGTATTTTCATTAACACCGTGGTTTCTAAGGCTTCTGACCTGCTGTGCTAGCGGAACACAGTCCTTGTTTTTCGGACACTTTCCATCTTCTTCAATATTCTGGATCTGCTCCTTTCCCGCAAAAAGACTACAAACACCGTCCTGATTTGTATTCTAAATGCTTGAGCAACAAAAGTGCAACGCGGTCAACATTGGGCCTATAAAAGGGGATGCAAGATGGGGACTTGCAGTGAAATTTCTTCACTTTTACTGTGCGCCCCCTACTTGAACTCATTTTATCTCAAGAATGAATCGTGAACACCACGGCAGCCAAATCGAACACCGAGACCCGCAAAGGCGTTTTGTCGATGATGTAAGAAAATCAGAAGGCCTTTTAGCAATTTTTTAGGATATGGAGATCCCACGTTTCCATCAGTTTTCGGCAGCTGGGGACCACAAGGATATGGTCTGTTTAAAAAGTGTAGAAATTATTGGGTCTCTAGTTTGTCATGGAGGAGCGTGGAAATCGACATGCGGTTGAAGATCGTCATGATCAGCGTGGTCAGGATATAAATGACCGTGACCGTCATCGCTATGATTAGGTTAATTAATTGTAGTGGCGGATCGACCACGAATTTTTTTTACAGTATCCTGTCGTCAGCTGTCCGTCGTCCTTTTCCTAATTACTGTGCATGATAATGTTTTTGCGATATCTGACGTTGTAATATCCCGATTTTAAAACGCCATGTTTATTATAAAACTCCTTTAATCAATCGGGAAACATTTGGCAGCCTAAAGGGTCAAATTTACAATCGGATAGCGGGGGTTGAATATAGTCGAACGATATAAACACAATCTGTATGAGCAACTGGACGGGGAAATGAGCTGTTGCGGGGCTTCAGGGGTTTAGAATTTTCTTTGCTGTTGCGAAAACATCGTGGGGGTCGTTTTGAAAAGCGGCGAAGGGGAGGGGGTAACTAAAGAAAGCGCAAAATGTTATAAAATACAGGCAGTATTTCTGGGGGTAATGAGTGGCACTACAATTCTAACAACGCTAAACAAGAGCAATATTTGGGGGGATCGACAAAATAAGCACCAGAGGGCAATTTTAAGGGTGGGGGGATAAATGGCGAAACTCTTGACTGTAAGGGGGGGGGGGGGGATTTTTTTGGGGGGTTCACCGATTTTCATTGTTCAATCTGGGGTTCGTGCTGTTGTTGGTGTTGTTGGTGTGGCTTAGCGTCTGCGGTCGGTCTCTTGTTCCCTTTTGTAGCTGTATTCCTGGGTGGCCTCGCTAAATAAATATATTTGTACTTTGAAAATGAAGAGGTTCTTACTTGAAATCGACGGGCACACCATGGCTGTTGACACGACGGCCAGCATTCGAGCGGTTGTCTTTGTGATAGGTCTCATAGCCACCAGGAATCTAAAGTGTCTGATATTGATCGATATCTATTAGTGTGCCGATCTAAGCATTATTTCGACGCACCTGCTCAGTGCGATGATCTCTCTCGTGCATGTTGCCAGTTGGCATCGGCATCAGCAGCGAGTCGCGGAATTCGTCCTCCAGACGCGAGATGTCATCATCACGTCTAAATTGAAATCATTATTCGAACAACTGGTTTTTAATCTATATAAATATATTCACGACATGCTCTTCAGTCAATGGTAGATATTCCAAATGCGCCAGGGACAAAAATATAAAATTGGGAACCAAAGCAAATAGCCATGCGATTTTCAAAAAACGAAATGTCAGATAGACTGGAACGTTTCAAAAATAAATAAACTCTACCGCCTCGATACGGCCCAATCCTCGTGACGCCCTCCGTGACGCCATCCAGCCCGGCCCTGATCGTCCCAATCCGCGAAAGAGCGAGCCTTGTGCATCGGACGGAAGTCGTCATCACGTCTAGATACAAGCAACACGTCAATTGCCATGCAAAATCAGGGAAATCAATTCTATACTCTCTAGGATTGCCACACCATGCTGGAGAATTTTTAAATACAAACCCTCGCCTTGGGAGCGTCGGTGGGAACTCGACGAATGGTTGCTGGGTTCCCTGACTGCCGCGACGACCATGGCTGGCCATCGAGTGACGATCGAAGGCCGATTGAGCAGCGCCGCGCTCGTCGAAGACGTCGCCTAGATCAAAATACAACTAGCTATATTTGTACTTACGCGTAGAGTAGCTCTTGTGCACCGAGTGGCCGCTGCGACCGCCGTCACGGTAGTGCGACTCGCGCACCTCACCGTTTGGCACGTACTTCAGCTCACCACGACGCAGCGAATCGCTCAACGACCCGTAGCGGGCGTGAGCGATTCCATTACCAAAAAAACGATCGTCCTCGTGTCCGCCGCGCTAGAAAGGAATTTTATAATAATAGAAAATTTTACCTGGTTAGAGTTATCACGTCTGGTGGTCGTCTGACGGAAATAGCTCTCGTTTGAAGGCAAATAACCAGCATGACCACCACCGCCATGACGAGACAGAGATGAGCTGCGCCATTGTCCTAGAAAGTTGGTACCTAGATAGTAAAAAGATTGCACATAAAGCTTGACATGCAGGCCTATTACGTGCAAAGCAAACAAACTAGACGCTTGATTGGCTTCGTTGATCATCGAGTACGCGTCCTTCATATAGCGCTGCAACTCTTCTTTCGTTAATGCTCGTCGTTCATAGATTATCGTCGGCTCCTTCGCCACGCCAATATCCACTTGGGCGGATGCGTCGTTTCGTTTCCTCTTCTCCTCGTGCTTCGTCCATTCGTCCATCTCAATTCTTCTCCTTTCTTGCTCCTCCCTCTCCCAGGCTTCCCTCTCTCTTAACTCCCGCTCCTCAATTTCCTTTCTGATACGATATTCTTCATCTGAATCTAAAGTGGACGGACATGCTGGACGTTACATGGGACAAGCGACGTGCAACATGCAGCGATAGTGTGGTGTTGCTTACCTCCATGTTGGCCACCCTCTCTCCACTCCTCACGTCGGGAGCTGGAGTGGTGACGGGAGCGACGGTCTTTCCGCTCTTTCCTCTGCACACGACGCTCGACTTCCTCAGTGCGACGGGTCTGCTCGAAGCGCTGCACGGTCTCGGTCTTGACTGGCTGAAAAATACGACAACTCGATGTCTTCCAATAGAGTGCTTACACGACGGATGACCTCCTTCACCACCTCGCGGTGATAGTTCGATGCCGGGTACAACATTTGCTCCCGGTTCTCGAGTTCACGGCGCTTCATGATGCTGCGAGGCTTGTCATCCTAAAAAGTGCAGTTAGAGTTTGTAGGGATAATGTGACGCGCGTCTCCTGCTGCCACTTGCTGCCGGTCCATTTCTTTGCACGTGTTACCCCAGGGCACCCAATTGCAAAAACGGACGTGGTATTGGACGGTTACAGATACAGACACTGTGCCCCCATTCACACCTTGACATGGATCACGGCCGATGGTTGAGTGAGTTGTGGGAGGGAGTTGAACCGTTCGATGCGACGGGCGTAGGCTTCATTGTACTCCTTGCGGGCACCGCTCATGTCGGCCACCTAAAGATGGACGCAAGGTACTACGAGACACTCGGGTAGATTTAAGGAATCTAGGATATGGTTAGTGGTGAGTACTCAAAAAACGGGGAAACTGCATCTTCAGACATAAGGTGAAGGTTCAAAACTGGGTGCAAAATAGAACTCTCTCTGTGTTGGACCGGGCAGGCAAGAAGCGGCAAAAGTGTGCGATAGGGCTTGAGGCACACCTGGCGGAGGTGGTCGGTGGAAGCGCGGAGTCTGACCAGTTCTTCCTCTTTCGTCGCACCATTAACGGAGACGACAGATCGGGGCGAGAAGCTTTGACCCGAGAACAGCCACGCCGAGGAGACATCCTGAAGCGCCCCGAATGGGTATACTGTCGCCTACGTGATTTGTGTAATTTGGCAAAAGCCTAAGCTACATGTTAAATCAAAAGCAATTGTTTTGTAGTATTTGCATGAGTAAAACTAATAAAAATCAACGTCCAGGCGACAGTATTCCATCGGAAAAATACACGTCAAATTCTCAGATTAATAGGCGAAGCGGGAGAAGGTATTGGCAAGCGAAGCATTTCGGGACTACGACCAAATTTCCGGCACTTTAAAGCCAAATTGGCGCGCGTTTTCTTGCGTGAGTTAAAAAGCGGCGAACCGTCACGTAGCCGGCTTCCTTGCTAGTAGTTTCGGTGTGGATGGAGGTGCGTGAGGCTTGGAGATCGCGGAGCTGTTCCTGAAATTGGAAATTAAATGGAAAATAGGATTTTGGATACCTTGAGCGGTTGTGGCATTGGGTCGGGCCTTGTTGTGACGATCTCCTCAGCGGTCAACCGATATTGGGCCCTATTCTCCTTTGCTCGGCGCGCTAATTCTTCTGACTTGCGGGCCATCTCGTCGAGCTCGTCGTTCTGTTAGTGATCGGGGGATAGATGCACTCTTTTTAGTGTCAGCCAAATTGTTAGCGCCAAACTTGGAGATTATTAATTTGAAGCTAGGGTTTTTCAAGGAATTCAAAAAATTCAAGAAAGAGAATCCGAGATGAACTAACCTTCTTCGGCTCGGCGGCAGCCTAAAAATAGATTATTAGAGGCGGATGTCAAACGGGTGCAAAGCTTTTTGGTGCGCAGTGCAAACAATTGATTTTTTACAAACATACAACACTAAAAACATTTATAAATTTTGGACGGTTTCTAAGTCAAAACTACCTCTAGTATTTAGACGCAAAACCGCAAGCACGACACAGGAACGCTGGACACGACCACAAAAAACAAGCCACAGTCTGTTGAACAAAACGGGGATGGGACAAAATTTGGGTTTCGAAGGGGGATTAAGACAGGACATAAGCACATTATTTCCTAAGTCGAACTGAACTTGTCTGAGAAACGAGCACGCACACAACATGGCACAAAGATTGACACAAAAGAAGGCACAAAATGGAGGCGTTAACTGGGTTGTCGATATGTTTGATTGGCTCTAGATTACAGCCACTTCAAAACAGCCACATAGAAATCCGGTGAGAAAGAGGCTTGGAAACGGGGCAGTTTTGGGGATGAGCAAAAATCGTGGAATAAATAGATTGTCCACCAGAGACAGCTAGGGGGTGGGGGATGAAGCGGGGGACTCTCTAGAAAAGTGGGTTGCTAGAGAGTGAGGGGGAAATTTGGAAATCGGGGGACTTGGCTTACAAGTATCGAGGGTTTGGGGATCGGACGTCACGTGTGCTACCGGGTCGACCGGTTGGTGTTCTGTAATGGAACAATGAAAATGATCAGGTCTAAAGTTTCTTACCCGGTTCCCGGAGCTGGTGAAGCTGAAATAGTACGGGCTTGTTCTTGGACAGAACGAAGAAGTCGTTGAGTATTTCCCTGAGATGGGGACACGGCTCGGGGGTCAATTCCCGGGTCGGCGAGCTGAAAAAAGAATTCAATAGCTGAATTAGCTAGAGAAACAGGGCTAGATAGCTAAAGGTCAAACTAACGCATCGTTTCTGGCTGCCCTTAATCCATATCATAATTGGAACAGGAGAAAGGCGCGAGGCGAAATCGAGGAAGCAGAGAGTGAGAGAAAGAGAGAAGATGGCTGATCTTTCGGCTGATAAGGAGAACGAGCTCATGAGTCTAGAACTTACCCTATAACCCTCAGGCAACGGTGGTGGCAAATAACGCCTGGCTCGATCATAAGCAGGTGGTGTTGGAGAGGGAGCTGTTAGGGCAGCCATTCTGCTCCGCACTCTTGCAGCACTCGGAGTTTCAGAGCGTGGCTAAAACTATGTAAAAAAAGAATTAATTCGATATTACCTGGGGGCTCAACGCAATAGTGGTTGGCTGCGAGAGCCTGGACTGGGATCGGGAGCCTTGCGGGTGAGCATGATGTCGTTGAGACTGAGATGAATGGCGCATCATAACTCCGCTATGCATCGGGGAGGCGACCCGGGAGGATGAGGTTGATTCTCTTCTCGAGCCCTTTAAAGCAGGAGATTATAATTAGTTTGGTAGCATCCTTAATTTTTTGATAGAAAGATGAATGTTCCTAAAGCTGCAAAAACCTTAAACGCCTAATTTTCCGATCGTTTTATTGCGTTTTTGGATGCATAATGCTGCCTAAATTCGGATGCCATAAATTGACATTCTCATGTGTACCATGCCGCACATGCGAAGTGTTTGACTAGTGGGCAAACCCAGGAAAGAAACATGCCGAACCTGGTGATATTGCTGATGATGTTGATGCTGCTGTTGTTGCTGCTGGATATGTTGCATATGCTGTTGATGATGTCGCTGCTCTCGTTGCAGGCTTTGGGTATAAGCTGCCCGCCTCCTCTCGCTCTCCAGCAGTTGGCGCTCCCGATGTCTCCGGACTTCACGTTCCTCCCGACTCTCGCGCCTCTCATGATGACTTTTCCGATTGGGCATCGTCCCCGTATCCGGGTGTACATCGTAGTCAGGGGGTGGCTGTAATCGGCACTCCAATTCACAGCCCACACCACTCCACAACAACCAAACTCGTCAGAACGCTTTTTTGGTTTTGGTTTCAAAAACGGCAAGCACGCAAGAAGAAATAAAGGTTGCTTGTTTGGGGGTTGTTTGGTTTTAGACTTACCACTTGGTCCAAATGGGTCAAGCTCATTGCCCGAGATGCCATACGGCCTGTTATTCTTCTGGCAGACTCCTCGAACTGGGCGAGACGTCTCTGAAAAGATCCCCTGTATGAAAAGACCAAGAATAAAAGTACCTTGACATCAACGTGTTGAGGCATTTCCTTATGCACGATTGTCGAGGAATGGGGTGGAAGGTCATAGATCTTATCCCAGTCCTACAAAATTTATATAGAGAACTTGATCGAGCCCTTACATGAAGTTGCTCGCGGTCCATCTGGCTGCTAGAGTACGACTCCTTGCGGCTACGACGATCCTGTCCGGATGGTGAACGAGGGATAGGCGATGCCACTTCATCTAGCCGATGGAAGTTGCGCTGATGGATAACTTCGATGTGCGGATCTGCCGATGAAGAATCTGGTCTCTTGATGACCTTGATGGCATTGGGAGCATGAGGGTAGAATCCTCCACTTGGGGTATTCCGAGGGCCACCGAATGCCGGTCGCGGTCTGTGCGAACCATCAGCGGATGGCTTGACCAGGTAGCGAGTTTGGCGCTTCGCCGGTTCATCTAGGGGTCCAGTGCCGTGTCCACGGATTGGGGAGTGTGGAGGGGAATGTTGGGGTGTGAAGTTCTTGTGCTCTTTCTTGAAGGTTGGATCGTAGACGACAGGTTCCCATTGGTATCCAGCATCGTCTGGAGAGTGGGGTGGTCCTGGAACAACAAATTAAAGGCTTCTTTTTGAAGATTACCTGGCGTGAAATCCCTTGGCGGTAACGTCGGATCGACTGAAACCGGCCTTCGAAGTGTTGGCCAAACATAGGGCCTCTCCGGCGGCGGTTGCCATCTTCGCCCTGTCCGGAAGATTTCAGGCTCAGCTTCCGGTCGTTCCACGAACGCCTCTCGTCGCTAAAAAGGGTATTAGTGAGCATGAGCCGCAATACCTTCAAGATATCGATCTCAACATCCTGGAGGTCCTTCTCCAAAATCTCGTCTCCAGTCAAGATCTCGTTCTTGGCCTCGATGTGAGGTTTGTCGACAATGTAGGTCCGCTTCCAGGTTGGGACATCTGAAGAGGAGCATGAAACTTAAATTTAGTACTTACGTGGAGTCGGATCCTGGCCTTCACTCATCGCGCTCAGTGGTCGAGTCTCGAAAACGCGGACTTGAGCAGGAGGTGGCGGTCCTGGGTCCTGAATTTTCCAGTAAAACGTCGATTTTGTAAAATTTACGTGAGCTGTATGCGGCTGCGTATAGGACACCTCTCGAGCCGGCGACAACGGAGCAGTGTATTGTTGTTGGGGAGGGTATTGCTAAAATCGAAATTTCAGAGAATATGCACTCCACTCAACCTCACGCGGGGCATATCGCTGCTGATCATAGGAAATTTCTTGAGGAGGGTACTGAAAAGCTGGGGATAAGGATTTAGTCAAGAACAACTCAAAAACTTCTTTACTCTCCGCAATCACGTCAAAAACACACCGCTGGGTACGGATGATGAGGATGAGGAGGATAATTGGCAGAGGAGGTATGAGCGGATTGTTGCTGTTCAAAAAGTCGGTGCTGTTGCACTTCCATAGCATAGACCTAAAGGGCGATAACTGCACACGCTAAAAGGCAAAAAGCGGACCTGCTTCTCGAGATCTCGTTGAAAACGCTCCTCCTTTTTGCGCATGGCCTCTTTTTCCAATTCTTTTTGCCTTCGGAATTCGTCGATTCGATCTGGATCTGTTATGTTGCGCGACATGACGGATTGGCTTCTTGGCCGGTCTTTTTTGGCGGACGGTGGTGGCCAGATGACGACAGAAGGGGCTGATGGATCATCCTAACAAAATCACGACAATATCACTACACCACAGATACACTTCTGAAGGATTCAGCACTAAAAATCTGGAATACTCACATGTGGGTCGTTGTGATGGTGTAGCTCGGCTTCAGAGGCGGACATTTGACGCATTTTCTGGAGTTGTTGGGAGGATTGCTCGTAGCTAGAAGTGTTTGTTAGTTTATGAAAATCAGGGGTTGAATACCTATATTCAAATTGTTGACGATAACTCTGCTCATCACGCTCTTCGATGCTCTCCCTCATTTCTGTCACCGAGCCAAGCGGTGGGGCAGCCGATTGAGGTCTGGAAAATCCGTAATAATTCCCAGATATTTTTTCTGCCATTTTCTGCTCATCAAAGCCGTTTTCTGCACCCATCTCGATCACCCCAATCCAATCACCGGCATTTTTTATGGGTTTCGAAGCAGCCCGGGGAGGTTGCGGCTGGCGCTAATCGCTGCGAGACAGTGCATGGGCTCTCCGAGGCGGGCCGCACAGCCCTCTCGAACTGTTGAGTACACAAAAGATGGAGGAGGGAATGGAGAAGAGGACGCAGATGTAGAAAGATAGAGAGGCAGAGCTGGGCCATACACAGGACCCACGGGGTGGCCAACGAGCAGGCAAAACGGAGGGGTGGGGCTGTAGCTAGCCATCCAACGCAAGAGCAGCAGCCCCTGGCGGACGGTGTTCAAATCGATTGGAAAAAGTTTTAGGGCGAGAGTGCTAACAGTAATTTGCAGGGATTCGAATAAGTCGGAGAAAAATGTTAGGCGCGTTTTAGTATAGAGCCAATTATTAGAATTCTAGCAATTTCAATTACGGGTTTTCAAAAACTAACCGGCTTCTCGATGGCACCTCCTCCAGCTTGAAAAATGGCCCATTAAAAGAACTCGTCGGCGGCTTCGGTGCTGGCTGCTGTGGCCTCGGCCCTTGCATCCGGTGCTTTTGCAAATTCTCTTGCATTATCCGCACCCGCTCCTCCTCCGGCAATTCTTGAAATGCCGATCCGGGCCTGGGTCGCTCCTAAAAAATGTCTTTCCATGTTCAGAGCATAGCCGTACCTCCATTCTTGGCTCATGTCCATTCTCAACCGGCATCCGCCTGGGCTGTTCGTGAGGCTAAAAACAGCAGCGTAATCTTGGATGTATGCAAATTTGTATACCTTCTGCATCTGACCCTGGTGACCCTCGCGCATCTCCTCCTGATAGCTTCGGTGGGCTTCAAAATGGGAATAGGACTGCTTCAAAATTCCTTTGGGTTCCCGGTTTGGCGGTGGGCTCATCAACCGTTCCGGGTATTCGTGGGTGGGGTCCGGCTTCTTCTGGGATTTGAAAATTGGCATAAAAACACATTGCCTGAAAATTTACCTCAGGAGCGTCAGTGCCAACGTTGACAGCAATTAAAGCTGGGGGTAGAGGCCGATTTTCGTAGACGGACTTAATAAACATATTCTAAAGGCATAGTTAAGCCACATACTCGCTCTGGCGGCCGATCAGCCGGCTTCGACTCACTGGCAATCCGGTCGGTGCTACCGGGTGGGTAGAGGGTTTTCGAGGGGGATGGCGATCTAAAACTGGGGATTTAATTTTGGTATTCTTAATATGATCGCGTTTCTCTAATAAGCATCTTCTTGTGGACACCCGGCTTTAGCCCACCCAGCCTAGATCCCAACATCGATCCCCCGGGGTCCAATGTCAATATCAAGGAATTCGCGCTTGCGCGCGAGTAAACAACCACAGCGGCTTGCAAGCAAAAGTTCAAAAAGGAGGCCAATGAATGAGAAATATTTAGAAGATGCAGAACAAGAAAAAGAGAGAAAGTCCAGATTTTGAGGTGATTACCTGTGTGATCGATCCGGCAGGGGGCTGATGGTCGGCTGGACCCGTGACACCACTCCCGATGGTTGCCACGAGGAGCGGCGTTCCTGTAAAAATAGAATATAAGGAATGAAGGTCTTGAAATAGATGTTGACTATTTTATGGCGCAGACATTGATCTTCTAGCCGACTCAGCAGACTAAATTATCGAGCGATACTGACTGGAACTTCTAGATTCACAAAAGCTGGTGGGAGAGGCTCGAACAAAAGGCAGTTCGTGCTTTTTAAAGGTTCGCAGCTCTCAAAAGATAAAAATTAACGTAAAACCCTGATTATCTAAACTGGAAACTACTGAAAACCAGGAGAAAAGTTGCCGTAGCTCAAAGAATGAAAAAGCTAGCGAGAACCGTGTGGGCAAGGATGCAGAAATAACTTGTGGTATTCAAACCATAAGACACGAGAAATCCGAAGGAATAAAACGTTAAATATGAAAAACCGATCAAATAAAGCGCAGTACATTATCAGAATCTTCACTCCCTCTCGGCACTTCTTCCGGCAACGACGGCAGGCTCGGAGTAGCCTGCAGCGGGCGTCCCCTCAATCTCGCGGGCACCGCATTCTGTACTTGTTGCAAATATCGAGCCCTCAGCCGTCGAACAGAATGGCCAGGGTCATCAGACGAGTCCTGGATCCATGGACGGACCATCCGACCCCAATTATGGCGTTGTAAAAGCCCAAAAGGGAGATCGAGAAGAGGTGTTTGTCGCGACTCGTGTTAGGGTGCTTAGGGGGAAGGGCGCTCTCGAGGGCTCTCCGCCTGCCACCACCTCCCCTCCCTCCTCCTTCTTTTTTTGCCTTTTTGCTCCTTCTTCAGCACTGTGGACTGTTGACCCACCCCGAAGGCCCTCCCCCTCCCCTTCCATCGACAAGAAGCCCTTCTTTTCAACGGCTTCTTCTTCTGCAGTGGGTTCTTTTTACGGGGGCTGTACCGTTCGGTCGGTTGCGAGTCATGCTCAATAAATAAGGATGCGTAGGTGGGGGGAGGAAGGGAGGTATTTGTCGAAGATTAAGGATGACAGCATGGTATGCGAACTTTATAAAGCCAGGAGAGACAGTTGAAGTTAGTAGTATAAGAAATGTCCTTTTCAGCGCAGCTTTTTGCCCACTTTTCAAATCCCCCCCAAATTCTTTAAAAATGGAATCAGTAACGGAACAAGCCAAATCTGATTCATTCAAAAACCCCCCAATTTCCCCTTTTTCCCAATTTCCCAAAATGGGCAAAGTGGGCAAGCGCACTTGTTGCCCACTCAGTTTAGCGCACTTTTCAAATCCCCCCAAATTCAATCAGAAACGGGCCAAATCTGGTTCCCCAAAAGGGGTAAGCGCATTTGTTGCCCACCCAGTTTAGCGCACTTGTTGCCCACTTCAAAAATAGGCAAAACCATTTATGGAGACGCCTGGATTCGAACCAGGGACCCGTGAAACACCTGTGACAAGGGACAAAGTCCAACAGAGGGTGGGGGACGTTCATATGGGACGTAACTTCACTCAAAAAGTGAATGATCCCATACTAGTCAGGAACCCCAAACCTGACGGCCACCTGGTTTCGAACGCTCAGGCCTTAACTTTTCTCTGTCTTCACAGGCGACCGCTCTACCAACTGAGCTACGCCCCCAACTGGGACAGGAGCCCAGAGGGGGTAATAAACCTTTGGCCTGATAAGAGCAGTGACGCATCCAATACGTATACGCCCATACCCCACTCCCAGTATTATTCTGAGCTAGTAAATGTTGGAAACTGTGTACTATGACCCCAAAAACGGTTTCTGCGGAATCAATGAGTTACAAAGAAAAACAAAAGCACCAATTAAAAAAGTAAAAGAATTTTTGAAGCAGCAAGATGTATATACTCTTCACAAACCAGCTAGGAAAAATTTTAAAACAGAAAGAGTATACGTTCACGGCGTTGACGAACAGTGGCAATCCGATCTGGTTGAAATGTTACCATATGCCAAGGAGAATGAAAATTACAAATACCTTTTAACAACGATTGATTGTTTCAGCAAGTACGCCTGGGTCGTACCCCTAAAGACCAAAACTGGGCAAGAGACGGCTGATGCTCTCGACAAAATTTTCCAGGGCAGAAAACCAGTCAAGCTTCAGACTGACAATGGCAAAGAATACTACAATACCAGTGTCAACAAACTTTTGAAAACGCACAACATTCAACACTTTTCCACCTATTCCGACAAAAAGGCATCCATCGTTGAACGTTTCAATCGAACCCTAAAAGACAAAATGTGGAAAGTCTTTTCTCACCGAGGCAATCATAAATGGGTCAGCGTCTTACAAGACTTGGTCGATGGCTACAACAACCACTACCATCGAAGTATCAAAATGACACCCATCAAGGCGTCTGATCCCAAGAACCAGACACTTGTCCACGACAATCTTTACGGTAAACAAGTTGAAACCAAACCCAAATTTAACGTTGATGATACTGTGCGAATCACCAAATACAAAACAATTTTCGCCAAAGGCTACTTGCCCAATTGGAGCACGGAACAATTCAAAATTGCTCAAGTCCACCCCGGAGACCCACCAACATATCATTTGCAAGATTTGGCAGGAGAGGAAATTAAAGGCAAATTCTATGAACAAGAATTGGTAGCTTACACCGGCCAAGAGTACAAGATTGAAGCGATTCTAAAGAAGCGAAAGAATCAAGTGTTTGTAAAGTGGTATGGATACCCGGAAAAATTCAATTCATGGATTCCAGCAGAAACCATTAGACACTTACAACCTTGACTCGGTTATCCTTTACCTCAACAATATTATCACTGAGTATAAGACAGAAACATTTTGCTGCAGGTGGAACATTGGCCGAGAATGAAGCCTTTATCGTAACGTCAGGGCGTGTCTGAATCAGTCTGTCATTTTGTTTGGACACATCAAAAACCAAAAGAGGGTAGTAGTAGTAATAAACGTCTTCTTCCATAAAAATGTAGTCCTTGACAGATTCGTAATAACTGTTCCTAAATTCTTTTGCAAAGTTGTACTGCTGAACGGCATTGAAACTAGCAAAATCAAACTTGAGACATTCGTAGGGATACCTTTCCGAGTTGAGTTCAACATAAATTTCCTGCAGACCAGCCGGATCAAATCGAGCAGCATTCAAGTAATTGTTTTCTCTTGCCACTTGGAAAGCAACAACCATAAATTTGATTTTATCATACTTGGTCCCAAGCTTCCAAGTAAATTCCCGATTACCAACTGGAATGCTATAACTTTCAAACTGGCGGGAAATGAAAGGCATCTGAATTAGTTTGTTACTTTCATGCAAATTCATCAGTTTGTTTTGCATCTCTAGGCTAGGAACAATCTTTGGAATGATCCATTGCAGTTTTCTAATTGTTAGCTTTGCTGTAAAATCAGCTGGATTTGTTGAGACGATACTATTCCTGCTTTCAGGAGTTCTGTAAAGCGAAACCATGTGCTTCCTACCGTATACAATCTTTCCATAACACTCTGCAAACCCAAAAATGTGAGTAAGCGGAATGCAAAATGTAATCCTACCTCGTCTATTTGTCGTGTACTTGTTAATCTTGTAATTGATAATCTCACCCGATTCCAGGATCCAGCCAAACGAATTTTGTTTGTTCATGGTTGAAGAATAGGTCAGCAGCCCCTTCATTAGACTTGCTCTGCCTGGATCAATCACATTTTCAACTTGCATTCCATCCATCGAATACGTGGCTCTGTCAAACAGAAACATTGGTGCATTGTTAGTTAGTGAGACCAAATCTGCAGCTGCCAAAGCAGCATCATCAAGTCGAGTCAAGCTGGCTTCAAGATAGAGATAGCTCTTGTGCAGCAAAAGATATTGATCACAAGACTCTACAATAAAGTTAATCTCTCCCTGTTGATTCAAATTGGACCCAGAGGCAGGGAAAATATTTATTAAATTTTCTTTCTGAATCGAAGTGTCTGTAATGATTGGGGCATCAACAGTCAGCATACGATCAACAGCTTCCATTTAATAAGAAGAGTATTATCCAATGTTGTTAAAATAAAAGAAAAGATGTATAGTGGTAGTGAAATTTTTTGTTACGGAACAAAATGTAAAGAATGTTGTTAAAATAATACGATAAGTTAAAATAACTAAATGTTAATAATTGTTAAAGTATTAAATGCGTTTTCTCATTCTCGCGTTTCTTCAAATTAGTTTGGCTATCGCTCAGCCAATCATTTGCACAGACTCTGCACCAATCCAATACTTTAGAATCCCCAAGGTACCAAGATGCAACTATGCTTTTAGGAATGCCACCAAAGTAGTAAAGTATGAAGTCTTCAAACCAAACATTATCGAATACGTTTCGAATGGACATTTATGCAAAAAAGCTAGTAACAGAAGTCTCAATGCATACAGACCTTTCTGGCTATCAACACTTGGTAGAGAAAGAGTTAAACAACAAGGCCATCACGATTGGCGATTGTAAAGCAATGGTGCTCAACAAGCGGTGCGATTTCGGAGCACTGCAAAAACGAGATCATTCATGGTTTACTGATAATAAGGTCACTGCCGACTATCCTAATCGATTCCTAAGTCTTGTTTCAGCTAGACGCTTGCTAAAAGAAAACTGTGTCGTGATAGAAACCAAAGTCTATTCTCATTTCAATCAAAGCCGTCCATCCAATCTTTTGGTCTCAATGGACAAATGCAATTACACAGCTGGCCAATGCAAAATTAAGAGCAATGAAGCCATGATATGGGATGTCAACAAGGACCAAAATTGTCAGTACCTTTCCATTGGCAAATTCAACGGCTTTTACACAAATGGTCTCTGGATTAACAGTGAGAATCAGATTGCTTTGAGCTTCAAGGCCAACAAGACTACAACCGACTGTGGTAATGATCTCAAGATAAGTGCAGAGGGCTTTGCTGTTCGAAGAGTCGTCTTGGCATCAGAGACTAGCAAGACCTCCCTTCGGGCTCAGGGTCATAGCCCGATGATGACCCGCAAACCAGAACCAGAACTTCAAAGACGTCAAAGACAACAAGGTGGACCAGAACGTCAAAAGGCGCAAGCTGAATTGGACCGTCATAGACAACAGGAGGAACAGAAGAGACAACAGGAGGCACAGAAGAGACAACAAGCTGAACTCAAAAAGCAGCAAGCTGCTCAAAGACAACAAGCTGCTCAACGACAACAACATGAACGTCAACTCGAACAAGATAAAAAAGAGCAAGCTGAACGCCAACGACAAGCAGCTGAAGCAGAACGCCAAAGACAAGAAGAAGAAGCTGAATGGCAGAGACAAGAAGCAGAAGCTGAATGGCAAAGACAAGAAGCTGAACGTCAAAGACAAGCTGAAGCAGATGAACATAAAAAACGATTAGAGGAGGAAGAAGCTGAATGGCTAGCTGAACGACAGAGACAAGTTACTCCAAAAATACGACTAACTCAAGAAGAAGCTGATTGGTTTAGAGAAGAGACTAAACAGCGAAAAGAGCCTACGGAGGTTGGAGAGCCAGTTGAGGTAGGAATAACACCAAAGCGCTTAACATCTTATCAAGAGTATGCTGCAAAATTCCTAAACAGAACAAAGCGAGAAGTGTATTCAGATTTTCAAGCAGCTGGCGAGTTTCAGTACCTCGAAACCCTGGAGAACGATCGATTGCGACATACGTCAGAAATAATGTGTT